GAACAATCTCTCGAAGCTTTATCGTCAAGCATCCGCTTGAGAACTTTAGGTTCAGGGAATCATGCTTGGGTTGAGGCAGCTGTTCCGACTGGTGGACTGCACCAACCCCTCTGTTATATTGCTGATTGCTCATATTCCGCACAAACCCCCCTTTCAAACAGGTAAAATGTAAACATATCCGAGAGGTTTGGTGCTATCTGTTCGACACGCGGTCCGTGGACGCTTTAGGACATGACAGTCTTCCAGAAGGCTTCATGTGCGGAACGCCCAATGACCTCAGTTTGCCTGCCATGTCGGTCCATGTGGCAATCGAAACACTGATGCATGGTTTGACGCTCTGCTAAATCTTGTATAATTGTGTCGACGCTGCAGGAACAATGCAATGTCGCCAGCTGATTTGCGTATTTTCATATCACCATGATGGGATGGTTCAACAGATATATGAGGACAGGGCAAGAGCACTCGCTGTGATCACGTACTGAACCATTCCCATCTCCAGCTCTCAGCCCACCACCAGCCCTACACCAGTTTCCGACTCGAGGTCCCGAATTAGAATGCTTGAAATAAGTAGTACAGGAATAAGAATCAACATGAGTCGAACGAGCCACATATGCAGGCAGCTATTAACAGCCATCGTGACGCAAGCATTATGGGACCGGGTGGTTTGGCTCCAAACCCGCCTGAAAACCGATTATCTTTTTGCTTTCCTGCATTCAAGCATGACGGGAAGCGGAATGCATCATCGGGATTCCTCTTCTTTGGATTTGTCGATAATCCAGGTTTGCTCAAATAGGCGAGGCCCGGGACAATTCATGACAAGAGAGCGGCGGGTACTAGATACCCGAACCTACTTCCTGTAATAGATCTAGAAGCATCGTGTCAGCATGATCGATCTGAATAGGCCAACAGACTTATTTTTAATCATACCTTCTTGAACTGAAAGTGCAGCTGCAAGATACCCTATTGAGCGAACATGGTTAGTTTCGTGGGTTCTTGAGGGTGTAGTGGAGGGCATGGCGTTTGCAGGTACGATGCTTGAAACGGCTGCCATAAACGTGGGCTGTTCTAGGCTGCATAAAGTGCATCTCGCCCAACGGCCAAGGACATTGCCACAGTATGAGTTCAAAGGGCCAGTGCATGAGCAACCTTGCCACGTGAAGTGCGATGAGAGGGGATAAATATACCTTGTCAAAAGAGCTTTTGAAGCCTCGATCTTTCTTGGCGCTGTAGTCCCATTCCCGATCGACAATGCGAAACGCAATATCCTCATATGGGGGACCTGCAATGAACCTGATTAGGCACGTGTCCTCCTCGCCGGCAGCAGCAAACGATTCTCCTCGTCTCCGGCCGTGTTCCCGACTGATCTTGAAGGTTGGTGCTTTTGTCTTGTCGATGAGTTCTGGATAGAAAATGTTGAATTTGTAACCCTGTACAACTTTGGGTGGCGGATTATCATGATCGTAATGAGTCTGGTTGTACTTGTTCCAATCATAGCCCATCTGCACACGGTTGAAATACCGGGGTTTTCGAGGTCTGTACTTGTCTGCCCACTGCGGCTGGGAAGAAGTGACAGCTTCTTCACTTGTGAATATCTCTTCGTTCTCGTCGACACCTCGAGCAACCTCGCGATCATACAGTGCTTTGGTAGCCTGGGAGAAATCCTCGTCGGCCTGAGAAAAGCGTTCGGTGCCAGGGGGGGCGGGGTTCTCTGCATGGCTTGAGGATGAAACACCCGCCTGCGCTGATGTTGGATCTGGAGGAGCTGAGACTGGGACCAGAGGCCGTGAGGCGGATGTCATCTTGGGGGCTGAGGTTGGCTGGCCCAACGCCTTTGCCTTGGCTGGGTCGCGCTCCTTGAGCTGTTTGAGACGGATCTCCTTGATTGTCTCGTATACCTGGCTTAACTTGGCACGAGCTTTCCAGACTCTCAAGCTTTTAAGCAGTTGTTCCCAATAATCCGTGTCAATGTCCTCGTTCGATTGTAATTTGGCCTTGATCTGCTTTTCCAGGGCTTCCAACTGGTCGTGCGTCTTGGGGGCGAGAATCTTGTCAATATCGTCCGAAACACTGCTGACAACCCTTCTTTCATGACCGTGCGGGTCTAGCTTCGCCTTCCTGTCTGCGCAGATGGTTTGAAGCGCCCTCCAGTATTCGCGATTGGTGGCATTGGTCTCGAGTACATGATAAGAAGCGATGTCAGAGTCTAGTTCGGCAATCTGCTCACTATCCAGTGACGCGATAACATCTCCAGGTGCAGGAACATCGATATCGGCATCGGCGTCGTCGTCGTCAAATACGTCGCGGTCGGTATCAATGTATCGCAAGTTGAAGGCTAAGTAGTCGATAGGTTTGGCACGGCCTTCTCGAATACGAATGTTTGCCTTCTTCTTGGACTGCTTCAGTACGAATTTGTCCTCGTCGGCGACGAATTGACGTGACTGCTCATCTTGGGTCAAGTATTTAGGGTTGACCTTTGAGGCAGTTGGTTTTGTCGATTTGGTGATTCTGTTGGCAGGGTCATGTCGGGGTGAAGTGACGTCTCGACGGGTTGGGGATCTTCGTCCCGCGAGCATTGCCTTGCGTCCGGGATCCATAATGATGACAATGATCGATCGTTGATGCTGTAATAAAAGGGATCTAAACAATAGATTAAAGTATTGATGAAGCATCAATCTTATCGATAAAAAGTGGATATCGCGTTCGAGAAATCTTATCAGATAGGAGCAGTCGCGCACGTGACGTCACTGGTAAATAGCATCTCACTCTTGTGCAGATATCAAATTACTAACCATTAAGGCATCAAATGTCCTTGGAAGTGAATTATATTGTTTGATGCATCTCAAGACTTTGTGAGGTCTCGTATACCGGATGCGTGGTGCCTTGTTGTGCTTCTGCGTTTTAACGGTTCTCAACGCCATCATTCCTCGCAACAAACTATCAGAACTTCAGAACAGATTGTAACAGTTCTATAAGCATAACACAGAACTTATGTACTTGGATATAGTCATGTATGGGATGGTATTCAAGAAATAAAATAGAATTTCGAGTTTAATTTAACAGACAGAAACATTCCAACTTTACGATCACTCAATCAATCTGCCAATTTGCTTCTTGGCTTACCCTGCATGATTTCTCGCGACACCAACCCGAATATTGAACTTGACCTAGCAGAGCTCTTAACCGCATACCGCTATTCGCGCCACTAAACGTTAAAAACTTAATTCAAGAGCATAAGAAGTGAGCTGACTGATCCCTTGTCGTTATTTATGGCACGGTGTTCTGGGCCGCCTTCCGAACTGGGATCATTGCGTTTATTTGAGCAAGTTTATATCGTCTCAAACTCGCTCTTGTTCAGCCATCCCCGCATAAGCTCACCCTTTTAGGACGAATGTAATAATTGGTATGTGAGAATATTGAAAGTGCTTCGGGATAACTCTATCCAGAATGTCCATCTCAAGTATTATACCACCAATATGAGGATACACAAAGACCCATATAACAAACATTGAAAAGCCAAATGAGTGGATTGATAGTAGTATCCATGGATCCATACAATGGACTCCGATCAAGACCCGTCCTGTACCGGACACCCACCCCGTCGATATTCACACCAACCCCCGAATGTCCGGAGGTGGGGCCGGAATGTATCCTGCAGAATCACTCACAACCCTGCGAAACTGCCTCACGCCAAGCCAATAACAGCTCGGTCCTGAGCAGCTTCTAGATCTAGAGTCAATTGAGGACGAGCTAAACTTTGGTTGGACATTGCTGAACGCACGTAGGGAAGAAATGCAGGCTTCCTCATGTCTATAAAGTCGACTGGTGCACCTGTGGCATTCCCATTCGCCGTTCCTCATCCTCTCGCCCACAATACTCGTCTACTCAATCCTCCAAGATGATCGCCTCCAAGACCCTCCTCGGCCTGGCTACCGTCCAAGCTGTCTCTGCTCACTTCGGGCTTGTCTTCCCCACATGGCGAGCTGATACCCTCTCCGAAGAGAATGAGGACCGCTACAACCAGTGGACTTATCCCTGTACGTATAACTGCATGCTGAGCTTGTATTTTCCTCTACTAACAAACATCAGGTGCTGGCGTTGACTACAATAAGAAGAACCTGACCGACTGGCCCCTCGAGGGTGGTTCTCTTACACTCGACCTTCACCACGAATGGTCCTACGTCTTTGTCAACCTCGGCCTCGGCGAGAACACCACCAACTTCAACATCTCCCTTACACCCGAGTTCCTCAACGCCACCAACGCTGGTACTCTTTTCATTGAAGAGCTTGCCCTTCCCTCAAGCGTCAAGGTCTCGGACGGAGACTTTGCCAGTATCCAGGTTGTGACTGTCGGTGAAAGCGGCAGTGCGCTCTACAACTGTGCCGATATCCGCTTCAAGGAGAATGCAAAGGGACCCAGCAACAAGACTGGCGATGTCGACTATGTCATGATCAAGCAGCAGGATGGTAATGGAACTGAGGATAGCGCTTCCAACTCCTCGTCCTCAGGGGAGGAGGGTGGCGACAGTGGCAACGGAGCAGGAATGGTTGGTGTTAACACGATGGCTTTGACCTCTGTCGTGGGTCTTGCAGCCGTGTTTGCAATGGGATTCAGCCTATAGATAGCATGCCCGTGGGCTCGATACAAATATGATGAAGCATAATTGATAGTCATGACCGACTAAGTCGCCCCTCAAATCTAAATTACAGGTTGAACAAGCACAACCAGCCAATTATACCGTGTGCTAAAATAGAAAACATATATAACGTCTAAAATCATCAACTGGGTATATCCAATCTGAGTTGGTTAGCGACACTTGACTCTCCAGATATCAGGGTGTATGTAGACTTACCCTACTACTCATATATCTCCGACATGTAACACTGAAACATAAGTAAAACCAAACTCCGGCCCTGGAAGCCAAAAAAAGAACAACGTAATTATTTATGCGAACGCCGTTCAGGCACAAAACAGATATCGAACTGTTGCTCCTGCGCGAGACTCATCCCGCAGCAACAGCAACTTGATCAGTGGCCAACTCTTGCAACACCTTGGCCATGGTGATGCGATGGTTGGGGTTGGGGTATAACATCTCCTTTACGATCCGCTCGAGCCGGTCCTTGGGATTGAGCCCCTCTCTAGCATCGAATACCTCGGTGAGCCAATCTCGCATCTGTACAATGGCTGGCTGGCCATTTCCATGCTGCTTGTGAGGCGTGTTTGGACTGTTCACACCAGCGATTAACCAATACAGAGGTCGGGGATGTTGTCGACGAGCACGAGAGTCGGGAAATGAGATTTTGCGCAGCACATAGAGCATGGTGACACCAAGTGCCCAAGTGTCAGACGCAGGTCCGCGCTGCTTCCGCCCAATGAATTCCGGCGGGATGTAGTACGGTGTTCCTCCAGTCGTCGGTGAATTGGCGGCCAGCGTTGAAAGTCCAAAATCACAGAGGACAGCACCTCGCTCTGGCGAATAAAGGATATTAGCGGGCTTTATGTCGTTGTGCACCAACTTGCGGCCGTGGATGTAGTTGAGGGCGCCGGCAATGTCGCCCAAAATCCTGGTAGCGTCGTTTCTATCGCCCAAGAACTCGTCATTGGCTTTGTTTCTCCAACGAGGCGCTGCAGTGAGGTCCTTGGCATCAATGTGCTCCATGTAAAGGGACAGGAAACGCGCATCACCGCCGTAGTAGCGGACGATGGACTTGTGCTGCAGGTCTTCCTGACTCCTGCACTCACGAAGCCACATATCGGCCTGGCGGATCACGTTCCGCTCGTGGAGCAGTGACTTGTCATTGGAGTTGGCAACGCGCGTTTTCAACACCTTGACTGTGACGATGTTGTCTGGTACATGGGAGTGTGTGGCTGTGTACACCGCAGACAATGACGTTGACGCAATCGGCTCCCTTTTAGTAAGCTGATACTCATCGAGCTCACAGACACTTGGAATTGCAACAGTGTCGCCCTTCTCGGCGTCTAGCAAAGCATGTCCGTTCACAGTGGACAGCTCTTTGCTTTCACGGCCGTTTGGTAGAGAGAAAACCAGGGGATCAGCAGAAGGTCTCAGAAACATAATAACACCGTCGTCACCGGGTGTGTCTGGTTCTGAGATACGACGTTTCACCCTCTTTTTGTCATACTCCGGAGTCAGAGCTCGCTTCCCACTCGAGTTAATGGTGGGGGTGCTCGAGGTTGGTGGAACGTCCTCGGGGATTGTAGGTTGCCTTGGTTGAAAAATCGTCACTGGTCGCTTCTCGAGTACTCGGAAATCAATAACATCGATGTCTCGAACAGTGATGCGCCAGGTTCCGGGTTTCAGAGCCTTGGCAGATCCAGGATTGATGATGTGAGCAGCACTGACGGGACTTGGCAGCGGCGTCTGGACAACGCTTGATAGAGAAATCGGTACGTCTGACTTATTCAAAAAAATGACCTTGTCACTAGCGGGATCATAGTATAGCTCACACCAGAGAGGGGGTCTCGGAGAAGCATCCTGAGTCTCACCGGGTATACGGACGGAGAATTTTATATCCTTTGAGGTCTGAGTCACAGCGAGAACTTTGTGCTCAGGCTGCTCTGGAGAAGCAACCTCGGCGCGGAGAGCGAGCCACTGGCAACTTTCACTGCCAGGACTCACTGCGCGCGAGTTAGGGAAGCTGGCCAAAGGGCGGAAGAGGATGCGGATGCCTTGTTTGTGGTGGTGATCCTCAACGTGAAGCTCGTCTAATGAAACAGCGGAAGAGGTAGTCGTAGGGACAGGCTCCTCAACGCGAATGCCCCTAAAGCGGGCGTCAATCTCGGATTGTGAGAATGGCTCGGTGCGCTCCTCTGAGATAGCCTCAGAGAGCCCGAGCCTTGGTTCTGCCATAAGGTTGGCTATGTCTGTTTGCCATTCGACGTTGGTAAGCAACCTGAATGTAAGACGATGGCAGCCTGGCGAGTGAGGCTAGAAAAAGTGAATTGAGTTGAGTAGGTACCTTTGACCTGAACCAACCAGACGTTGACGAATGGAAGGCTCAACAAAAACGTTTAGAATTAATTGAGTTGCGTGGTTGTTACGCGAACAATCGATCAAACGGCGTAATGTTGCGTATTGATGCGATGTTGCGCCAGGCTGAAAAAATATTGAAGGACGTTGAAAGTATGAGTAAGAGGGGCTGAGACAGGCAAATTGATATGGGACAAAATGCACTTGTGAGGCGATGCACTCTAGGCAACCTGACGAGGGGTGATGGAAGGGTTTAATAGCAGAGAGAGCAGCTGGGGAAGTGGGCTGTGGCTAGACAAGGTACTATATGTAGGCCCTTGCTTGGTAAGAAAAAGCAGGTAGGTAGAAAGATGTCAGATAAGTATGTATGTAGGTAATTAGATGTAAATGCAGGAACCAAGACATGCAAGACAAGTTTGGGCTTATACGGGGCAGGTTTATAGGATGAATGGGGTATATCAGAAGGACAGGACACGCTGGAGTTTCCTCCTCTAGGAGGGTTGAAAGGACGACTTTCAGTTTTCAGTCCAGGTCAGGGAACAAGCTCAAGACAGGCCTGCTGATAGCGTCTCAGACTCCACGAGGAACAGGACTGAATCGGGGTCGAGTCATACCTATCTTGTCGCTTGGTACCATGAGCCAAGAATGGAGAAAGAAAAGAAGTGGCCGATTTAACAAGAAGCGGGAGCGGGACGAACGGTACGAAGCGAAGAGAAGCGAACGGCATTGAGCAGCTTGTGGTTGTAGCCTGCTCTGGAACCTCTTCACTGGGCACTGGGAGGGAGCTTTTGGACTGTGGACTCCCCTAGGACTTGGGGGGCTCCATCAAGCGGGTAGGGCTGGATGAGATTGACAAGCAAGGCAGATTCGAGGGGAAGAGGACACAGAACGTTATAGCCACGATTGTGGCTGTGAAGCTGTTGATTCCACCTAAGAATAGGTGCGATGTACACCAACTGCCAAATTGTGTATACAGATACCTTCTCAGATTCTTCCATCTGACATCTTATGACAATCTTGATAACAAACCGGATTGATCATCCCTTCTCTACGATAGTAAGCCCTTTGACTGCACGATGTCAATCAAAAGGCGAACACGGTACGTGGAAAGATAGAACCCCCCAGAACACAGTGGCCCTCAACTGTGGTTTCTCTTACACTGCTCAGGCGGGATCTACTATGACGACACTGAAGCAGTTGAAGAGAGGACCTCACTCAGCATGACTGAACTGCTATCGAGATCAGGAAAGCAGCAGGCTATATAAAGCAGGGCAGCGATTGCCATAGAGTAACGTGAGATTGTCACAGTACTGAAGAGCAGAGACATTATTTACGAGGTCAGTCATTGTCTCATCGGGACGGAGTCTAATGGTGATTTTGTGAAATTTCGCCTCTTGTAGTCCTCGTGACGAAGCAATGAAGGCAGTTGGTCAGCTGGGAGTTGTTATCAGTGTAGAAAATGAGTCAAAATGTACGTTCAAGTTAATTCAGAGATTGTGGTAGCTACTATTAATTTAATTAATTTATTACCATGGTGCAAAATTAATTAAACTGAGAGTTGGTGATGGTGTTTTAAGTTTCGTGTGATAGACAAACGTTTTTGATGGAATCCCTTGGAAGGCCGACGACGGAAGAGCTCAAACAAATCTGCCGCATTTTCACAAATGAAGGCATCAAAGGGTGTGATGGGCTCTGATGTTAGTGGACGCCATCATGCAGCTAGTTGAAGAGAATGCATAAGCTCGTCCCACTCGCTGCCTTTAAAGTATTTTAATTGGCTATTAAATATGCAGAAGCATCTCGTGCTCCCGGGGTTTCGGGGCTGACAACCAATCCTAGCCTTCATCGTCTTCTGCCTCAGGCATCTTGGGCTGCACGGGTGGCCTTTAGGTTGCTGGGGGCCAAGCGCACCCTGAGATATGGGTATGGCTCTTTCCCCCAGGACTTGCTGGATTCTGTTTCTCGTCACGCCCGACTCCAAAATACACACGATCTTCGCTCAAAAACAAAAAAAAACAACACCAAAACCCCACAGAAGAGCCCTCCAAGCACTTTTTACTTGCTTCATTTCAGTGTCATCACTTCTTGACTGCTGAACATTTTTTTGAAGATTTTGTCGCAATGGCTATGATATAGATTTTGACGCTCCCACGAGCTTTTTACGCGTTACACCCTGGGCACCCTTACTGGACACTCTCTACTGTTTCTCGACCCTCGATCTACCACCATAACCATAACCATAATCCATTCTTTTCTTCCGACCGTGACCTCGACATGGACGATCCAGACGTAGCCTGGCCTGCCTGGAAATTCGGCATGAAGAGGGATGACCTCTATACCAACCTCCACCAACAATACAACACCTTTACCTTCAATCTCCAAGACCCCGAAGCCTTTCATCATGACGTTTACGAAATTTCCCACGATGCCGATACCGTCGACGAGTTCCACCGCTTGATGGCTGAGCGAAAGCAACAACGGCTCTACGAGTTACACGACTCCCTGGAATCTCTCGCCGTTGAGATCATCGCCAACCCCAAGTTGATGGACTCGGAGCACTGGCAGCATGCTCTTCAACTTTTCCGCACCAAATCCTTTGACTCGATTGTCCGTTATTTTGCAAGCTACCTTCCTGCCAACTACATCGATCGTCATGATCGCGAACGCGATCACGACACCATTTCTATTGCTTCCTCCTCCTATTCTGAGGCTAACAGCGTCAAGACTGAGAGCACTACGGCCAGCAGCGTCGACGGTGTTTCGAGTTTCTACGACGATGAGCCTGTCATGAAGAAGAAGTCCCCCCTGTCTATCCACACAGACATGCGGTCATCTTCTATCGTGCAGGCGCCTCCTTCGCCGCCCCACTCCGAGGTTGCGCACTCAGATGAGTCTTCGGCTTCGTCTCCTATGGAGTCGCACCGATACTCCTCTAACCCCCCTTCTCGCTCCATGTCGTTTTCTGGGTCCGTGTCGGGGCCTTTTCTTCCTGACTTGCCTCGATTACTCGTTCACGACGACGATGAGACCTCACAGTCCGATGATAATGACGAGGCCGTCATTTCGGATTCGGATTGTGCAGAGAGCCAGTCGTCACTGGACACCATGGATGAAGGGGAGCAGCTCCAAGAGTATGACGAAGATCTAGAAGATGAGGATGAATTTCCTACTGCTCAATTTCCTGAAGATGCTAGCGACGCTTTCGATTTCTGTAACGATACCCCGGAGTCCGATGACACACCAACTCCTCGACAGGAGACTATCGCGTCCTGCTATATTGAGTACAAGTCCGTCGCGGCCTGGAGAATCCCGTCTCCTCGTCGTTCAACTTCCCCTTCGCCAAAAAGCCACACCTACCGCCGAGAAAGCGCAGTCCAGAAGGACATACGCCGGAGCCCCGAAGAATCACTGAGTAAGATTCAAAAACCTATGCACGATAGCCAAAGGAAACGGCCGGTAATTAGGAGAAGGTTGGATTAGCGATTGGGGAGGCAGGGTGCTTTGTATATACTTGAAGCAAGCGATAGATACCTGTATCTTATGACTTTTAACTGTTTTTGTAATCATTTCTTGCTACTTCCACTCTCAACATGGTCACTCTGCTATATATATGACCCTGACAAAGAGGCTCTGGTGGTCATTCTTAGGTGAGAATGCCTTGTTTTAGCACACTTACTGAGCACTATGCCGCGCCTGATGTACCTGCAGCATTTGACGTGACCGTCGCATGTATCACGGCACGTGGGTCATGTGGCTTTGGTGTTGACATGCGACGGCGCAACATCACGAGGTACATACCACGACTCCCTTGCAAGCAATACAGTACTGCGCAGTACACCACATGGATTCATGACGTAGACCAGGACCTACTTTGGATGAATTTCTTGACGATTATCGACGGGATCGAAGCGTACCTTGCATGCCGTTCCTGGTGTCGACGGCTGTCAGGGACGCCACGCGAAGTTTGCTGCGACGACACGGTAAGTTTGTGTATGCATGGCTTGTATTGTACGATATAGATTATAGAAGGACAAAGTCGCCCTTATAAAAAGATAACGAGTCCAAGTTTGAAATGCCAACATTGTGTTTTTACAGTATATGTCTCAGCCTTCAATATGTAATAAATTATTAGAACATAGGAAATATTGATACGCTGGCGTTGCCCATCCTTTGTTCGACTACTGGTTCATCGTGAGTGACATGATCTGAGCGGTTTGTGTCACCTAAGAGTATTCCCATAGGATTACACTGACTTCTCCTCGGAGCTGTAGCAAATGAATATTTGTTTAGTGACTGTTTGGAGATAACAATGCTTGTTCTGGATGAGAGTGGAGCATGTCACTGAGAGCAAGAAGCAAACATTACCATAACCCTCACGTTTATCTTCCAGTATCTTCTTAGAACATAAACTACTGACTAAAGTCGTTGCATATTTTCATTTCTCGCGTATTAGAGTATGAATAATGATGAGAGTAAGCACCCGATCGGGTGGACAGTAAGTATTTATTGAATGCAGCGGTTCATGCCAATAACATCCTTATGCTCCAGCCCCCGCACTTATGACTGAACCTCGTCTCAGCAACAACTTCAACTCCAGTCATGGCGTCTAAGAAAATAGCTCCCTACGGGGACTGGGAGTCGCCCATCTCAGTGGATTCTATAGTATCCAAGACAAGATCACTCTCTGCACCACGAGTTAATGTATGCACTCTCGTTCTTGGTCAGGGAAGTCACTAATGGGCGAAGCTGGAATCGGGAAGGGCCTTCTACACTGAAAGTCGCGAAGACGGGAGTACAACGGTTGTAGAGATCCTCAAGGATGGAAGAAGAGATGTCCTTCCGGCAGAGTACAACGCCAAGAACTCCGTTTATGAGTATGGCGGTTCACCCTATGCCATTCTACCGGATGATCGCATCATCTTTTCCAACAAAGACAACACTGTTCACATTGTCAACCCTGACAGCACGGAAGGGTTCAAGCTGACCGGAGGCCCAAATCTGAGATACTCCAACTTTGAGGCCAACCCGAAGTGTGACTGGGTAGTCGCCAACCAAGAAGACCATGAGCACGATACCCCAGATGGCGTTCGCAATTATATCGTGGCGATCAACACTCGAACAACAGACAAGGTAAAGAGGATACTCGACACTGCTGATTTCTACTACGAACCTTCGTTCAGTCCCGATGGATCAAAACTTGCGTGGCTGGAGTGGAACCACCCTGAGCTGCCTTTTGACGCAGCAAGACTTTATACTGCAACATGGCATGACCAAGGTTCTATATCTGACATTCGTCTCATCGCAGGCAAGGATCGCGAAGGAGTCGCAGAGCCTAGATGGGGTCCAGATGGTTCCCTGTTCTTTGGTAAAGAAATTGGTAACTACCGTCGCTTGTTCCGTATCCTCCCAGGTAGCGATGAACAACATGAAGTGGATGTGAAGGGCCTGGATAATGCTGAGTTTGGCGGACTACGGTGGTTCCAGGGATGGTGAGAGAGTTTACATCTACAATTTGAGAATGCAGCTAATGACTTCAGTCACACCTATGCACCTTTGTCTGGACGATACCTCGTTGCCGCTCCGGTCATTCTTGGGCAAACCAGAATGATTCATATTGACCTGGAGTCCAATTCTTGGAAGGACATTGGTGACACTGGACGCTTGTCTGAAGTCAATTTAGACGCAGTAGCTCGCCTGAGTGATACTTCAGTTCTTGTCATTGGAGCCGGCGAGACTACTGGCAAGGCATTATATCGGATTGACGTTGAAAGTACAAGTCAAATCAAGGAACTACGAAGTTCTACAGACGACAGCTTCCCTGAGTCATTCTGTTCTAAGCCCGTATTGAAATCTATTCTATCAAAGGGAGAGCCCGAACGGGAACTGCATGGCTTTCTCTGGCTGCCTCACAACCTAGACTACCAGGCACCAGAAGGCCATCTTCCTCCTCTCATCATGATTAGTCACGGCGGCCCGACATCATACCTTGGCCCAGGCCTCAAACCACGAGTCCAATACTTTACCTCGAGAGGTTATGCCGTTCTGGCCTTCAACTATAACGGCTCCTGCGCTCATGGAAAGGCATACCGCAACGCTCTCTGGGGAAACTGGGGGCTAGTGGATTCAGACGATGCTGCCGAGTTCGCAAATCATCTGACAGAAACTGGACAAGTAAAGGAAGGGGGAGTTGGGATAACCGGTGTCAGTGCAGGAGGGTACAACACCCTACGAAGCCTAACTCGTCATGCAAGGACATTTGCTGGCGGGGTTTGTCTCTCGGGCGTAAGTGATATCAAGCGTCTGGATGACTCGACGCACAAGTTGGAATCCGACTATACGGACCATTTGGTCCTAGCATCAGGTACTGATAAGAGCGAAAAGGACAAGATATGCCATGAGAGAAGTCCATTGTTTGAAGCCCACAAGATCACGGCTCCACTGCTGCTTCTGCATGGTGGTGCGGACAAGATCACGCCGCTGGACCAGGCACTGGAGATGTCCAGTGCTATCGAGAAGGCAGGCGGTGAGGTTGAACTTATAGTTGTGGATTCTGAAGGCCATGGTTTTAGTCAGCCGAGGAATGTGAGGCTTTGGCTGGAGGAGGAAGAGAAGTGGTGGAGAAAGACGTTGCTATAAGGATGAGAAGATTGGGTGGTTTGATGAGAATACGGATCGGCTTTGGGGTCTGTGCAACAGCAATGTCTTTCATGACCAGAATTAGTGGTCTAATGGATATAGTCTAGTCTGTTGGAGTCTGCTCTGGATCTTATTTTGTTGCCCCCAAGGTTGTTGATGATGATTCATCAAGCTACAATAGTAGGGACTAAAAAGTCAAGTTCTGGATCTTTAGTGAAGAACAATACCATAAGTTCTACAAAATCACTCAGAATAAGATGGAAAGAATAAATACTTACAATGGGGTCATCCTACAATCTAAACACTCAGCGCAAGTCATAGTCGTCGGTGCCAGCATTAGCGGTCTTCAAGCCGCCTACGATCTCCAACGAGAAGACATCTCATGTGTTGTGCTTGAAGCTCGAGATAAAATCGGAAGTAACTTTCAAAACAGAGCTCGAGCTGCACAGTACCCAGAGGCCTGGGTCAACACTGACCAACACCCACGGACATGGAAGCTGGTGCACCATCTTGGGCTTGAGATGACTGAGGAAACGCGAGCCAAGAGTATAATGTGCGGCTTTGGGTTATATGATCATGATTGTATCCCCCTTGTGACTTAACCTTTAAATTATCTTGATTATAAATCTGATTTAGTTCTTGAGATCGATGAAGTTGCTCTTATATACGCATTCTTAAGACCATGGAAATGCTCACACAGAGAATCGATCGCACAAGACATATTCAAACCATGTCGAAATGGCCTGAAGGTATCTTGATGACTTTTCAAAATTTTATTACAGGCCATGCCCCTACTCCTGCTGTTCAGAAATTAGCAGATGCGTGGACCACTACGCTCTTTGGGCTCGCAGCTACCGACGTTCCAGCTTCCGACCTTTTCCTTGCATGCAAAACCGTTGCAGGTTTTCTATATGTGATAGGTCAATTGAACGGTAGAACCACTCATATGAGAATTAGAAAACCACTCATATGAGAGAGGCCATGGTGCAGCGCCTGGGACATGGTTCAATTTTGGTCGCACAGAGAGTTGTTCACATCGATCAAAGGCCCGACTCAAAGTGTGTCTTGACTACGACCACTGGAGATACCTTTGAATGCCTCAAAGTCATATTATCTGCCTCAAAATCTCCCTATACGCATCTCGACTTTGGCCCTGCCGTTGACGACTCCAAGCATCCGGCGCAGGAGTATGAAGCGTCAGGGTTCTATATCCAAACCGTGCTGATCTACAATGAGCCCTGGTGGAGGGCAAAAGGGCTCAGTAGATATTCTCAGAGCACGAAAGGCCCGATCTGGGAAACCTACGATACTTCGTTTGATGAATACGGAGTGTATGCTTTCGCATGTATCGTTGCAGGTGACACAGGTCGCGAACTGTGGAATAAGGACCTGAACGAACGAAGAGATACGATATTGTCACATTTGAGAGATGTGTTCTCTATGTATACGGCGATTCCGGACCCGGTACTGAGAATCGAGCCGAAGGATAAAATCTGGACTCAATCGGTTTCCTCTACTACAGGACCTAGAAAATTCGTAGGTGTAGATGGTTGGAAGGCGAAAGGTAGAGTTCATTTTGCAGTACCTGGAATAGGTTGTATGTCAAAACCACATCTAGAGATGGCTTTAACGTCCGGTAGTGAAGCTGTAGGAGAGGGTTTTGCTGTCATTATGCCTATAGGAGACATAATACTTTCCGAGTTGTGAGAGATGGAGATACTGGAGTTCATTTTGATGTCGACAGATAAATGTTATAGCGGGAATAGACACACGTTGGCCTGACTGTGAATATGGAAGATATAATTGTCTATATTTACGTACTAGTATGAAGCCATTGCGCTGTCCTTCTGTTTCAATTGACTCCAGCCCGAAGCTCTCCATTAGACTTCCAAACTTCATATTCGAAGTCAGGTTGAAACTCTGTATACAATGCTTCCTGTTCACCAAATCAGCGGAAACATTCACTAGTTCACAGGCATAGTAACTTACCGGGTCAGCATTATATCGATAAGTATACTCAGCTGCCTCATCACCAATAGTGTTCCTAGGCAACTTAGCACTCTCAACCAAGAGTTGAACCTCACACGTCCTCTCCATGAGAGAGAACAAATACGCCGCTTCGTCAACTGTTCCTCCAGCTGCCAACAAGCCATGGTTTTGAAGAATGACTGATCGGTTCTTAGGACCCAGGGCTTGAGCTATGCGAGCACCCTCATCATCTTCAAAGACAACGCCTCCAAAGTCGGAGTATACGCTGTGGTCTTTGTAAAAGATACATGCGTCTTGGCTGATCATGTCTAGAGGCCTGCCGAAGGTTGACCATGCCTTGCCGTACTTAGAGTGCGCGTGGCACGCAGCGTCAATATCGGGCCTGGCTTTGTGAATAGCTGAGTGGATTGTGAAACCGGCTGCGTTAACGGCTACACGATTACCGCCGATGACTTGACCATCTTCGTTGATGTGAACCATGTCACTTGCTTTGAGCATACCAAAGTGAACTCCCATTCTACAAAAGTCAACACAGCGATAGATACAAGGGGAATAAGTTGTACTGACGGGTTAATCCAAAATGTATTACGATCAACAGGATCTCTCACGCTGATATGTCCCGCGGCTCCTTCAGTGAATCCCATACGGGCAAACACACGAAAGGCGCCCGCCATATGCTCGAGCTGCCATTGACGCTTCTTATACGGGTCCTCGATCTTGGGAATACCGGGATACGGAATTCCGCCTGTTGCAACCACAGCAAAGTTCGTATTTACCCGCTTCGCAGGTCCTTCTGCGCTGGTAGCAAAAGACGCCGGGCGAGGCGCAGAAGAACTGAAGTTTGGGAGAGACTTGGTGGTAAGTTGCGTTGATGGGGTAATAAGGCGAGATTTGGCGGTAGAAGTGCTAATTGAGTGAGATGGCTGCTTTGAGATGAGTCGCCGGAGGGCGCCGGCTCGGAAACGTGTTGACGAGAGCATCGTTAGGTCACTTTAAACTTGACGGGATTTATTTAAGTTACAAGCCTGAATCATATGTAAGGAAACCTTGGGTGCATGTAATTGCATGTTGAAACAACGCTTCCTTCATATATGAACTGGTGCACAGAGGCCGGGACAGAGACCGACACAATGCCCCCAAACACTACCTGCACCGGCCCGGTCGTTGAGATCGGCAAACTACCAAGACGCTTCCCCGCGGGGAGATAAGGTCAGACTAGTCTTGACGCATTATAGTCTAACTGTATATACTTGTAACAGAATTGGTTTCTTCATAAAGCCTCATGAGCAGATTGGCTTCTCATAGTTCAATTCGTAGCCTACAATGGTTCGTGATAATGGATGACATCTTCAGTTATGAGACCAGATACAAGGCCAAATGTAAAATCCGTATATATTCCCTTATGTTGCAATCATCAATTATAAACTTTTGTCGTTCTATATCCATGCACCTAATCAGTGTACTTTGCTCCATCTGTGCCATTCGGCTTGACGCGATCGATGCGACCAAGGTTCTGTCCATCCATCCAGCCATTTGGCCGTCTGCTCAGCTTCCATCTAATTACCATGCAGAGTGCACCAAAAGTCTTGATACCAAAAGCCACCCAAAGCAAGATCTCGGAAGCTAGTCGTCTCCTGCCATGCATACTGATGCCATCTGGTAATCGCTCCTCAAAATAGCTCAAGTAACGAACAAAGAAAACTGAGTTGAGGCATGTGTGTCCGGCAGCGACGCCGAAGAAACCGGCCGAAAGAGCCCAGTAAGCAAGGCGCACCTTGTCCCAGACGTAATCGTCAAACTGCTCTATCTCTTCCTTGCTGCCCTTGGGAAGAGGGCACCATCGCTTGCCAATGATGCATCGGCACTTCATCCAGTGAGGCCTGTTGGGAATAATCCACTCACGGAAGATGTCCATGGTGCCTAGTAAAAGTGCTGCGACTATGTTGATCCAGACGTTCCAGCTAGGGATGGGGAGTCCCCCGCTAGCCAAGAAGCTTCGCCAAGCCTCAAAGAAGATATTGCCGCACGGGTCTTCATATGGGCCGGGCTTGGGACAATTCCAGGTATCTTCAGGAAGCCGGAGTTCTGAGGCAATCTGATGAAGATCATTGATGATGGTAGAGTGATACCGTAGGCCAGAAGAAGTAATTCCAGCTTTAGGAAGGCCTCTAGGGGCTGTGGGATGTTCCCATCCAAAAGAACTGGCATACCAGTTTAAGCGCACCAAAAAGCGCGAGGTGTCATTGTTGGAAATAACGCCGTCAAACTGAGTGGTTTGTTAGTTAGGGAAGAGCCGGAAGTAGATAGAGGCTCAGATAGTTGAACTATGAGATAAATGAGAAAAAAGTGAGGTTAAGTATAACATACTGATACCAGGGCCAGTGGCTTCCAGAGAAGATGGTCAGGATCGCCACGGATGATTGTGGTGCCCGCGATAAAGACAATAAAGACGAGTATGACTGATATGACGCTTCCAATTACAGCCAGAATGAGGAGAGCATCAGCGACGCCCTTTCTCGTAGGCTTTGTGATGTATTTGAGCATCACGGCTGATGGCTCAGCTCCAAGGCAGACAGATTCTGATGCTGACAATAACAATGACGTTATGAGAGTTGAGGTGAATTCGAATACTTGAATCGTGTTGTTGATATAAGAACTGATGAGCTGAGTGAAGGTTTAAAAAAAAACAAAAAAAAAAGACACCAACGAGAATTTGAAGCTGATTCGTGCCCCTATTCACCTTGTGTCATGTAATGTCTAGGTAAGGTATGTATTGGATGAGATGGGAATCAGCCTCGCTCACTCTTTGACGATATTACTAGGCAGGTAAGAGAGAGGAGAGACCGAACTGGGCCTAGTGGTAAACCCAGTTTCCTCTTATGGCCCGGGCGGAAGGCATCGGGCATTTGACATTTTATTTCAGGGGGTGCTTCAGTGGTGTCAGCTGCACGTGAGACCCTGAATCTGTATGCTAGTCAGGCTATTGATCGCTAATAGCAGCTATCCCAATATTAGCAAATAAATATCATTCGAGTATATAATTATGGCACTTCAATTTCAGCTCTCGTTTAAAATCGACTAATAATAGAGACAATACAATCTCGCGAAATAGACGGGAGGCTGTTTATTCTGGATTCCGGATCCTATTAAACCCCGAAGCGACCACCATGCTGCCATGTACCGGGAGTATGGTCGAGACCCTTACCGGATCTCCAAACGACTCCATTTCCAATTTTCATTACCACAATATGATTCATATCACATGTTTAATAATAACCCTTGACTTCTCTGAGGCCTCCGTTCTGTTCTTCTCATTTTCAATCAGTCCCTCTTGAATCGTTAGATGAGATAAAAGGCCAACAGTCCCCCAAAGAGATAGACGGCAGAAGCTGCATTCCTGAGACGAGACGAAACATCAACAAAAGTCCGTCACATTAACTGTGCCGCTTATTAAGAGACCCAATTACGAGCCAAGGCGGCAAAACGGATCGATCATTGCACCTCGCGGAAAATATCAGAAACGCAAGTGTTTTGTTTGTCTGGGTACTCTGACCTCCTTGTAGCTCTGATACATCTCTTCAAGTCATCGATTATATTGGTTGGCAGGAATGAGTGGATAGTTCTCATGTTATTATTCACACTTTTTATTGTGACTGAATAAAGCTCATCTATTATCTTCCTACTGTTGCACTTCTGGGATAATACTGCTAAAGTCACTGGTCTTTCTTGATCGATGGTGCATCACCAGTTGCTTATGTATTGACTCTATCCCACCAAAAACGTTGATGTTGAAAGCCTATCACATACGGCTACTTCAGCGCAGATCATGTATGCAATGCTGCCAGTCATAATAAAGAGGAAATCCATTCATTCGCTGAGTTACTTATTCTTATCACTGTATAGGATATTTTCAACCCTCTCTTGCTATGGATAGATGACATCTAGTGTTCATGTATGACGCCGTAGGAGCTGTATGTAGTGTGTGTAATAGGCGTTACCATCCTGCATGACCACCTTAACAAATATTACTATCACGAGTAAAGAATATATCCATGGCAAAGAAAACCCCCAATCAAGGCCGTTCCAACGATACAATACCAAGATACAAAGCTCGTCTCATCAGTAATTAAGCCGAATCCAGTGCTGATTTTTACCATCGCCTCGGCGGTTTTCTTGATCATACCTAACATAAAGTGGGTATGAGATAACAGGTACCGGGTCGCTTGCTCGTTCGGCTGGCGTCATCAGGGTCTTTAGCACCAAAAGCTTTCTTTGAATTTCATATCCTCTCAGCTGTTTCGCTCAAACACACTTCAATCTTTCTTAACAATTCTCGACTGAGGCGCAGAGACCTTGCTCTTACAAAACCTCAGTTGACACCATGGTCCGGGTAATAGAGTCCAGCGCTATCGGCAACGTGAGAGACGAGGAAACACCATTACTGGGATCTTCACCGATCAATCCTCTAAACAAGAAGACTTGGACGCATCGCCTACAACATGAATTGTCCTGTTCATGGGCAGATGCGGTGCTTCTTATCTGCTATGTTGTGACTGGACTCCTTGATAGTTCCTCCATTCAGGTCTGGGGAACCTTTGTTTCTATGCAGACTGGTCAGTTTTGGTTTCATCTCAAAGAGAAAACTGCTAATTAGAAACAGGAAACACAGTCTATGTCGGCCTCGGCCTTGCAAGTTTCATGACATCGACACCCGGCCCTCGTCTTTACAAATCCGCGCTGTCTATCGCATCATTTTGTCTTGGATCTTTCCTATTCGCCCGCTTCCATCGTCTCTTCTCACCTAGACGCCGTTGGGTACTCTGTGCTTCCTTCACCTTACAGGCCTTACTTACCAGCGCAGCGGCGCTTATCGTCACGTTTCGCCCACCAAGTCAAAACCCGGATAGCCTCGCATGGAACGTGCTGCTGCCGATAGTGCTCATGGCCTTTCAGAGCTGCGGACAGGCGGTTGCGAGTCGAGCTTTGAAGCAGAACGCACTCATCAGTCTTGTCCTCACGAGTGTGTACTGTGACTTGTTCTCAGACAGAGATCTGTTTGCGCTGGATAACGTTTCAAGGAATCAACGTGCATCTGCTCCTTTGCTGCTTCTTTTTGGTGTGTTTGTAGGTGGCTTGTTTGCGCAAAGCTCTGTCGGCATCACAGGAGCCTTGTGGATCGCTGCCGGGTTGAAGCTGTGTATGGTCATGGCGTGGTTCGTCTGGCCATCAGAGGAAGAGTCGGATGAAGATTAGATCGGATCTACAGGATTAACACTTTTATCAATTTGTTTCTTGTATTAACGTCATTGTGCAGTGGTCAAGTGACATATAGTTGAATTGGCGGATGCCACGGTGATAGATGTGCTGATCATGTCGATATAGAGAATCTGGCTCGGGGTTTATTGTACCTTTGCCGACATGATACATCGCATCAATGGATGGACAGGATATGTAGTCAGATACTGCAGTCAAGTATAGCTGAAATCGATCGATGAATTGATCAGCTGAACACCACCCAGACCCGACGTCGGACATGCAGTTGGAAGGTTCGCGATGATTGAATTGAACTTGGAGGATGTGCCATGGGGGTGGGTTGCACTAATGCAACAGGAAGACTCAATTTGTGACCTTGTTTCTCTTCGGGATTCCTATCTAGGATAACATGAGCTTCTGACTGGACGGCACGATTTGCTGTGGTTTGTGAATGGGTAAGTGATCTTCATTTCGATTCCACAAGTTCCGGCACCGGACCCCCCACTCCGGGAGGCCGGAGCCGAAGTAACATGTTCATGAGGAGGCCATCACGGAGTTGTACAACGAGCAAAGGGGGTCGTGGAGCGAGGATAGACAAGGCAATGGCAATTTGTCAAGAGACTAGTAAATTAGCAAAGGGTTATTAAGAAAACGTTTTATATAAAGTAATCGGGCCATTACGGCTAGAATGGCTCACGCATTGGGTTGGACTTCTATTATTCCCTGTCTTATGCCCCCGCTTGGTTTGGACTTTTGTGTCATCGTCTTGCCTAAGCGGAGCTTCCACTTTTGATGACTTTTTAGTTTTTCGACTCTAACTACAAGTCTAAGTCGCCCTGCAAATGAGAATCCGTCTGGTATCAAATTTTTACCTTGTTGGGTCGCGTGCGTGGCTCGGATATACGAGTGAAGATCATGGGTGGGGGTTCCCAAAGACAAGATAGAGAGAGACACGGGAGAGTGAAGCGAGCCAAGCACAATCGAATGGTTTGAATCATCTTGGAGAAGTCTTTCCGCAAAGAGCGCGGGTAGAGTTACTTGCATCACAATCACAGTTACATCTACATGGAAAAGGGCAGTGAGTGGTGTAACGACAATTTATTGAAACGAGAGAGACTAGCCGAGCGTCGTATTGCCGCTTACTGTGAAAGGTGAGTTGTCAAACCGGGAAGCGTCCAGCTTACAGTATTTTAGCATTGTACAGCACATTGAACGGTTGCGACGGTCAACGGGAAGTAATAAACCAAAACAGCGGCAAGTACAAGATAACGACTCAAAGGAAACAAGAGAACCTAGAACCAAGATAGATCCTGTGAATAGTGCCACTGCGAGTCATTAGAAGTAAAGCAATGCCGAAGAAACTTAACCAAATGGTGATCTGATCGGCAGTGGATCCTCCAAAGGTAATGCGAGACGACAAGAAAAAAGACAAAGCGAAAAAAAGAAGCTTGTAAAAAGGCCGGGACCTCCCCCCGCATTTTATGTATGTTCCAAGCTGTTGGATGTCTTGTCTTGTCTTGTGTACCTACTTCAAAGCTTGTCCTTGCTTGTCTTTGCCTCGTCTTTATTCGATGTCGTGGAGCCCAAAAGAGTCAAGAGCCAAACGCCCAGAAAAATAAACTCACCCATCGACACCCTCTTTATCAACCTTCTATAACCCACCCACTTTGGTTGCTGCTCCTGCTCCGCTTCGACTCCCTCCCGACTCTCTCTTTCCTCGTCTCCAGGGTCTTGAGATCTTTCTATACATATAATATTCGATATAACCCGCTCTTGGCATTTGTTCCTCATCTTATATTGTCCCGGTTTTCTCTTGAATTTCGTATCTAATCTCTTATCATCCGAAAAAGGATCAATCGCTACTAGGTACTATTGTATTGATACTGTACTGTTACTATATCACAAGACAAAAATATCTGGTCATCTTTTTGCCCCCCTCCTGTCGATCTCGACTACGTCTCGTATCATCTTACCATCAACAGAACCGTCAACACCACCCTTTCCATCGCGGCGTACGTTGCCAAATAATAGGCCGGATGGCGACCATGGAAAAGGATCCCATCCCGGTGCCTTTTCCTCCTCCCGCTGCTGTCGACGACGTCGACTCAACTCTCGGAAAAGAAGATGTACATACCCACTTCTCCCTATGCCTTGCGCTACATGCGCGCATAGCAGCAAACCCCGGATAGGTCTCTTGTGTCTAACAATATCTCTTTCAGGGCGTCGCTGTTCACTACGGCGAGTCCATGAGCCCGCTCGAAAAGGGTCTTCTCTGGAAACAGGACATGCGCATCATCCCGTTATCGGCCGCTATCTACTTCCTCTCCTTCCTCGACCGAACGAACATAGGAAACGCCATGATCCTCAACTCGTCGACCAACAACGACATGCAGCGCGAGACCAACATGTCAGACCACCAGTTCGTCATCTCCCTCATGGTCTTCCTCGTCTCATATGCCGTCTTCGAAGTTCCAAGTAATATGCTCCTCAAGAAGCTCCGACCCAGCCGATGGCTCGCCTTTCTCATGTTTTGCTGGGGTGCCATGACCATTCTTACGGCTGCGACAAACAGTTTTGGCAGCGTTACGGCCGTGCGTTTTCTGTTGGGTGTTTTCGAGGCTGGGTTGTTTCCTGGACTGGTGTTTTACTTGACTTTCTGGTACAAGCACGACGAGCGTAGTGTTCGGTAAGTCTTACTATCCTCAGCTCCCAATAGCCTTCGCTGTGGCGTTGCGCAACGGTTTAGATACTTATACTGAACAATCATAGCGTCGCTTTCATCCTTGCATCTGCGACTCTTGCTGGTGCAGTAAGTTTTGGCTCCTAATTCAGTTGACATATCACTTACAGCAATTTAGTTTGGCGGCGCAATTGCTTATGGCATTGGTCACATGAACGGTGTTTCTGGTCTCTCTGGCTGGCGCTGGCTTTTCATCATCGAGGGCATCCCGTCCTGTCTTGCAGCTTTTCTGGTCCTCTTCTTCTTGCCCGATTACCCGGAGCGGGCAAAGTGGTTGTCCGAGGCTGAGAAAGACATGGCCATTCACCGGTTGTACTATGAGGGTTCTAAGGAATCACACCCGACTATGAATTGGGCTGAGGCTAAGGAAACCCTGATGGACTGGCGATTATACGCTCACTACGCCATTTACTTTGCATCCGGACCTGCGTTTGCCAGTTTGAGCTTGTTTGCACCTTCGATTACTGTTGGGTTGGGTTATTTCGATTTGAAAGCGCAGCTGATGACTGTTCCCCCATGGGCCATCGCTTATGGTAAGTCCTCTGCCATTATGAATGGAACCCTAGCTAACATCTATCGCAGTATGCCAAGTCATAGTGGCTTGGTCGGCGGATCGCTTCAATGCCCGAGGTGTTCACACAGCCATAGCTGCAACTGTAGGCGCTGTTGGTTTCATTGTATCAGCCGCCCTTCCGGCTGATGCATACCAAGCCCGGTATGGAGGCCTCATCATGGCAACTGCTGGCTCCTTCGCATGTATGCCTCCTATGCTTGGATGGCTTAGTTCCAACGTGTTCACGACAGCCTCCACTGGTCTTGCTATTGCCCTCAATGTTAGTCTTGGTGGCGGAATCGGTCAGATCCCTGGTGTTTGGATTTACCAGACGTCAGAACGACAAGGCGGGTTTACAACAGGGCATTGGGTCAATGCTGCATTGCTCCTCTTTGTAGCTGTGATGGCCTTAGGCCTAAGACTGTTTTATGGTTGGAAGAACCGGCAGTTGAGGGAGTACGCTGAAGCGCACGGGGTGCCTTATCGTTGTTACAAGTTGTAGGAAGCGAGTGTTTGCATATTTTGTTTGTTGCGATGTCGTTTAATGAGTTCGATATCCATACACATTAGCGCTATGGGGCTGTGCTAGCAAGACGCATAGCGGAAACCCCAGTACTTCAAGAGCTGTGTTTCAGACATACATACAGTTGTGTATATACGCCGATGTTACTTGTCAAACTCATGTGTGTCCGTGTTGTTGGGCTGGGGGGAAAAATGACGGCTCAAAAACTGAGTTTCCAGTTCGGCGGTACCATGAAGATCTCCGAGTTCGGGTTGTAATTCAAATTCGCTCGCTTGTAAGTGCCGAGATCTCAGCATGCATAATTCAAGGTTACTTACTGTAGTAGTCTACTATAACCCCTGGTATATTTGGCTCAGGCACCGTGTGAGCCGAGAAGTGGGCGAGCAGTGAGGTTATAGTAATGTCATAGCCTCCAGGTTGGATCGGAGTTAGGCATTGAGAGATAATTTACAATCACATCGCAGTGCTTATCAGAGATACCTGCGTACATATAGTTATATGTCAGGTGCGTCATTGGTGCGTAAAGTACTGCGATTGGCAACACCACGGAAATGGGACGATGGGTGGTCTAGACCTTGCATAGAGCTCCTCAATGCCAGGATAGGCTGTGTTGAGGCGGAGGACTCGGACCATACAAACAAGACCGTACGAAAAAGAGACAACGTCCACGACATTGTTCCGTCAAATCAATAGAGGCCTCTCTTTTTTTTTTTTTGCTTTTAAAATACGGAGCACATGTTCCCATATTGACATGTGAGCAATGAGGCCTGTGTGTATCTAACCCAATCAACACAGCGTATTATCAACCTTGGCTTTCCATTGCATGCAGCCAGGGTTTGAAATAGAGATCCAGACCGGACCAGCATGCAACGGTGGACATAAAAAAGCCAAGTAATGTGAATTAATTCTTGTGTTATTCCGAGGCCGAAGTTCAGGTTCTTTATTCAGTAAGCAAAGTCCAGCTGGTCTTAGAAAAAGCCGGTTTTGGATCTGGCCGCATTTGTCTGTATAATAATAGCAAATTGGGTCAGCTCTGGGGTTAGACAGTAATCAGGTGCAGCATCGTCATGATCAGCATTCAGGGGTCAACATTTTCCGTTCTTGTCAACAGAGGAAGCGAGCACGAACAGTAAAGAGATAGCAGTGAGGTAGTCCTTACGGAGGGAAACAATGCACTTACCACCCATTGCGATAAAGGTGACTACTAAGGTATTAATGACTCGTTGAAGAACGGATCCTCTTAGACTAATACGACGGATATGAGATTTAAAAGTCATGTTACCTTGAAAGTGGTTTTGCTGTGGAGGCTGGAGTTATCAATCGATCAAACCCTCGTAAACTCAAAGTTTCAAAATTATGGTACACCAGCTCATCATGAGAAACCCATTTCGTAAAGGGGAAAAAGGTTGGGCTTCATTAGTGGAAAAGTATCCGGGGCCAAGGAACCTGGAGTAGCAGGCTCATGGGCTGTATAACTTGAGCTGCTGGTGATTTCATTCTCAGCGGCCAACCCACTGGAACAGCCGCCACCGAGAGCCAAGACATCACAGGGCTTGTAAGAAGCTATAATTGGGCGGATACTTCTGCCAGATATCCACTATGAGAGAGTGTGATGTCGTCACCAGCGTCATAGGCCGGAGATCTCGCCAGAAACACCGTTTACGTACAATCGCAATAACATCAACAATGCAAGGGTTCTGTCATGTTCGGGTGGTTTGTTTGCATTCTACTGGAGGTTATACTAGCAACGATGGATTGAAAAAGAAACGACGGATGTAGTTGTGAGGTATTAGCCTCTTGGACCATGTGGCTCGGTAAAAGGATGATGCCAACCACACTAAGAAGCAAAGTATATGCATCGCACCCTAGCAAAAGCATGGACTGTATGAATTAATAACAAAAAGAATAGGGAAAAACAGGTGATGCCATCATTGCCATCATCATTGCTGCCGTCCTCGCGGGTGTGACACCTTCGAGCGAGACGGACTGGGCCCTTCTGGCGTGTGTCAACACTGACAGTTTTGTACAGTAGTGCTATGTAGTACAGCACCTACTACTGTTGCAGCTGCTGTGACGCTATCGCGGGGCGTTTTGAGTACTGATTGTCGTCTCCAGTGACTTCATCTACATGTCAACCATTTGGCAGCATAATGTCAATACGACGGGTATAGACAAATAGGCAACTTCAATAAGTGATGTGCGTTTGAGAAAGAGGCTCTGCTCTTTTGAGGGCAAATCACTTCAATTTCTATTCCAGTTCGGTTGCATCGACATTTAAACATTCGCGTCTAGAACCAGCAGCTCGTCAACGTCACATCAAGTCTCACCATTGAATTATACCCCGCTGTCACCACTATTTACCTCGTCCTTCTTAGCTTCCATTGCCATCGTCATTCACCTTTTACCGGGACTGTTACTGTTTCAGCCAGATAGGATATTCCCCAGCTTGTAAGCATTCAGGGCAGGTAACCGTACTCCACAGAGATTGATTCAGCTCTCACAATCATCTAATGACCTCATTCTCCAAGATTCCTATTCGTGTACTCGTCCTCCTGAGTTGCATCCATCCATACGGCATTCACAAGCCTGTCAGGCAGCACATACCTAAAAACCAGGGCCCTGTGTGCTTCCAGGTTTCCCGCTGGGAACGCCCCCATCCCCACTCGATTCGCCTGGCGTTGGCCTAGAATCCTGCTAAAATCTGGGCTGCCAGTGAAAGTGGGCTGCCCACCTTTTCCCTTCCGTCACCTCTCAAATCTCGGTCCTCCCCCCCGTCAAAAAGAACCGGGCTCTGCTTGTCACCACCAGCACCCAGCGCAAGGCAGTTTTTATCCAATTTCCCTTTTCCTGTTTCTTCCCTCTCGACGACTTCTCTTCTTTCTTCCCCCCATATCACCCGTGTCACTTTTGATAAAAACAAAACAAAACAAAAGTCAGACAAACTGTACCACATTTCCATCTCTTCTCTATCACGACTTGTACGACGCCATCACAACAAGAACAACCGCTCCCGCGTCCGCTAGAGTAGAGCTGCTAAACCCCGCATCGTCTTGAGTCCAGCCCTGTTCTGTCAAGACAAATCCGTTTTGTCTTTATAATAATATTGCCCGCGCTTTGCGACATACTACGCCAACAAAAGCGCACGTTTTTTACGATCACGACTCGCACGACTTTAAGACGGAATAGCTATAGACTAGATCAGCCAGATCCGTCCTTAGCTGAATCGCCCGCTAAAACCAACTACGACGCTCTCAAGACGTTTTAATCCAATCCAATTCTCATCAACAAAGTTAGCCCAAGGCTTCTCAACCTCTTCTTTCAAAGGCGAATCGTCGCGCCTTAGCGACAACCTTCACAGCCATGTCTACCATCCAGCAACTTAAGAATTTCATCCGGCACGGTATGTTTCACAGCGCTCCTCTGCCTCTTGGCTTGCTTTATAATCAGGCTCTAATATCTACTTTGCAGGCAAGCAAGCTCGTGCCGCCCCCGAAGAGGCCCCAAGAAAGACAGAACAGCAGCAGGCGCCTGTAGTCCAGCATAAGAATGCTTCAGACCCTAGCAACTACGGACGTTCACAAGAACCCGCCAGCCACGATTATGGCGACGACGAGTACTCACGCACCAAGAGCAAGAAGCGTGTTGACGATGAGAAGCTTGCCAAGCTTATCGCTGAGGAGAATGCTAGTAAGAGTAAATTTCCTCGCTACCCTGGCCTTGAGCGCTGGGAACTTGTCGACAAGATGGGCGACGGTGCCTTCAGCAATGTCTACCGCGCTCGCGACACAACAGGTCAACAAGGCGAGGTTGCCATCAAAGTCGTACGCAAGTACGAGATGAACAGCATGCAGGTAAGCATGACCGGGCTTTCCGTATCTGGCAGTCCTTCTCCTTGTGTTTGATGATTTATGCGTTTGGCTCTTTAATTCTTCTTTCTTTCTCTTGTGATCCCCATTTACCAACACGGGGTTGTCCCCTTCTATAGGGAAATAAACATTTACATCCGGACTTCAAGAAAGTCCCGAAGGCAGCAGAGGTGCGAGAAGCTCTTTCTTACAATTTTTATTTTTACTTCAAGGCCTGTTGCTATCCTGCCTAGAGTCAGTTTCTACTGTCTTGACGGTGGTGATGGCCAGCCTTCTGACTCGCGGATATGTCTGACAGAATACTGACTTGTCACCAGCGATCAAATATCCTCAAGGAGGTCCAGATTATGCGTCAACTTGACCACCCCAACATCATCAAGCTCGTCGAATTTTCCGAATCTCGACAATACTACTACATTGTTCTCGAACTTGCCCCCGGTGGAGAGCTTTTCCACCAGATTGTTCGCTTGACATATTTCAGCGAGGAACTATCCCGACACGTTATTGTTCAGGTCGCTCAGGCTCTAGAATATCTCCATGAAGAGAAGGGCGTTGTTCATCGGTACGTCGAAATCATCACCTGAAACCGATGGTTGATGTCAGAGGTGGTGATGCCCCTCCTGACGTCATTCGCCCCTGCACGTCCTTGGAAACATCGCTAACATCCCTACCAGTGACATCAAGCCCGAGAACATTCTGTTCGAGCCCATTCCTATGGTGCCTGCGAAACACCCTAGGCCCAAGCAGCCTGGTGACGAGGACAAGGTCGATGAGGGTGAATTCATCCCCGGTCAGGGTGCCGGTGGAATCGGCCGCATCAAGATTGCCGACTTTGGTCTTTCCAAAATTGTCTGGGATAACCAGACCATGACGCCTTGTGGAACTGTTGGCTACACAGCACCCGAGATCGTCAAGGATGAGCGCTACTCCAAGTCAGTCGATATGTGGGCTCTGGGCTGCGTGCTTTACACTCTGCTCTGTGGTTTCCCGCCATTTTACGATGAGAGTATCGAGGTGCTCACCGAGAAGGTTGCCAAGGGCCAGTACACCTTCTTATCCCCTTGGTGGGATGAGATCTCCAAGTCCGCTCAAGATCTCATCAGCCATCTGTTGACCGTAGATCCTGAGAAGCGTTACACGATCACCGAGTTCTTGGCTCATCCCTGGATTGCCGGAAACGGACCTACCCCTCGGGATGAGGTGAAAAAGGCAGATGGTATGCTCCGTGCCTTTGACGCCAACAAGTTTGAGGAGGCTGGCCGACGATACGACTTCCGATCTCCTGGTGCTGTTAACCTGCGCGAGGTGTTTGATGTCGGTTACGCCGTGCATCGCCAGGAAGAAGAGGGCAAGCGAAGGGCACAGATTGGACCTAAGGGCACACCTGCACGGTTCCTTGGTGGCCTCAACGAGGAAGAGGAAGAAGAAGACGAAGATCACATGGAGATCGACGGCCAAGAAAACGACGGCGCCAAGCCTAACGCAGCAACCAAGGCTCTCGAGCAAAGCATGCGAAAGGCCAACATTCGAGACCAGGAGCAACAACAACAGTCTCGGGGTCGCGAACGGGAGCGAACTGAGAAGGGCTACGGCCAGCACTCAGCGGCTGTCGCTGCGGCAGCTCGACAGCAGGTCCGTGATCGCAACCGCCAACGCGGAGCTTTTGAGCTCAACTTGGACAATGCAACCCTGCTGGGCAAGCGAAACAAGAAAGTGCCCGTTATGGGCGTTTAGGAACCCTGTGGTTCAGACACACACGATGCCTCAGCAACAACAGGCTTGAGGCACGTCAGCCCTGACGGTTCAGCATTACCTAAACCAGCACCCCTTGAACGGCATTCCACAGGCCAACTGTTGGTGATTGGAGAGGAAGGTTGAACGATTACCGTCGGGGTACGACCGTTTCGCATTTAACTTATTTGGAAATCTGCTCGGTGACAAAAATAACAAATGTCGCCAGACACTCAGCATATGCTAGCAGGGGAGGAAAGATTATTGGAGTGCATTCAGGCGCATGGAGTACCGGGTTATTGATGAAACCCTGGTGATTTGGGACAAGACTTCTTCTAACGTTTTATGTCATGTAATATTTGTCAAAATCCAGGGGCTTGCTTTGCTTATACATGGTTCAGTGACTCTTGTCTTTTGATATCTATATCTCTATTTGTTGGTGTGGGCGGAGAGGCTGTGAAGTGGACAGCAGCGATCATCCGTTGGGCAACATCATCATCCATAGGCTGGGAGTTTTGGAATCTCTTTTTACCTGGTTTGAAATGAAATGGTTTTAAGACTAGATGAATGGATGTTTGTATAATTGACATTTGAAGCTTATATTTTTCATCATTTTACGTGTATGTACACACTGCCGAGGTTATATTACTCATCGTCATCCTCGTCATCCTCGTCGTCTTCGCGTTCAGCAGGGGCACCATGTTCGCCATGGTTCTTTTTTAAATCGCTGCCTGTTGGAACATCACCACCTAGCTGCGATCGAGCTGGATCAGCCTGGTGTTTTCCTTTGTGCAACCCTTCTTGCCACCCGATTTGGAACAGCACCACCACCTGAAGCCATCAGGATATTCCTCACGCATCTCAGGCGTATCTATCTCGTTATAGCTCTCATCATTATCAGCCCAGAAATTCCCTGAGTCGTCCACTTCAAGATCTCCTACAACGCTTGTTGTTAGTATGCACTTCAATCGCGGCCAACTCAACGCACTTGGATGGTAGCAACAGGACGTCTCGGTGTTATCCTCATTTGTAAACGCCCTGTCGCATTGCACGCAGACGAATAAGTCGTTCCAGGCCTTGCGCTTAAGTCTGGTAGTCGTGAGAGGGCTGAAAAACATGATTGCTTTTTTCGTTTGAAACGCCAGATATTGAGATATGGCGGATCGGCTGGCCGCCATTTTCTTTAATATATGGATAACACCGGGAAGTTGGCTAAATGTTTTAAACCCAGAAAGCCTATTCGCAACTGTATTATTAATCTTGGATCTATATTTATAGGTTATTTTGTTTGCTGTGAGTCAGTACATGTTGTATATGTGAAAACTACTAATGTATACCATCAGTTGAGGCTGTTTGCAATGCACCGGGATAACATGAGGCGTGGTCATGGATGATATTGTGAACCCAACTTGTTTGTCTGCTTTTCTTCTTGATCTGCTCCTTTCCTCGTCATTTTTGCAAGTCAACATCTTGCATGGACCCATCACCAATCTCGAGATATCACTTTCAGAACGATACATTATGCTCTTGTTAGTCAATTGTATACTATTTTTCGTCACTCTTGTCGCTGCCAGAGGATAAGATCTTGTCGCAAACTCGACCTGCACCTCTGGAGCGCATATCATTGTCGCCAGAGGCAGTCTTGAATCTTAAGGGCCCGGTATCATTGGAGTTGTCGCCCAGCACATCTCGAGCAGAATTTCCAACTCGGGTATAAGCGCTCTCGAGTATCCAGCCATGTGTGATCCTTACAAACCTTCTCAGACTGAAGGCGTCAGAGCTCTTACCGAGGTAGTTCAGCAGTACGTTGCACGCTGCCCTAGAACAAAAATGATAATACTCGGCTTTTCTCAGGTAAGTCAAGTGCATTGCTTGGTGTGATAGAAAGAGCTAACTGAGTGATAACAGGGAGCTCATATAATTGCTGATGTGATGTGCGGTGCAAGTTCAGTTGGGTTTCCAGCTACAAACCCACAGCCTCTTAACATCACTAACAAGAGTAGGTTGAAACAACCAACCTACAGGACCCTGATCGTCTTTATTTGCTCATTGACTGGGAACCAGTTGCCGCCATTGTCTTGATGGGCGATCCAAGCACTACGAAGGGACAGGCTTTCCACGTTGGGAGTAGCAAGGGCGATGGTGTAAGTCAGCACATATCTCTAGTCAAGATGACAATTGTTGACTTAAATCACCAGATATTTCCTCATCAGAAACCGAATAGGTGCCATTATGTCTCTGGCAAGGCCGTGTCGTTCTGTGATGTAGGAGACCCCTTCTGCGAGGCTGGAGGGCATGACCTGAGCACCCATATGAGATATGTGTCAGCAGCATATGGACAAATGGCTACTGATTTTGCTGTTTCCATGTTCCATCTTGCCTAGTTAGCGTACTTTGATTCTGTCGACTAAAATCTACTTCTCATACTCCATGTCACTTGGCTCAATCTAGATTGCTATCCATCCCTGCCAAGAGATAGAGAGGCAAACAAACAAAGCCTCGACCAAGCCTCGTCCCAACAAATTTGTTGAAATGTTTGAACAAGCAGGTTTTGAACAATCAAAGGGTCCATCCTACCCACGGCCCGTTATATGGTTGATTCAAACTAGACATGCAGTGTTCCTACGCATCTTTCGGATTCGCAAAATAAACTCAACTGGGATATATAACCCAACACTAATCATGCTCGGCAGACATCTAATCCAACGTCCACATCGAGAACCTTTCCTCTACGAGATAGTATACATGATAGCCGCATATTTTCGACAAGGCCTTTATATAAACAAATGGAAGACTATCCCGATGTAGGCAAAGGTCCGAAGAGCTCATATCGGATTGATCGAAACTACCCCAGACCTTGACCCTGTCAGTCATTAACTATGGATATCTGCCGCCCCCAGCGCAAGTGCAAGTTCGCAACCTTTGACGTACAAGTACTAGGGCCGTTTACTTTCTTTGCTTTTTTTGTTCCGAACTTTCGATTATGTGGGCCTGATGCTACTGCGATGTAACTGGCAGACAACTAACATCAAATATCGTGAGATAACTAAAAGTGAATTACATGGTGTTGGAACTGGGAGCGTGGCCATAGCAGTGGCAGCAAGAATCTATATATCCTTCTTCCTCGCTCTCCTTTATTCCTCTCTCTCTCTTTCTCCGTCGCTTCTTAATCACTATACTATTCTGTGTGTGAATCACTGCAGTTGTCAAGATCAACTAGGCATCCCTGTAAGTTATTTATTCCCTTCATCCTGTACCGAAATAAACAAACCCTCTAACTTCTTCCAAGAAGCTTTCAGGTACCAAGGACAACGCAAACATGATCGCTTTCACTCTTCTCCTGAGCTTTCTCGTGGCTTTCGTCGCCGCCAAAGCCACCACATGCGCCAAAGGAGCCCATGTCATCGTGGCTCGGGGTAGTCTTGAACCTCAAGGCCCTGGAGCCATGGGTGAACTGGCCGACAAGGTCCTCAAGCTTGTCCCCGGATCTGACATGGAATCGCTTGTGTATCCTGCCCTGTATAATGAGTACCTCGATTCTCAGCCCGCCGGTGTTCGCGCCTTGACTTCTGTCATCCACAACTATGTGAAGACCTGCCCCAAGACTCCACTGGTTCTCATGGGATACTCTCAAGTAAGACAGACTCATGACATCAAAGCTTTGAGAATCCGCAACTGACTTTTTTTCAGGGCGCTCATGTCATCATGGACACCATCTGTGGTGCAAGCTCTACCGGATTCCCTGCCACTTTGCCTCAACCTTCCTACATCACCGACAAGAGTAAGAGAAAGCCAGCTGTTGTACAATTCTACAAGTTACTAACCTTTGGCAGTCTCTTCTGTTATCCTCTTGGGTGACCCCAGTCTCACAGAAGGTCAAACCTTCCATGTCGGAACCAGCGTTGGCAGCGGAGTAAGTCATCGATCAAGGAAGAGATAAACTTTTGTATCAATCAGACTAACACTTCCCTCAGATGTTCCCTCGTAACCTCCCGGCCGGCTGCGACAGCATCGCCAACAAGGCAGTTTCCATCTGCGACAAGGGCGACCCCTTCTGCGAAGCTGGTGGCAAAAATCTCGACGTCCACTTGGGATACATTCCCGTCTGGGGAGACTATGTAGTCAAGGAGGCTGTCAAATTTGTAAAGGCGGTCGTCAAAAAGCACAAGGCTTGTACGTGAACATGATTTGATGAATTTTCTTGGTACGGGGTCTGCTCAGTAGATAGGCTTATTATACCCCGTATATGAAACCACAAGACTTTGACTTGGATTGAGATTTTGAATGAACAAGACGTGAAAACGCGCAATATCCAGTATTAATCGAGTACATAACGCAATACATCGCACTGCAACCTGATCAGTCTGTGTCTATCTTGCGCTCACTTGAAGACTCATCCCGCATTTTCTCGGTGATGGGCGTAACAGTCAAATAAATGTGTGAACAGCCTGTGCCGCTCCAACATGGCATTATAAGCTGATGGTGCAAGGATGAGAGTTAAATAGGCATGTAGGAAAGACTTTCGCTTACATGCTAGTAGGGTTTTCTTAGTTCAAGATCCCCGGCAGTTAGTTCTCTGTCGTGTAAGTGAATACCGATAAAGGCATTCATTCATTCAGAGAGCATATCTACGTCACGGATTCATTTTTAATTTGGGTCTCAGCATCATTTTGTGTAGGTGGTTTGTATTTGCTGGTGGCATAAGCCTATGACGACCAAAGGGCCGCCAGCTCATACTCGTACATTGTAATCGTTGTAGATCTGATCTATCAATCTATGCATTCTTTCTTCCTCATCGTGTCGTCCAGTCCTGTTCATTAAAACATAAGAAATAAAAGAAATCTAGGGTATCATCATACGTCTTCCGTAAACCAAAACGACCAAAATCCGAGTTCCAGCCCCCATTGCCATTCATTAGTACCAGTCATCCATTCATTGTTACTCCCAAAAAAAAAAAAAAAATCTCATGTCGCTCGCATCCCCCCCAAAGGAAAAAAGGCCTCCTCATCAAGACCAGTCGTCATCGGGGATTCTCCATCCAGCTTTCGCAAATAAAGGTACCGCTTCAGGATAGGCCAGCGAAAAGGGTACCCAGAAGCGGTCTTGGATGAGATGAGGGATTCTCTCGGGCTTGAGCCTGTGCTCGGGCATCCTGCACTGGATGATCCTGTTGAGAATCCACACCATCTCCCTTGCAAGATTCTCCTGGCGGTCCTGGTCTGAGTGCTTGAGCTCGTTCACGTACGTTCTAGCCAGCTCATCAGCCAGACCCGCTAGTGAGAGCATCGAGACGGCGGAGCGGCCTACTTTTAAGACGTGCATGTCGGCGAAATCGTAAGGGAATCTGACGCGGATCTGACGTATCATGCCGTCGCGTGTCGCAACTCCCCAGATGTCGTGTCTTTTGGGGATTGGGAGCATGCCCAGCGCCTTTGCCCAGCATTTCTGATTCTCGCGTGTGTGCTCTGGGCATAGCATGCTCACTTTATACGGCCTCGCGTCGTAGCCGTAGTAGACCATGGCTGCCATGCCGCTTACGGCGTAGGGGATGTGGCTGAAGCGAAGCGCTATCATGTCGATTACTTCACATACGGCCTCGTAGTTCATTGAGCGGTCTTCCAAAAAGATGATGGCTTCGTTGCTCCCTGTTCTATCATGCGCAAGCGGGCAGAGTATTTCATCTGGTGCAGATGCAAGTTGCTGGACTTGCCTCCCGTCCCGATGCAGGGGTATTGGCGTCCGGTATGGAGACTGGTGTTGTGGGGGATGTTGACGTGGAACCACAGGCAGAGGCTTTCCAAGGTCAGGCCTATTAACACCTCGAGCTTGTGTTGGGCCGCCTGACACCTGATAAACCTCCTGACTCTGATTCTGACTCCAACCCTGGCGCTGACTCTTGTAATAAGAATAATTTCCTTGCTGCTGCCCTCGCGTTCCAAGGCCGCAATCATTTCGTGCATTTGGTGCCTTGTAATGACATCGTGTTTGTGGAGGATACTTTCTTCCTTCTCTGGAACTCAATTTCTGTTTCTCATAGTCAGAATCTTTCATCGTGAGAGAGAAACATTCGCTGAAGAGCGAGCGCAGAGACGTACGGAAACCCATTTTCACAACGGCTTCTCTGGAACGGTTTCTACAACTCTTTTCTTTTAATCAACGGGAATCTGGGACTTACCAATTACTTCAGACCTGCTGATAAAATTGATGGATACTTTGGTTAGATTCGTAGAATGTTGTGTCATCGGACAAGTGCTTTTTTGGTTGAGTGTCGTCTTTGTTCGTGTAAAAGCAAAATGGATAATAGCAATGTAGTGCGTGATTGTTTACCACAAGTTGAGATAAGACAAGGGAAAAGGAGAAAGAATGGAACTACATACCATGCGTGCGCTTATATAGAGAGGAGCACCTTGTTCATAACTACTCGTACAAGATGGAGAATAGGTGCATGTTCGCCATGTTCAACAAACAAAGAGGATGCTCTAACCAACACCACCCGCAATTAGGCCGCACAACAGCCTTCACCTCACTCACACGGCCGGCACAGCAAGGAACATATGCGGAGTTAATGTCATGCATGCAATACGATGCTAACCTTGTGTGCAATAATTCGTGACATGGCTAGGTCTATATCGTCCGTCCCGCCCGCCAACGCCTATTAATCTTACAAGTCCATCCCGTGGCCTCGCTATCCCTGTTGAACTAGGTGTACCCGCTTCCGCTCACTCATAACTCCTCCTCCACGTCCATCTCCTCGCCATTCACTTGTCCCTTAGACCCTGCTGGCGTATCCCTTTTGGGCATGGTCGCCTCCTTGTCAATCATTTGTCTCGACACAGAAACAATGTTGTCTTCGATGAGCTCCTGGCCAACGTCCTCGAGATGCTTCTTGGGGTCCAACTTGCCGACGTATCGGGTTTTAAGCTGATCTTTGGTCAATTCGGTCTCTTCCTTCACTCGCTTCTCGTAACCATCCGCCAACGTAACCAGCTGTTGCAGCCGATCCTTATTCTTGCAACCCTCATGTCGGAAATCGTTCATCTCCAGAGCCTCGGTCCAAACGTGCTTGTGCAGGTTCATGAGCATGTTCTCCTCGAGAGCCGTCTTGCGGTAGTCGATTCCGATCGAGTAATAATGTCGGTTCAAGCCGTGGATAAGAGCTTGAATTGAGGGTTTGTTGAGGTGGCCCAAGTTACTTGTGCTTTGTCTTGGCTCTTGTCCGAGCATCAAAAGCTGAGGGTTGATGAGTCGGAAAGCGTCAATGACGACTTTGCCCTTAACGGACTGGATGGGATCGATGACGACAGCCACGGCACGGGGGTTCAATTGCTCGAACGATTGTTGAGTGTTGATATCAACCGATGAAAGCCAGCAGCCGAAACCAGGATGCGAGTGGTACCATCCGACAACCGACTCGGGTCTGTTGGGGCAGGTTAGTCAGGAATAACAGATAGTCGACCGTCATTTAACGCACCTTCCTGTCTGTCGAAGCATATCCATCATCTTCGTCTGGAAAACAGGGTCGACGGCCTCAACACTAACGCCGGTACCACTCTGGGGCATAGCAAACACATCCATAACCTTGACGGTAAAGTCATCCACGAACTCGCCCAGCATCAGACCCATAACTTCCATGGGCACACCTGCGCGGCCGTGTCGAAGCATTTTGAGGAGGGCGAGGGAGGAGATGTAAACCGTTTCGGAGTTGTCGATGAGATTGGTGTTATCCTATGTCCATAGGAGTTAGTCTATGCTCTTAAAGGCAAGAATTTCCATCACGAGAGCTTCAATCGACGGGGTCGTAGCTTACAGTTCCATGAGCTGGTCCTCCCAGGCCCATACCGCCGCCACCGAGTAAACTCCTGAATCGCTCCATAATATCGTCTGGGTTTAAAAGTTTACAGATGAAATGCGCGTGGATTAGTTTGTCAGAAAACGTTCAGGCGTGGGTGGATATGTGATTGTTGGTGGTGATGGAGGGTGTTGCTATGATCGGAGCTTGGTAGAAGGCTATTGACGTTGACGCCAGCCCGGCAGCCTGGGAGCCACAGCTGGAAGCTTAGTCACGTCACGTGTAGAAGCTTCCTGTGGCAGTACAACAGTCTCATGCGGGGCTCTAGTTGTGGCTAAACCAATCTAGATGGGAACGGCCTAACATTAATCCTTGTAAATGGCACTCTGATGGAGCTCCGACATGGGCTTCGCCAACGCTCTGCCCATGTATGTACTTGCTACTAACTTACACTCAAGGCTGCTTCTAGAAAACACCTTCCGCCACACCAAAATTGTCCTTCACGTTTCGATCGAACATGCTGAGCTCTCTCTGAGCTAGTTAAGCTTCATACTATTTTAAACATTTTTTCGCAGTTCCACGCATATCCAACTTCACCCTTTTCTTCCCACCCATTTCCCGAGATTCGCGACACCCTCAGTAACCGCAATCATGGGCGACGACATTCGTGTTGAGCTCGGCTCAGTCGCGCTCAATGCCTCATCGCCCAAGAAGGTTGCTTACTTTTACGACTCTGACATTGGTAACTATGCCTACGTTACTGGACATCCAATGAAGCCTCATCGCATCCGGTTGGCGCATAGCTTGATCATGCAGTACAACCTGTACCAGAAGATGGAGATCTATGTGAGTCTATTCCTGATTAACATTATATTCCGCCCAGACTTTTACTATGAACTTCTGCTGACATTTCTGAAGCGCGCGAAACCTGCGACGAGAGGCGAAATGACCCAATTTCACACGGACGACTACATCGATTTCTTGCAAAAAGTCACGCCAGACAATATGGACAGTTTCATGAGGGAGCAAGGAAAATACAACGTCGGAGATGATTGCCCTGTATTTGACGGTCTCTTCGAGTTTTGTGGTATCAGTGCGGGTGGTAGCATGGAGGGCGCTGCGCGACTCAACCGCCAAAAGTGCGACATCGCCATCAATTGGGCCGGTGGTCTCCATCACGCCAAGAAATGCGAAGCCAGTGGCTTCTGCTACGTCAACGGTATATTTTATCATTCACGCGGAACGACCCTGTCTAACAATCTCTAGATATCGTTCTCGGCATTCTCGAGCTCCTCCGGTTCAAAAAGCGGGTCCTTTACATCGATATTGATGTCCATCACGGTGATGGTGTTGAGGAAGCTTTTTACACCACCGACCGTGTCATGACCGTTTCTTTCCACAAGTATGGCGAGTACTTCCCTGGTACTGGTGAGCTCAGGGATACTGGTATTGGCCAAGGAAAGAATTACGCTGTCAACTTTCCTCTCCGAGATGGTATTACCGATGCGTCGTACCGCTCAATCTTCCAGCCTGTCATTGAGAATGTTATGAAGTACTATCAGCCCGAGGCTGTTGTTCTACAGTGTGGCGGTGATAGTCTTTCAGGCGATCGACTTGGTTGTTTCAACTTGAGTATGGATGGTCACGCTAACTGCGTGAACTTTGTCAAGAGTTTTAACCTCCCTACTCTTGTTCTTGGTGGAGGTGGCTATACAATGCGAAACGTTGCACGCACATGGGCATTTGAGACCGGTGTTCTTGTCGGCAAGGAAATGGACCGAACATTGCCCTACAATGAATACTACGAAGTAAGTCGCCCAGATGTGGTTAAACGAACACTCATTAACGCGAAGTAGTACTATGCTCCTGACTTTGAGCTGAACGTCCGATCCTCTAACATGGAAAACTCCAATAGTCGAGAATATCTCGAGAAGATTACTTCATCAGTCATCGATAACCTCCGACAAACTGGACCTGCGCCGTCAGTGCAATTGCAGGACGTCCCACGAAAGCCTTTTGGCGGCATGACCGACGAGGAGGAGGCTGAGCTGGATGACCTTGATGAGGACGAAAACAAGGATGTCCGCATGACGGAACATCGCTGGGATAAGCACGTTGAACATGATAACGAGTTCGAGGCCAGCGATGATGACGAGATGGCCCGTGTCAATGGTGCTACACGCCAGAACGGTAACAAGCGCAGCTTTACTGATTACCGCAAGGGAGAAATGGATGTCGATAATCCCGACGCCCCCCCTGCTAAAGCCCCTAATGATGCTTCTAATGATGATGCTGCCGAAGAACACGCTGGCGAGGACGGACATGATGTGAACGACGATACTATCGACGATATTTCAGCTCCCGATCAACCTGAGAAAGATCAATCAGAGAAGGCAATTGAAAACCCCAGTGAGGGTGCGAAAGAGCCCGAACCAACAAAGGTTGATGGAGACGGCGACGTAGGCATGGAGGACTCGGCTGTTGAAGAAACAACGATCAAGAAGGAGGATGTTGAGCCTGAAGCACCCGAAGCTCCCATCGAACCTTCAGTGCCAACAGAAAAGCCTGCACAGGAAGAGCCAGCTGTTGAAGTGGCGACTCCCGACGCTGCTACTGCAGAGCCAGTCTCAGGGTCGACCCCTGCTGAAAAGCCAGCAGAATCAATTGAGGAAGCCCAAAGCGAACAGCCTGCCGATGTTATGGACGTCGACACGGAGAAAGATAAGCCAGAGCAACCCAAGGAGAAAAGCAAGAGCCCAACAAACTAGGAGTTGCCAGGGAAGCCAACCGTCTTGATTCTATAAGCATTTTCATGTTACAACAAAAGCTCATGCCACACTTGTTGTCTTATACACGCAGCTGGGCCTTGAGTATCAGAACGAATAGGCACGCTGTACTGAGCGACGATAAGATGCGGTCTGCAGTTCGGGCGTTGCAGGCGCAGGATTGGGTACGGCACGAAGGAAGACGCATTATAGTAAATGCATGGGCAGCTGGTATTTGGCTGGGCCATGTATATAGGACCGCAATTTTTTGATTATGAGTTTCTGTATTTTAGGTCGTTATCATAGCGAAAAGAACTAATTTATACCAATACAATTTTGCATGTCAATAGTGCCGAGGGTAAGACAGAATTGTGATTTTGTTGTGGATTTTTTGACCACATGATGTTCCCTTCCAATTCGTTACAAACCACACTTACTCCTCAGTGTCAACCTTAGTTTTCAGCCTATTTCACAATTTTGTTCTTTTCCAAAGGGTCAATCTGTTCATTGTATGATTGCTCGCCTCGTCCGCGATCAGCTACAGGCTCCTGGGGCAGCATTCCACGAGCAACTTTAAGAGAGCGAGATCGAGCCTCCACTTGGTTCTAGGCGCTGTTTTTGCATAGAAAGTGGTAGCGCTCAAACTCCATAGCGTGTGAAGCAAGTTCAGGGGTCAAATGAGCGTATCGAGCAAGTCTGGTGGATGTGTTGCTATTATTTCGAGGCTCCAAGGCTGTAGCTTCGGCTGTTGGTTCTTCGAGTGAAGTGTTATCATTATTGGTATCATCATTCGTTTGAGTCGCAAAGTAATAATCCTCGGAGAGGGCTGTCACTTCTTGCTCAATAGCTTGTTTTTCTTCGGAAGTCAGCATTTTTTTCAACTGTGTACCAAAAATGTTTTTTGAAGAGTCACCGATAGCGTGAGAGCTGTGTTAGATGGGAAGTTCTGAAGGTGCTGTTTCCTTTCGGGTCCTGTTTGACAGAGAAGTAGAACCTAACACTCCAAAGAAAGCTTATTTCCACCTCTATATATATTCCTTATCAAAACGTCAACCGCTCGTGAAATAGAGTGTGAGTTCTGGTATTATATGCGCATAAACTTCACCTTGATCATGGTGTACCATGAGGTATTAATTCGTACAAGCATTAAATAAGGTTGAAACTCTATCGAATTATACTCAATATGGTATACTTAATAAGAGCTTAATGTTTTTATGTTAACATCACTTTTTGTTCTTCTTGATATTAGATTCAGCTTACATGTTGACTCATACGGATGTTTTGTTTTTTCGCAGCGAAATTCTTCACCTATCTAAGCTCTTAAATACAAAAACAAGCAGCCTATGAGTCTAGCAGAAGTACAGTAAACTGATATACCAATACCCCCTTTCTCTTCCAGCGACCAAGTTCTAATATCCTGAGGAATAGGATCAAGTCTAGGGTGAGGACATGCCGAGAACGGTGGGGGACCGAGATAATGATAAGATCCCCCACTTTCCGTCGTATTTCGCCCGGCGTATCTGAATAAATAGCACGGTAGGGGACGAGGTACATTGGATTTAGCGTCGACTGCGGGGAGTCGAAAAATAATTATTTCCAATCCATGGCCTCTTAAGCTTTGAGGTACAGAAATAAACAACCTAACAACTATGATCCAAGTGGCATAAACTGACCAACTAATTTCGTCTCTTGTGCTTCTACCCGCCAATTTTTTTTTTTTTTGGATACCCTGAGGACCGCCTCGACTCGAAAAGAAGCAATCCATCCCGCCATCGTCATATTTGGTACCCTCACAAACGCTCGGTCGCCACTCACTATTTGGTGGTTTTTCACGATTTTCAAAATCTAATACTGACTCCTTCCCTGGCTCAGCAACTAAGAGTCATAGGGGGTAAAGTCCAAAGAAGCAGCCTTATTCTCACACAATACAAAAGCACTGCTCAGTAGCAAACTACCACTTCTTACTTACCACTCACCATATCATGTCAATATAGCATCGGATTTTTGCTAGTTAGTCAACAACCTAGTCTTATACCCTAGGGATATCATTCTTTCAATATCACTTACTCGACGAGCGCATCCCTCGCTTGACTTATCATCCACAATGCCGACCCCCGCGCCTATTGAGGCCGACGCCGCGACGGCCAAGCTCGGTGTCTGGAAAGAGGCCCTTTACGAACGATGTCGCGAGTCTGGGACGGACATGTTCTCCCAGGATGACCTTATGCGCCTCGATGTCATTCCCAACCGCGATCTTATGCTGCTTGCCCGCGTCGTCCAGTCTCTTACCGATGACAAGCTTTTCATCACTATGCGCGAGGCCTCTGGCCAAGTGCTATGGAAATGGCGCGACTCCCAAGAAGCTCACAAGTATGCAAACCAAATCCTACAACAATTTTGGAGTGTGCAACTGACAATTGATCGCTAGATATAAGCAATGCTCGACCGACGAGCAGGTCATGGTCTACTCTCTTATCGACGACTCGGGCGGCGACGGTATCTGGTCCCAGACGCTCCAGAAGCGCCTCAATATGCACGACTCGGTCCTCAAGAATGCCTTGAAACAACTGCAAGCCAAGGGACTCATTGCACCCTTCAAAAATGTCGAGCACCCCAACAAGAAGATGTTCATCAAGGCCTCCATACGACCCAGCGATCGCGCCACAGGTGGTCCGTGGTATACTGATCAGAACCTCGACGAGGCCTTTATCGATGAGTTACAGCGTGTTGTTTTCGATTTTATAAAGCGCCAGAGCAGTTACCACAGCACGCACGGAGGTGGTGCTGCGCGAACGCAGGTCCCCAAGAAGGGTGTTGTCAAGGGTGGCGTAGACAAGGGCAAGAAGCGCGATGCTAGTCACATGGACGAGCCCCCTGCCAAAGCACCCAAGACGTCTTCGACGATTACCGTCAAGAAGGACGCACTCCTTCCTCTCCCTGCCGGCTATACAGGCTATCCGACCGTTCGCGACATCGCACGTCTGCTATCGGCGAGCGGCATTACTCATAACACGATCCTTTCCGAACATGACGTGCAGAAGCTTGTAGATGTCTTGGTCTGGGACAAACTTGTTGAATCAGTCAAGGTGGCTGGCAAGACAGGTTATCGCGTTTCTCGGGTCGCCAAACAATCCTTGGAGAGCTGGGCTGGCCGAGATGACCCTACAGGCCGTGAAGGCGGCCCGGAATCTTTCGCGAGCGCCTTTACAGAAGCCCCCTGTGGACGCTGCCCAGTGTTTGAGATCTGTGAAGAAGGTGGCCCCGTAGGCCCCAGTAACTGCGAGTACTTCACGAGGTGGTTGGGAGTTGAATAGATTACGAGAGATTTTGCACATGCGATGAGGGAAACCGACATCAGTTGTATTCAAGTAATGGAGTTATGGTATGCAAGTGGGCATTTTTGTTTTTAGGGAAAAAATAGCAACGGCGTAGTAGGACAAGCGATGGCTGTGTAGTATTCAGCTGGACGCAGCGATTGTCTAGTATCTTTAGGCAGAGCAGCATCTGCACATAAGCGATACTTCAGAACCAGGACATTCATACCGATATCACGAGATTGTTTCAAATACAGTTTTGGGTTTATTGGTTCACATTGTTCAATAGCTAGATGCTTTTACTAGCCTGTGACTAACTAGCTCCATGTCGCCAGCCCTCAGTGAGGTTTTGTTATGCAATTCCAAATTCCCGCTCGCCACGTCGTACGGATTGAGCTGTTTACAGCTCACCGCAGTCGACGATGGTGGCCTTCTTGTTGTACTTGACGGCACCACTGCCGGAGCCAGTAGCCTCAAGGGCCTTGACGACATCAAGGGACTGCTGGTCAGCGACCTCACCAAAGACAACGTGGCGTCCGTTGAGCCAAGAGGTGACGACGGTGGTGATGAAGAACTGAGAGCCGTTGCTGTGACAGTGTTAATTAGTGCAATCGAGGTGAGAAGACTGTGGGTGCTTACGTGTTGGGGCCAGCGTTGGCCATGGAGAGCAGACCGGGCTTCTCGTGCTTCAAGGTGAAGTTCTCGTCGGCGAACTTCTCTCCGTAGATGGACTTGCCACCAGTGCCCTTGGCCATGTTAGCAGTTGTAAGTTAAATCAGAATGCAAATGATAACGTACGTTGCCACGGGTGAAGTCACCACCCTGAAGCATGAAGTCAGGGATGATTCGGTGGAAAGAAGAGCCCTTGTAGCCGAAACCCTTCTCGCCAGTGCAGAGAGCACGGAAGTTCTCGGCGGTCTTGGGGACCTTGTCGTCGAAGAGGTTGAAGTTGATGCGGCCAGTCTGCTCTATAAGAGGAACAGGAGTTAGTTTCGATGGAACAGCTGTGATGATTGAGACATAGATGTGATTGAGGGATATGGGTAGCGTATGACGAGTGCTCAAGTAACAGAGACCACGAACACTGCGGCAATTCCATGTGTGGAATCGACAATGGACATTGAGAGGCTGAGGGTATATCTCAATGGCCAAGGCAGGTAAAAAGGACGGTATCGTCAGGAAATCAAAGCTTACCCTTAACGGTGGAGGTGGGCTTGCCGTTCTGGAAGACGGGACCCTCCCAGGTGATATCGAAGAAACTGTTCAACAGTCAGAGATGGTTCCATGAATACGATGCTCGGCCAGGAAAACTTACACCTTGTTACCCATGACTGCGGATGAAGCTGAGAAAAATCTAACAGATTTGATTGTGTTGGAGAGTTGAGGAAGAGAAGAAGAAGTTCTCGCGGCAGAGAAGCAGGTATGGCGGGGTAGGAGGGGCTTGATGAGGGAGGGTCTCATTTTGAGCAAGCTAGAGGGGCAAAACGTTAGCGCGGGGCCGTGGGAACCAATGGAAACACGTAGAAGAGGGGTACAGTGGGGGAGTTGATCACGTGAAGCGATCGGAATAGCTTGCTCTCTATTTTGCCTGCTGAAGCAACCCCCAAGCTGGCGACTTTTCCCATGAGGTCACCGTGGCTATGGCCTGTGGGGCAGGGAAGCTTCGCAGCTCCTGATGATCAATGATGATGAGTGCTCCTTGTTCAATGAGACCAAACAAGTATCCAACCCTGAGCTTCAATGTTTTGACCGCCATTACCAGCTACTGCTAGCAGCCCGGGCGCATTGATCAGAACAAGACCGAGCCAAACCGGGTTGGTTTGGTTTGGGTTGTGGACTCAATGGCTGGTTCTCCAAGCTTCAATGGGGCTCCCGATTGAGCTGATGGAGGTTGCCCGGGCCACGCACGCTGAACTCTTTGGTTTATTTGCAGACCGTTGAACAAGAGCAGCAGGAACCGATGCAACGAGTCAGTGGCCCGATGTCTGAAGTGCAACAGACTTTTGCTCAAGGATCACGCCCATTGGAGGGGGGCAAGGGGGCATGGCCACGCCAGTGGGTTCTTTGACATTGCATGGCCCCTTCCCACCTCAAGTCTTACCCAGTCCATTGACCCGTGGGCAACAGTGACCATTGTAAACAGGAAGCGCAGGGGGAAACAAAGCAGAATGAACAAAGGCGAGAAGAGACCGAAAATACCGGCGTTGGTCCGGTCAGACAGACAGCCTTTCCAAGATCCCAATTGGGGTCACAATAGTTTAGCATTGGCCCCCAAAAAGTGCTCAAATGTCCAATGTTTGCTTGGAAGGCGTCTTGCTTCTCTTTTGCAGCTTGATCAATGCCCAGCTTGTGTTTTCCAGAGAGCTTTTGGTGGTGAAACAAAGGCAGACGCGGCTTTGGAAATAACTGAGCTTGTACATACCTTGAACACTGATACGATTGGGAGTGGACGATTGTATAATTTGGACAGATAAAACTACAGCGAGTCGATGAACGTGCTGGAACAGGTAGACTGATCTCGAGAAGGGAAGGTAAAAGTTTGGGCCAACCTGACGTCTGGTATTCTAGCTCCCTGTTCGGGCCTGAAGTCTAAGGTTGTATAGCGGGTACTCCAGTCCAGACGCTTAAAGTGCTTTGGCATGATGATTACGTTTTAGCTCAGCAAAGATCAATGAGGAACGGAGACAGATGAAGCAGAGGAGAGCAACCATTCTATATTGAAAAATAGGTACTGACTATGGTAGATATTTGTAGTTTCATACTGGTGACAAGATTATAAATCTACTCGAATCCATTGTCCTCAGCTTTATTTGATGCCAATCACGTGATCAGCCATGATCCATGCTGCTGACATTGGGTTGTGGAAATGTCCAAGTGTCCACCATGGCCGTAGTGTAACAAGGGGCATCTTGAACTCTAGATATCTTATTCCATTCCATTGAAACTCCTCGAAAGCATCATTCGAAGCTCTGCGTCACCTGCGCCAATCTTCCCATCTACCTGCTGGCTTCTTCTTGGATTAATTCAATATGGATATGAACGATCTCAAGAACACGGTCTCCAACCTGACCTTGTATGACCTCAAGGCAGGCTTTCGGAAGGCCCAGAATGGTACTTCCCTTGGTGGCCTTGTCTAATGCGCCCGATCGTTACTGACGCGATACCCAGCTGTCATGAACTTTACCGAGATGGAGGCCAAGGTTGGTTAAGCTCTGCGCGATAACTGTGGTTGAGACACAGTCAACTCACCCATGTTTAGGTGCGAGAGGCCACGAACAACGAGCCATGGGGTGCTTCATCTACCATCATGCAAGAGATCGCAAACGGTACATTCAACTAGTACGACACTTTGAACCACTATCAAAGTTTAGCTACTGACTATGAGCCAGTCAAACCCTCAACGAGATTATGCCCATGATTTACCGTCGCTTCACCGAGAAGGCTGCCGAGGAATGGCGCCAAATCTACAAGGCTCTTCAATTGCTCGAGTTTCTCATTAAGCACGGCTCTGAACGTGTAATTGATGATGCGAGAGGACACATTTCTCTTCTCAAGATGCTTCGCCAATTTCACTTTATCGACCAGAACGGAAAGGACCAGGGTATCAACGTGCGCAACCGAGCCAAGGAGCTGGCCGACCTACTTAGCGATGTGGATCGTATCCGAACCGAGCGCAAGAAAGCGCGTGCGACCAAGAACAAATATACTGGTGTTGAAGGTGGCGCAACCTTTGGTGGTGGCTTCTCAAGCGGCAGCTCTGGCCGTTATGGTGGTTTTGGTAGCGAGAGCGCTGGCTATGGTGGAGGTAGCGGGAGTGGCAGCGGCCCTACCAACTTTGGCGGATACTCTGGTGGTGTCTATGGTGACGGTGGTGGTTTCGGTGGTGAGACTGATGACTGGCGAGGAGATGGCGCTGCTAGCAGAGCTGAACGATTTGAGGAATACGACGAGTTTGACGAAGGCGAGCGACCTTCTGCCAGCTCATCGAGAGCTGCTGCCAAGCGACCAGAGCGCGCTCCTGCTAAGAAGACTGCTGCCGAGCCACCTAAGAAGAAGGAACCTGAAGTTGATCTCTTCTCCTTTGACGACCCTGCACCGGCATCTTCTGCAGCCCCTCCAGCCTCGAACAGCTCTGGATTCGCTGCATTGGCCCCTAGCAATGCTGCTGCCGCTCCTGCGCAAGCCGACGATGACGATGAGTTCGATGACTTCCAATCAGCTACACCTGCTCAGGCTGCACCATCCAACAACTTTATGCAAAGCCCTCCTGTGACATCGATGGCCTCCTCGACTGCTCAGTTTGCAGCTCCCCAGCCTCACTCCGCTCCTCAGCAGGCTGATATTAGCCAAATGGTTAGCATGGCATCAATCTCGCCCGCACCGAGCGCCTCAGGCACCCCAGGACCAAACTACTCTGCTTTCAGCATTCCTGTTGCCCCCGCGGCACAGGCTCCCAAGCCCGCTGGGTTCCAGCAATCTGGTCCCAACTACTTTAGTCCCGTCCAGGCACAGGCATCCAAGCCTACAGCGTCTGCCTTTTCTGGCATGGGTAGCACTTCCAATGCTGCTCCCAGCACCCCCACTACCATGGCCAACATGAAGCCCGTTACTAGCTCCTCAGCCAAGCCAGCACCTGCTGCTGGTGGGGACGCCTTCGGAGCTCTCTGGGGCAAGGCTAGTGGTGGTGTCAAGAAGCCCGAGACGCCCAAGGCTGGACCCGCACTGGGCCAGCTCGCCAAGGAGAAGAGTAGTGCTGGAATCTGGGGTGCACCGGCAGCTGGATCTTCCAGTGGCAGCGCTCCTCCCAAGACTGGTGGCTCTGCTATGGACGACCTCCTGGGCTAAGCTGTCCCACTGGTCGACATGTTTAAACATAAATGGATTATAAGCTGGGATCGAGTTTCAATGCATTAAAGCCATGTTTAGTTGGCGGCCTTGAGAATGTACAGAATAATCAGCAACGGGGCAGCATGTTTGTTTTCATGATAGGATCCTAGATAGGCGTCTGGCGCAACAAAATGAACTGACATGCCATGTCGTTCTATTTTCAACCGATTTGACCATCCGATCGACCTTGTGGAGAGGCCAGCATTAGATCGATATGTTGCACGTAAGCTCTGTGTGTATCAGGTGAAGACTAACCAAGAATGGCTCCACGGCGATCATTGAACCACAAAGATCAGATCAAGAACCAGGATTATAGCCCATCGATCCTGGACCGAATCTGTTGCCGTTGCAGTAGGACGACAATCCCAGAATAACCTGCAACGATGGACTCACCCAAGCAATCTCGCCCTATATGCGACCTCTCCCCAAAACAAAAGAGAGCCTCATCCGGACCAACGAACCGCTCTTCCCTAAGAACGTCTCTCATCCAATCGTGTCCTTGTCGATATATCTTGAAACACCAACCGCCCTTTTCCTGCGCGGCTATCCGAAAACACCCCTGCACGTTTAAGCGCCGCCACGACTTTGAGCTTCTCAAGCCTCATTGGTCGCGGTATCAGACGCCCAGGACTTGGAAAAGGAAGTTTGTATCATGTCGTTTAATTGCCAGGGTTGACTTGGTCGTCTATGGTATAGCGAGAAGCGCGATGGGGACGCGGCTGGTAGTAGGCGGCTGCTGTAATTGGAAAGTTGGCTAGACAAGGTAGCTATTCAATGCCTTGTCATGGTTACGGATACGGTCTGTGTTATTCTTGCATCTTGTAAAAGTTTTGTTGACAATGAGATGTGTATAAAGACACTGGGTTTCGGACGTTTGGAAGTGTCTCTTTCTCTTCATCAAACATCTCACACAACAAACACAACAGTCTCTTTTCCTTTTTTCCCCCCTTGTTTCTCTTGTTTCCTTATTTCCTTTGTCCTCTACCTTGTTTGGTCTTGGGTTCTTTCTGCATCAATCTATCATTCACGAACAGACGATTTCTATAACGATCTCTTTCTCTCTTTTCTTACATAAAAAATCCCTCGCCTCTTCGTAAGGGCGGGTTATCACTTGGACAAGATATCTTCCACATCCCCCTCTATTCCTTTCTACTCCAAGCGTCTACCTCTGCGCACAGCCGGCTCGTTGCGCCCTCGTCTCTCTCTGAACACACAAGCAAATTCCAACTCCAAGATGCAGCCTGTTCTCGGCGCCCTCGGGCACACCTGGACTGCCATGCGAGCCATGGAGTTTATCTCACTCATTACAATCATTGGTTTGACATCCAACTTTATTGGCGAGATGGTTGGTGCTGATTATGCGGCGCCCTCTGCTTTGATTGGAACCCTGGTTGTTGTAAGTTCTCGCATATAAAATCGATGCAATAGTTGTAGAGTTACTTACACATCACAGTCAATTATCGCGACCTTGTACATCGCCATATCTTACATCCTCTACTGGGATGGCATGCTCCCTCTTCTGCTTGCCACAGGCGCTGATGTGATGCTTCTTGTCGCCTGCATCGTTGTAGCATGCACTATTGGCAAGCCTGTCAGCTACCTTACATGCCCCAAGTTCCCTTCTGATGGCAACACAGCTAACTTCATCAACTCACTCTTTCACAACGTCTACCACTCTCGTGGAAACGTCTTTGCCTGGGTCGACCCTGACAAGGCGTCGTGCTACCAGCTCAAGTCCGTCTGGGGCCTCAGCATTGCCCTGTGCGTACTTTTCTCGTTCTCCGCCATCACTTCGGGATGCTTGTGGAAGCGCACAAAGGGTGCTGCTCGTCCCGCTCCTAAGGACATTGAGGGTTGAGGGTGCGGCCGTGAGGGGCAGGTCAACAATGCTCTGGGCATCAGTCAAGGACCGCCTATGATGTCCCAGGACCGAAGTCTGGGTACTATGGCCATGGCAAAGCGGTTCGATAGCGACTCTTCTGATGCCGAGAGCGTACGCCAGCCGTGGTGTCCCCCGCCCCCCACGGCGCCTGTCCGAGTCAAGAGGAGGGAGGTTGCAAAGCCTGTGCTGCATCTTCCTCCTTTGCCTCCAGTTCCCCTATCTCCGGGACGTATGAATGATGACTCGCCAAAGAGCCCTCTCGAAAGAATCTGGTCGAAACGTAAGACCATTCTTGAGCGAGTTGAGGGTTGGTGGGATCTTGATCTGCTCGAGAAGAGACAGACACTCTTTGGAGGAAAAAAGATTTAAACGATAATGGTTCTTATGGGATATAATAGATTGGACGCTTTGCTTTGCTTTGAGGTCGAGGACACACGTGTTGGGATACACAGGGGTAATGTCTACTGGTTAGATCGACTTATCAAAAATGAATAAAAATTGGATCGGGGTTTGAACGTCGACTGTTCAACCATTTAACAACAACCTTCCCAATATCTGTGATAACTGATGTTTTAGCCTGTCAAATAGAAAAGGGGTTCCGGCTTGGGTACCACAAGGCTAAGAGACTTGAAGAAAACTGCTGGTAAAGCATATAATAGGTAGACTCCTTTACTTCCATCGGCACAAGCCTTGGACTAAAGAAGGAAACACATGTGTAACAGATGGGAAAATCTTGTTATAAATTAGTCCTACATATTTGATCCCAACATTCGAGGTCAATAACCATGCTGTCGACGCGTCCTTGTTGTCCGCCAAGTGTGCTCTGGGAAACCGCGCTTGTAAACAGAGAAATAAATCATCATTCGTATGCTTCCATGATTGATTCAACAATACAGTCTCAAGGGTATTAGATCAATAAAACTCCATGGCCAAGAACCTGCATGCACTTGGCCACATCCCAACTCTCGTCAATCTGATCTCGTTTCGACCAGACCTTTTCCATAATCTCCAGTGCCTCTCTGACTGTGCCAAACACACTGATAGGGCCCAGACCCTCCACCATCGCTCGGTATGAGTTCTCGTCTTCTGGAGGCGAAAGACATCCCGCTATACAGAACGGCCAGACCAAGGTTCTTAGGCAGGTGTTGGATGGGAGTGTTGTCAAGAGGTGCGTCATGCGGCGAACGGAACATTGAATCTCAGGGCAGGAGGGTTGCCAGCCAGATATGACCACCTGAAGGTAGGTGAGGGCGGCTTGTAACCATATCATGTTGTTGGCTGCGAGGGCGGGGGCTTGCTTTGTGTTGATGTCCTGGTTATGCATCGGACTTGCGACTACACTCATGACAGGATTGTATAGGGGGCCGGGCATTTGAGCTTGTGCCTCAATGACACTCAATCCTCCCCTGATAGCACCCTCCAGCACCTTACCTCGTTGAACAAGCTCGTTGATGGATAGGGAGTTTGATCTCTTTTGATCCTTTTTCCAGGCGTCCAATGCAGAAATATCACCGATGATCTGGACGACCCAATTATGAAGGCCGACATACTCTTCCATGAAGAGTGATCCTGAGATACGAACCTCTTCCGGTGCGACGTGTGCCTTGCAGCTGGGCATGATGATTTCCTGGTACTTCTGAAGGCGAGGCGCCTGCTCGAGCGTTATGCTGGACATGACATCGATGTAAAGAACGTTAGCTGTGAAGAAACGAAGCGCGGCTTGGTTTGTGCTAAAGGGTCGGCGGACGCCCATCTCAGGAGGTGGCCAACGGTAACTGTAGAGAGCTTCTAGCGTTTCCTTCCAATGCTCGGGCTGAGGAAGGATCTGTTGAAACATTGTGATGGCAGCATCGAGATGCATCTTCCAATGGTCTTTGTTGCTAGTCGATACTTCGAAGATGAGCATCTGTAAGATGGCTTGCAGAACGAGGAGTCTGTCTCGAGCCCCAGCGCAGGATATCTTGTGGTTAACTGCAGTCATCTCGCGTTGCAGCTCTCTTAAACCCATCTCAAGCTGGGACTGTAACTGGTGAACCATACGGTTTGTGCACTCGACATGCTCAATCTCACCATTAGCCATGACAATACTGAAGAAGTATGAAGTCAGTGAGATGGCTGTGTGCCAGACGGATTTGTTGCTCTGTAAGACGTCCAATATCCAGCCACGACCGCCAGCAAGGATGGGGGGGCGGTAGAAAGGAAACAAGTGAGGGAAGACATAGTCGAGGTAGATCATGATGAAATGGACCTCGGTGCTGTTCCCAGTTGAACTGCTGGGGTCTTCGTGAGGGACTGCGAAGTGACTGTGCCAGGGCATATCGGGAGGAGATGCGCCACTGGTGTTGCTAGAACCTGGAGTCGATCCAAACTCATGACCTGAGGCAGGGTCTGTGTCGGATGCTGCGACCATGGCAGGGTCGTGAGGTTGTTGTTGCTGCTGAGGGTTTTGGGTCTGAAGTGTGACATTCTGAGTACCCGTCTCAAGCATCTCCATGTATTTGCGATCGCGACGCTGACTGGCTTGCTTCTTAACCTGAGCCTTGATCTTTTCAGCCATGGCTTTCTGCTGTGATCCGCCATCCATCCATTCTGGCTTCTCATCGTCAAAATAGCAAGTGATCTCTAGAGCACTGCAGGAATCGCAGACTGGACGTTTCTCATCGCACTTCTTGCGACGGAGGCGACAAGTCCAGCAGCCAGCGTTAGAGCGCACTTTGGAAGACATGAGATGACGAAACATGGTGGCGGCGAACAAAGGGACTGCTCCCTTGAGCCAAGTTAGCTTTATATCGTGTATAAAATATATACAGCAAATGATTTCCGTCGATATTGGAGATTATCGCGATACGTGCCGAATTGATGAAGGATGAGAGTTGGGTTGGCGTAAGGAGTTCGTCTAGATTGGGTTAGTATAGATCCCCCATGTTCGGATCGACAGTTGAGGCCAATCGAAACTGGACCTCTCCATGGGCCTTTGCTAGTCAATTTGTCAGCCTATTCTACGCCATACATTGCACATTAGTAACGGACGTACTATCTAGTTATGATATTTGATACCATTAGTGTATGTATATCGCTTGCCGTTCAGTATGAATAATTATAATTAAGAATGGCATGTTTAATACGGGCTCAACTTGTCGGTATCTGATGATATTCACTGAAGCATTAACCATTACATCCCGGTCTGTTTCTGTTAGCTGTGCTTGTCCGTCACTTGGTTGATTACTCTAATCTTATGATGTGATATTGCATTAATTAACCAAAGGCCATGAGATGGCAGATGGATAGAGAATAAAGCGTACTGGACACAGCGAGTGCTGGGATAGTTCCAATTGTTTGCCACTTTGACAACCGTGATTATCAAACATCGTTGTAGCATATGAATGGAAGAAAGAATCATGTTAACTCAACAGAGACATCTGTACAGCCCAGACCTTCCTCTCGCAATCCTCCTCCTTGAAACCAAATACGACAGACTGTACCGAAATCCATACTTGAACCGGTCTTTTGTAACTCTTCTTAACCACAGCAAACTGTTGCCTCCTTAGAAGCACTGGTACCATTGGAAAGGCTCAAAGTCTCCCATTGAAAGATGAAAGCACCAAGATAAGCACCAATAAAGATGCAAATGATGAAATAGCCGTTGTAGTACATGGCCAACAGCATGACAAAGTAGGCCACGGCAAACTGCATCATGTGCAAGAGGGCACGGATAGCCTGCTGCCAAACATTGGGTCGGAACGGGGGTACAGGATTGTTGCAATCGACAACGGTAGCATTGCCTTCTTTGTCATTAAAGGATCCAGGTCGACCGGTAGAGGACGACTCTATAAACTTGGCGGCATGCTGGCGGAGGAGATAGCGATCCCATTCTTTGACGGAGCGGCGGAGAAGTTCAAGGGACATGACGAGAAGAATGACACCAATACAGGAGCCGGCGAACATTCCCTTGGAAGTGACGCGCCACGACTCAGCGATGAAGCATGAGTCGACCGTGTTCCAGTTCCAAAGCATCTGTAGAACGTGTCTGTCAGCCATGAACTTGAAGTGTTTGTCGAGGAAAGATAGCAAGGGGGACTTACGGAAATCTTGCATCCGCCCATCATGTCGCCGTGGTCCATGGCCATTGAAGTAGAAGCAGCAGGCATGTCCATTGTCATGGTGGCAGTTTCTGACATGCCAGTCACATACATATCGTGATCCATAGTCGAAGCTGTGTTGGGATTGTCTTGAGTGGCGTTGACGGTATCGATCGATGGTTGCGAGAAGGACAAGGGATGCCTTCGATTCGATATTTGCAGAAGAGAAGACAGGAAACTAGATAGAATTAATCAGACTGTCAAAACCTAATAAAGGTGCCAAAGTCTAAAATATGTTGACCCAGGGACGAAAAGAAAAGGGAAGCTTCGGCGGTATTTCTACCTTTTTTCCACTCCCAATGTACTCTATCCATTATGGTACTAGTAGACTGAGATAGGACACAAATGAGTTGATTTTCGCATGTAATTATCAGACGATGGCCTAGCTTTGCGAATGTTTGAGCAAGTTTCCATGGGCTGAGGATTTTAGTGCAGGGATGATGAATGTGCTCCGATTTTGTGGTCGTTTCAGAGAAAGAGGCGTTCTTATCTCTTGGACATGGGGTAAGGGACATGGATATGAACAGGCTATCCAAAGACCATCCATATTAGTTGATTACTCTATTCCAACGTCTGGCCTTTTCTTTGTGTGGAGGAATTGTGCTACGTCCATGTCATTGGAGGTTGGTGATCCACCAGATGATTCAGCCCAACATTGATCTATCATCGAGACTAGAAATAACAAGAGATGGAAGTGAACTTTAGATTCTACTATAGAATGCACAATAAGTTCACAATTTATTGCTGGCATAAGCTCCATCTGAGACGAGGGATCAAGTGTAGGTAATGATGGCACACTTGGCAGAGCCTGCGTTTGATATTCTCACAAGCATCAGGGTCACCAATAGGATAAATTCAACTATGTTATGAATAAAAAGAAACGTTGCATGCGAACCCGCGAGCCTGACAGTGCTGGCAGGCAGAAGATCCGATCGTCGGGCACATCTGCCCCCCGCAGCCGTGCCCCTGATTTCCATAACCCATTGTTAATCTTCCACCACGTTCCACCTAACCCTTGTAGCCCATAGAAACGCGCACAACGGAATGAAAGGTACCTGATTTAGTGGATGTTTGTTTTGATTTGGACGTGCAGCCATCTTTGATTTCAAAATCGTCGAGTGTTTGTGTGCCCTGCATGTCTGCCCTACCCTACTAGGTCTGCCACAAGTAGAATAAAAACACTTGCCAACACCTTTGTTACCAATCTAGTGGATTATGAATTACTGTAGGTATGGGTGAAAGAATGTTTTGAAGCGAATTAGGCTGGGAAAACCACCGCTGCTAGCTGGGCTGCATTGGCGTCTCCAGGTTACCAGCAGTCAAAACACAGTCGGATTGTACGTGCCGAGCAACTTCAGTTTCATTTTAAAAATGGTAGAGCTACTGCAGCCTTTCTAAATATAAAGGTCACGTAGAAATCAAAACAGTCACGCCAAAGATAGTCAAGTGTGTGCAGAGTGTTGTCTCTTAATCTACTGCACCCGTCCACGTTTCGTGAAATTCATTGAAAGAATTGCCGGCTTGTTATACATGAAAACCATTGTGTCAACGCCAACTTTCTCTGCTTCCCATCCAATCATCATTAATCTCCAAGCCCGAAGTCCTGTTGTCGAAGAATGGTTCGAAAGTCATATTGGTGAGTGATGTGGATCTAGATGTCCTTGGGAGCAGGACCAGCAACGGCGCCACCAGCGTCCTTCTTGGCATGGGCACCAGTCTTGGCCTTGGGGTCAACGGCAACACTGTCATCACTCGCAGAGCCATCGGTGACGGCAGAGCCATCTGGGACGGGGATACCGCGATAGGTAAGGCCAGTTCCAACGACAGGGGTAGCAGCGGCGGCAGAAGCGTCAGTGTGGGGGACCACCTGACCATAGAGATCGACAGGGACAGGTAAATGCTGTGGAAGGGCAACGCGGTTGCCCTTGCTGTCAATACGGTAGACGTCGAAACTATTGACAGGTCAGCCACTTCTACCACCGAGACGTTGTGAGAGGTGATGGGGATGAACTTACGGGTGGGAGATATGTCCCAGCTCAACATCATCACGACCGCGGTTGTCCTTCTTCTTCTTGAAGAGGCGAAGGAGACGGCGTGGAACCCGAATCTTAGGGAAACAGCCCATCTTGGAAGCGATGCAGATGCAGTGAATCTTGGGTATTTGTGAGATACCGAAGACTGACAAAAGAAACAAACATAGTGAACAAAGACTTACCTTTGGGAAGGATGTGGACCGGAGATTCAAAGCAAGTTTTGAATCGAGTCGAAAGCGATTTGTACCGATGTTTGTGTGGTGGGATCGATGCAGATCAAACGATGCGATAATGGTGAAAGGAAGACTTAGTTGGCGGAGAAGAAATGTGGGAATTTATACCCGTCAGGAGAGTGGGAGTGATTGAAATTGTGACGGGCGTTGGGGACAAAACACCAGTGCTATCTGATGCCTGGTTCAGCAGCGTTGCTGGCCGATTCCTGTATATGAAAGTAGGGGATATGGGATGCTACTTGGTGCAGATACTGATTCTCGTAACCACAAGACAATGCAACTCATGCAAAAAAGTTACCATATATATCACTATCAGGAGAAGCTTCGATATGAATTTCAGCTCGATGAAAAATGTGTAACGTCAAGTAAATCCAAACAAAGTTATTGGAATTCCATACTCGAAATTTCTCTTATTAGAACGTCCTAACGCACTATCTTCTATTCCAACTCGCCAGGTGGCCCCGACAGTAAGAGTGGGACTTGGCATTGCAACTGCCGCCCCCCCCCCCCCCCCCCCCCCCCCCCCCCCCCCCCCCCCCCCCCCCCTACTACAGCCTGTAAGTCTGCCTAACTGATGATTTGTAGTGAGCAGCACCGAGAGATCCAATATTGCGAGTGTCGTCCCAAGTATTTCCATCTTGACCCTCCTCGACTGAAGAATTAGCCTCTGAGAACTGGCTCTCCTAGAGCACATTCTGTTTTCTCACGAACGTATCGATCAACTGCAGTCTGAGCATCTTCTTCGCCGTCAAGAACATCCAACCAATGTCCCTTGACATGCTCCTGTCCCAACACCAACGCCATTGCTCTCGCCGTTGACGCTCGAGTTGTCATACCCCTGGCTTGCTTCGTCTGCCCCAGAAGAACACCGCCTTCATCTTTATCCGTTAGACCGCCAGGACGAACCGATACTGCAGTCAGACTCTCTCTCTTCTTGCCTTCAGTCACGAGAGCTTCGTCGGCGGCGACCTTGGGCTCATAGTAGGGACCCAGGAAGGTCGAGTTGACCTTCTTCCAGCCCTCCCAGTCTTCAGGAGTCCACCAGGGAGCTTGTTCACGACGAGCGCCAAGGTAGGATACTTGCACATGATGACTGATGGCTTCATTAGCAACCGAGGCTTGTATGAAGAAGATGGCGGCATCACGATCGATTCGGATGATCTAGAAGAGCATTAGCTATACTACATCTTATACATCTTGTAAGTCAGCAGCTACTGTGTCTTGATCAGTTCCCCTGCCAGGTCCTATTGCCAGTCAGCTTACACTCCTCTGCAGTCACTCGACTCTATTTCAACTTACCAGCGCTGAAAACGACTGAATCTGGCTTCACTTCATCAATAATAGCAGAGGCCTTCTCCTGGCTGGTTATAGTGATGAGATCATGAACCACTATGCTATGCGTTCCCGGCAGGCCCTCAGAGATCTTCTTCAAGTCGTCGATCTGGTCTGGGTTACGAATCAGACTCGTGACAGTCCACGACTTCTTCAACAGCATGACTGTAAGAAGACGGCTAATCTTGCCATTGCCGCCGAGAATGAGAACATGACGATTCGAAGTCATTGTGCTAGTTGTAAGTGTTTGAATCAGGAATTGGAAGTTGTAAGTTCTAAAAGGCGCAACAGACGACATACAAGTTCACGACCCTTGTTGACTGGGCTTCTTAGCTGACCAACCACGACACGAGACGCTGTCCATGACGCGAGCATCTCCACTCTTCGACTGGGTTTCCTAGGGAAGGTACGACCCTTGTTCCCGGCAGTTACGGAGACGACACTACGATGAGACATTATAGATGAGAATCAGAAGCCAACTTCTATTATAGGCTACTACTAGTTTTCAACTATCAGAAACACTCGAAAACTACCCAACTCCAACTTTCATTGTTTATGGCGCCTCTCCTTATGTCTATTCTTCATCTCCCAGCCATTCGCCGTCAAGAAAACAACTACGCCAAAGTCAGTATACAGTTTGGATCTACATCCTGATATATACTATCTCGAGATTCTCGAGGCCATCGATGGTGGCTATGGTAGTTCTTAGTGCGATGGCGATTTTTACGCTTCGACTTCGGCTCGGCTACACTCAAGCAGCCACCTATATTCGATAATCGAGGCAGAAGAGTTTTAAAGGGCTCAGTATAGGAGCTTTTGCGGTATACTATGGAAGTTGGTGAGAACGGTAAGCTGGAAGAATTTCAAACAATGGGCGAGTCTCCTGGAGCTATGTAGGCTCCAGTAGAGCACCAGCAGTGAAACGCTGTTCAATTGGGATACTGTGTATCTTAATTAGAAACTAATGGCTTCTATAGATAGACCCGAGCCGAAAGCGAAGAGACAATAATCTGTTACTATTCGATAGAAAATCTCCAACTTCTGTCCCGCCCTCGTTGGCCACAATTCTTTGCGGAGACGGATGCACTGGCGCTTGTGTTGATGTAGCCCAGGTCCTGTCCATCTTCTTCGCCATAACGAGATCGATAGTTTCGTGAACCATGGCTACTGGAGTGCCGAGAGCAATGTCGACGCCTTGATTCTGAGCCGGGTGCGCTGAAGCAGTTACCCATGTCTTTTGGATAAGTTGAAAAAGAGAATATATGTTGAAAGGCGGCAGAGGATAACTTGAAATTAGTTGACAATCTCGATTCACAGACACCAAGTCTCAGGCGGTATGAACGGAGGCTTTATATACTAGATCAATGCGGACAGTTAGCTGTTGTTTAGTTGAATCGCTGAAGTGTTGCCTCTAATAGTTGCATCCAATACACGGTATGGCTACTAGCATATTGTTACTGTTGCATAGGTCTTAACTATCTATAGGCAAAGCGTGCATTATAACAGTTGAAGCTAACGAAGGGCTTATAGCTGTTACAGTTTGTGAATCACAATCGCTGCATCATGTGCGACATGACTGGAATGAATCATGGCACTCTTCTATGTATGTTGTACTGATTTTGTAATTTATAGGTTCTGGAAAGGATAGTAAACACGAGCCAGAACTCGCCAGCCCCTTGAGTCAGATTACACGAGAAACCGCCATTCACCCATACGAGGGTGGCCGGGTTAGCTTGTTATAGCCCATTCGGAAGATAACAACTCTTTAGTAAGCGGTAAAACGTGAAAATAGACAGAACTAACATCGAACGGTGTCACTAGGTCTATATTCAAATTTCCACGAACGGCGCAATGAATCGACAAGATTCCAACCTCCATATCTCTTAAAAAAAGAAAAAGAAAAGAATTCAAGTAGACTCCGCTTCGGAGCCGAATAAACCGGATCCGATCTCGCGATTTCCTACCCAAGACCACTCAATACCAAATATCGAACGAACATACCTAGCAAGGACTGTGTATTGAAACCTTAACTACCGTAAGGGGCGAACGAATCAGCCAGAAAATACATAGGCCGGACGAGTCAGGGTTCCAGTCGATATGATAGTACTTGCATGACCAGTCCCTGGCCAAGCCCACCGAAGCATTGTTGCCCCTGGTCGAGCGTCCCCAGCTCCTCTGTGGTTGTTCCCTCGAGACGACCAATAGTCAGTTCTCTGGTCGAATTCAAAGACTTGTTGGGTGCCAGAGGCGAGGCTGAAGCTTGTGGTATCACTTCCTCGAATGGTATAGGAAGAATGAGCGGTGGACTAGGGAGACTGTCAGAATGTGTGCCTGAGGTAACCGCTCGATTACAGAATAGTTTGCTGACGATAACTAGACTTACAAATAGCGACACTATGTGTATCCTCAACGAACTCCAAATAACTTATCAGCAACCAGATACTTAACTATATTCAAAATCGAATTTACTCCGAATATACTGCTCCGCACGAATGGGTGTAGCGGGCAAGATCATAGCACTCGGTTTCGTGCCACCCGTCCCAAAGACTCTCTCATCTATCGTTCGATCGGATATGCGTACTTCCACTGTTAGAGACAAAGCTCGTCTCGATGGTTTGAGTTGGTATGAATTCGGGATTTCTAATTCTGTTACTAGAGTACGTCGAGTTTGTGCCCACGAGCTTGCTAGGGCCATACTTACAAGCCCAAAGAGATGAAAGCGAGCAACCCATTCTGAAAGTGCGCCGCTTTTCCCCCGGTTTGTGATTTTGATAGTAGTGATTTATTTTAGGCTTTGCTGAGTCACTACAAGTAGTATTATGATCGACGTCTAGCAGTTGAAATTTCCATATCACCCGCCGAACAACTAGATTTATAGTCATTGAGAAAGAGATTACACAAAATTTTGAATAGTTTCCTTCAAAGAACAAACATGACGACAAACACAGACAGGGCCTTTTCTCTTTGGTTTTTTCTCGAGCATTTGTTTACTAAGACAATGATGAAAAGGGATAGTATCAGTAGTTTCAAAAAAGCACATGTTGGATTACCCTACACTCAGACGAATTATGGTTGCAGATAGAATATCAGGTAAAGATTGTCAACAAGGTCAAAGAAATTGGCTCTTGTCACTTCTCTGTTTTTAATACTAACAAAGGATAGTCCTATCAATTCGCTTATCATCAACGCCCTGAATCACAGAATCCACGTCTAGATAAGTCATTGACAACCCCCAACTCACTCTTTCAAGCCACGGAGAGCATAAAGTTCTTGTGGTTTGCCTTGAGAGTCACAGCTCGAAAACTTCCACCACTTTCCGTACCACGAACCCGCGATATTCGTCAGACCCCAAGAAACGGGAGCAGGCATGGGAGGCCAATTCGCCCACATGCCCTCCTCACTGGTTCTATCCAGGTTCAACAGGAAGAATGGGACTACGTCGAGCACACCAGCTTTGGTGACTGTCTTCTTTCCCCATGTCTTGAAAGTCAAGCTGGCGGCAGCACCCTCGGGCGAGTCTTCTTTCGGAGCCTTTGAGTGGTTCGAAAGAGCGGCAATGGTAGAAATCTCGCTGTGGAAGTGGTGCTCAAAGTCAGTCTTGAAGGCGTCCATGAGCTTGATGACCTGAGCTCCGTCGAGGTCGGTGGGTGAAGCAAGGCTAGAAAGGTAATTGTTGAACTCGGCAAGAGGCGCGAGGAAGGACTCTATAATCACAATATTAGTGGTGGAATTGCTGATGGAATAATAGGAAATCTACCGTGCTCATGATGTGTTTCCTCCCAGACAGGGTCTTCGCCAAGCAGCTCCTGGACCTTGGGGAAGAGATTGTCCTCCTCATCGTCATGATGAGATTTGACAAACTTAAACCAGGTTTGAGAATAGCCAATAAAGTCAGCCTTGTCGGAATCCTTTACGTGGGGAGCCTGGAGGTAGATGGAGTTGAAGCCTCGAATAATGGCGTTGTGCAGAAGGGCCATGTGAGTGGCTCCTGTGGTGAAAAGATCGGTCTAGAGAGACAGCAAGGTGAGTATTGGCTACGATATCCGAGATGGTGTTTCAATCGCAATTACTAACCTTTTTCGTCTCATATTGAGGTGTTGTCACCAGCTTCATAGGCCCATCAGCCCAAGGCTGCTTTGCCGGCGTGGCAGACATATTGAGATACGGCGAATTGGCAAGAAATAGAGCAAGTCCAGCAAAGAGAACCTGAGCGACAATCAATACGAACAGACGCTGTCCAGCCATGATGAGAATATAAGAGAGAAACAAGATGGGGAAATGCGGCAACAAATACTACACAATGGGCGCGTCTGTCCGACTTGACAATTGAGACAGCCACTCAACATTCAGCTTCTGGGCTCACTTTATGGTGGTTCGATATTGGGCTAAACTTGTCATGTCATGGTTGCAAGCTCCAGAAAGCTCATGCAGGTGTGTGTGGGAACTGGGGGTGCTGATTAAAAGGGGCTCTGCAATTGGACACGACACGTAGCGTTACAGGACATGACAGTCTGGGGCACACGAATAGAGCCGAGGCCTAACGGACGAATTTGAAGACCGGACCCCGGGCATCGGACAATTCGTGTGGGGCCGGCCGGGGGCTCATTCATGCTCGAAGTCCGAGGGCATCAATATTGTGTTGGCGGGAACTATTCATACAGACTTTAATTGAAAGACTAGCTATCTGATAGACAAGAAAATGGTGATCTCTAAGAGCTTGCGCATCCTTCCAGTAGCGATATAACTCCTGCTTTTGCCCTGCAAAACGCCGTTAAATAATGAACAACCAATACCAGTCTATGTATACATGAGTTATCTTGGGACATAACTCGACACTCAAGCAAAGGCACCAACGGCAGCCATCAGAAGTGCACCTCCGCAGACAGCCAAGAAAGCCCGTAGCCTCTTTGTACCCTTCAATATCTTGTAGCTTTTTTCCGTCAGGAAGTCCTCCGCTAGTAGTTGCACAAGGCCAGCATACAACAAGAGGCCAGATGACACGGCATTCATGAAGCCAACGACAAGAAGGCCTCCAGCGCTCTTAGGGTCGTACATACGGTGCACGACAAGCCCAATTGCTTGACCAATAGGTGTCGTGGTTCCATACGCTAGAACCATAAGCCATGGCCGAATCGATTTTCGTGGGAACTGAATTGCAGCAATGCGACTGCCGAGGGCGAGTCCTTCGAATGTCTGGTGGAAGCTGATGGCGACCAAGAATACCACAAAGGCGGGACCAGTGGCAACTGAGATGGCCATACCAATAAAGATACTGTGAAAAAGAATTCCGGCCTCTAGCAAGATGCATTGCAGCATCTTGCGTTGTTGTTCCTCGGGGGACTGTGGTCCAGGAGACATGGGGGTCATGGGTGTCAAGGGCTCCTCATCGGCTACTCCGGCTTTGAGAGAGGCGTAAGGACCACTTCGGTTTCTCATGCTGCTCGGTCCCGAAGGGTCAAGCTCGTCCATATCGAGGTCAAGATCTGAATCCGCGTCGTTGAAGTCATCGCTGAGTTTCTTAGACTCTTGACCCAAGGGCGACGTGCCCGGCAAAGGTGAGACGCCAGCAACCAGCCCTTGGCTTTCCATAGGTTCAAGGTGAATATCTGGTGGTCGCATCCCAGTTCTCCTGTCAGATAGTCCAGATGTATCCATCATTGGCAATTCGCTCTCGTGTTCGTCATCCGAGTCAAAATAACCATGGTTATGGGAGTGAGAATGACCAGCTCCTCGCGCAGTCAGGTACGATTCGATAGCAACAACAATGATGGCGGAAACCATAGCCACAAGTCCCGGGAGCGGCGTATACCCTTTACTGAAGAAATCAGGGAGACATGGATCGGTCATGGACTCGAAAGCGGTAGGAAGGAGGTGGACAAAGGCCGTTGCCAATAGGACGCCGGTTCCAATATGCTGACAATAGAATATAATGGATTTTTGTTTTCGGCCGCGCATCGTTCGTCGTGACAATAGAGGGAAACCGCATGCTTTATGGTATCAGTCGCGTGTCAACACTGGCAATTGGAGGGACTCTCTCACCTAATGTGCTAAGGACCAAGATGAGGATCAAGGCAAACACATGCGCTGAAGTATCATAAGAACCTTTTGACCTCGAACCACATTCTGGTTTCTCGCCATCTTCCTGGCGTCGCCTCAACTCGGCGAGGATCAGATCTGTGGGAATTGAAGCCCACGACTCTCCTACAAAACCATGATTGTCAGCGAAAAGGGGGAGGAACCAATTGAATGGTGAATTAATAATGTAATACCTCGGGGCACCTCTGAATGGGAGCTCATCTTTATTACCGGGATTTCCTGAATTTTTCCCTCTATGAATTCAGTGTTGTAAATAATTTCATGGCGAAGAAGACACCGTTCATGTCTTGGGTATGTCTGGGAATTTCCGTTGCGTCACTGCTTTAGAAGCCAGCACATGTTTTGAGTTTGTTTGATGGTTCTTTGGGGACGCATAATCCTCGGCATATAGTTTCAAGGGGCACATTTGTGTGTTTCGAACGCCAAGGGATACGAGGTTATTTATAGGAATGCAAGACGACACTTGAGGATTTGTTTGTTTTGCAGTACGAAACATGTACTTTGACATAGGTAAGTATTTATTTCCAATAATTTGAGCGAGTATCCTCCCACTTCATCGCGATGGATGTGTAATTGGCGCTTGTTCCTTTAGTGTTCCAACTCTGCAGATGTCAATGGCGATCCTTCAGGGGCCCCGGAAGGAGGACACAGGGACCCGATTCTGTGGATCCACTCAATGGAATGGCACATTGTATTTACCCGGTGAGACTTGATCATTATTTTCAACCTATGTTGAATATACTAGTATATATACCCAATCGACCATTGTTAAATTGAGGACCAAGGAGTATGTATAGAATTTGATTACTAATGCATGTTTAGTACTTCAAATTACCGACAGACAAATAATAGTGGCAAATAGGAAGGAAAGGTACAAACGAAAGCTTCAACAATGGTAAAGCTCCGTTTGAATATCGGAACAACTTCGGATCGGTCCTGACTAGCATCGTAAGCCCCGTATCAATCAAGGAATCGGCTTCTACGTGATCCAATAGCACAACACCGCATCCAAGACAGATGCACGCAAAGCGGGTACTCAATGGCACATGAGTACTATCTTCGGTTGAAATGCGGGCGAGTCGGATGAATTGAGTTGATCGAGGTATGGTTGGGGAACTCGTCATGGGCTTGAGGGGTTCTCTCGTGTCTCTATTAAAGAGCCCTCCTCTCCTCGTTTGACAATGGTTATTCTTTGTTCCTCTATAGTCAATTGACTTCATCTCTATCAACATGTCTTCTGTTGATATTCAGTCCATCCTCTCTTCCCTCACTCTTGAGGAGAAGGTATGTTCAACTTACATGTCTCCACTGCCTTACTTACACTCAGTCAACTCACCTTTGAACTTATAGATTTCACTTCTTGCTGGAAAGGACCTTTGGGAGACTGTCCCTATCCCATCCAAGGGCGTTCCAAATGTCAAGACTTCAGACGGCCCCAACGGTGCTCGAGGAGCCGCCTTCGCTGGCGGCACAAGCGCTGCTTGCTTCCCTGCTGCTTGTCTGATGGCCTCGACCTTCGATGTCGACCTGGCAAAGAGGATTGGAACTGCTCTTGCTGAGGAGACCCAATCCAAGGGTGCCCGATGCCTTCTTGCTCCCACCATGTGCCTACACCGTCATCCTTTAGGCGGTCGTAACTTCGAGTCATTCTCAGAGGATCCGCTTCTGACTGGAAAGATGGCTGCCCGGGTTGTCGAGGGTCTGCAGGAGAAGGGTGTCTCAGCCACCATCAAGCATTTCGCCGCCAATGAACAGGAGACTGAGCGTTTGACTGTTGACGAGACCATCAGCGAGAGAGCACTACGGGAACTCTACCTTCGTCCGTTTGAGATTACTGTCAAGGAAGCCAATCCTTGGGCAATCATGACTTCCTATAACAAAGTCAACGGACACCATGCCGATTCAAACCAATTTCTACTAAAACAGGTTCTTCGTGGAGATTGGGGATGGGATGGCCTTGTTATGAGTGACTGGGGCGGTGTCAACTCTACTGCTGAGTCGCTCGAGGCTGGTCTAGACCTTGAGATGCCCGGTCCAACCCGTTGGAGGAATACCGAGGACGTCATTGCTGCTATCAAGGCAGGCAAGACTTCCGAGGAGACTATCAACGAGCGTGTTACTCGTGTGCTCAAGTTCCTCGAGCGTCTCAACTGCTTCAAGGACCCTAGCATTCCTGACGAGAGAGCCATCAACAACCCTAAACACCAAGCTCTGATCCGAGAAGCTGGATCAAAGGGAATTGTTCTTCTGAAGAACCAAGACAATATTCTCCCCCTGTCCAAGGAGAAAGTCAAGGGCAAGAAGATTGCTCTTCTTGGCCACGCCAAGATTGGTCTAGCCCACGGTGGTGGCAGTGCTTCTGTCAACGCTCATTATAGAATTACACCCTGGGATGCACTTCATGAGGCCCTCGGAGACAGTGTTGAATTCTCTTATGCTAAAGGTAATCTATCTCAAAGTCCGCCACCGAGGTATAATCACTAACAGTCTGATAGGAGCTCACACATTCCGAATGCTTCCGCCAATCTCCGAGAATGTCGTCGATCTAGATGGCAACCCGGGTTTTACTTTCAAGCTTTTCGAGCCTGGCAACCCTGAGCCTATCGAGGTGCGATCAGGGCATGCCACCTCTGAAGTGTCGGTTCTCAGCGGCTTTGGGTTTAGCAACAAAGATGTTACCCTTGAGGGCACCTTCACTGCCCAGGAGACTGCCAAATACTACTTCACTGTCTCCGGGCTGGGTCCCAGCAAGCTTGTCATCGACGACAAGGTTGTTTTTGAGCAAAAGGAGAACTGCGGTGATGCAATGGGCTTCCTCTTTGGTGGTGTCAACCCTCCCGAGTTCAAGGTCTCGTTGGAGGCTGGACGCAAGTACAAGCTAGCTTTGTACACATCGCCTCCTGTTCCAAAGGAGGGATTGGATATCGGTATTCTAGAGGGACGATGCGGTCTCCGGGTGGGATACATGTCGGAAGCTGAGCACGACCGCGACCTTCTCGCTGAGGCTATCGATGTTGCCAAGGATGCCGATTACGCTATTGTCTTTACAGGGCATGAGCCTTTCTGGGAGACGGAGGGCCAGGACCAGGTCAGCTTTAACTTGCCAAAGGACGGTAGCCAGGACCGTCTTATTGCCAAGGTTGCTGAGGCGAATCCCAACACCGTCGTCGTCAACTCTACTGGTGTCGCGATTGCTATGCCCTGGCTGGACGAGATCCAGGGTTTTATTCAGACTTGGTTCCCTGGTCAAGAATGCGGTAACTCGATCGCAGATGTGCTCACTGGTGCGCAAACTCCTGAAGGCCATCTTACATGCACATTCCCCAAGCGAATTGAAGATTGCCCCGCCCACAGTAACTTCCCTGGCAAGCACGTCAACGGGGAACTCAAAGTGACCTACTCAGAAGGTGTCTTTGTCGGCTACCGTTACTTCGACTGTTTGTCTGCTGACAAAGTCAATTTCCCCTTCGGCTTTGGTCTCTCTTACACCACATTTGACTACTCGGATCTAGAAGTCAAGGAATCAGGCGACGATTATATTACCAGCGTAAAGGTCTCCAACACTGGCAGAGTTACCGGTGCAATCGCCGTCCAAGTCTATGTTGGTGCTGCTGAGACTCGCAAGGGAAATCCTATGAAGCAACTGGCCGCCTTTGCTAAGGTCACACTGAAGCCTGGTGAGAGCACAAAGGTGAATGTGCCTGTCCGTACCCGCGACTTTGCCTTCTTTGACGAGTCGGCGCAGAAGTGGGTGGTTAACGGTGGGGAGTATAAGTTTATGATTGGAAGATCAGCTGGTGATATTGCTTTGGAGTCCAAGGTTACTCTTGGAGACAGGTCTTTCAAGCCTTGAGTATAGTGAATTGTTAAAATGTAGACATAGCGTAATGGAATTGAAAATTGAGCGCTAATTTTTGAATAATATTGCTGAGTCTAATCCGATTTAGACTGTGATAATATCCTTTAAGTCTTGATGTAATCAAATTCTTGTTGTCAGTTTGCCCTATTTATTTGAGCTTGCAGTGTGATTGAAATCAAACATGAGTTATAAATCCTCATCTTAATCAACAAACTCTCCATACAAAATCAACAGAATTCAACCATTAACTACATCAATACATCAACACGAATTTCAAGATGACATTCAGACAAGGCAACAAATACGCGGATCACAGAAATGTTAAGAAACTTCTAGATCTATTGTTTCCTTGGTTTGCTGCTACCCTGAAGGATCAAACCATAAGAATCTCCAAGGGTCCTCTCAGTGCACTAGCCTTGACGCCGCTGCGGGGCACGGCTAGGTGCTGTAAGCGAGCTCTATCCAATGGGGAAGCTCCCTGCATGGACTTGCATCGAATGAGCTAGAAGTCATCGCTGGCCCTCACTTCCCCACCAAAGATGGTCTGGGGCGATGCTCATATTTCATTCTAACTTTGACCTTGAATATTACAGAAGTGACCTCCCAGAACTGTTATTTACTAGCTAAAATACTCAGATTCTGATAATATACACACAATATGGCTTCCGCAGATGAGCTCAAGGCTCTAGGTAACAAGGCCATTGCCGAGAAGAACTTTGACGAGGCTGTGTAGGTTACCACTACAACGGACCACAAGGATAGAAGAGGTTGCTAACTACTCAACAGCGCAAAGTTCACCGAGGCCATCGCCATTCAACCCGAAAACCACATTCTATACAGCAACCGATCTGCTGCTTATGCTTCCAAGAAGGACTGGGAACATGCTCTTGAGGACGCTGAGAAGACTACCGAGATCAAGCCTGACTGGGCCAAGGGTTGGGGACGCAAGGGTGCTGCACTCCATGGACAGGGCGACCTTTTGGGCGCCAACGATGCGTATGAGGAGGGATTGAAGCATGATGCGAACAATGCTCAGCTTAAGAGTGGTTTGGCTTCAGTCAAGAAGGCTATGGATGCCGAAGTTGGTAAGTGGCATTTATACACACAACAAGATTCTTTTTTCTAATCGCTGTACATACAGGCGGACCTCAAGACCCTAGTGGCGGTCTCGGCCAGATGTTCAACGATCCCCAGCTGATGCAGAAGCTGGCCTCCAACCCCAAGACCAGCGGTTTCCTCGCCGACCCCTCATTCATGGCCAAGCTACAGTCGATCCAGGACAACCCCTCCAACGCCTCCGAGATCTTCAGCGACCCCCGTCTCTTGACTGTCATGGGCGTCTTGATGGGTGTTGATCTGGAGATGCGCGAGCGTGAGGTCGACCCCAACGCCCAAGACTCCCCCATGCCCGATGCGCCACCAGCCCCCAAGCAGCCCGAGCCCAAGAAGGCCCCCGAGCCTGAGCCCGAACCTGAGCTGGATGAGGAGGCTATCGAGAAAAAGAAAAAGAAGGAGGAGGCCGACAAGCTGAAGGCCCAGGGTACCGAGAATTACAAGAAGCGCAACTTTGACGAGGCCATCGAATATTACACCAAGGCCTGGGACACTTTCAAGGATATTACTTACCTCAACAACTTGGGAGCTGCTTACTTCGAGAAGGGAGACTATGACAAGGCTATCGAGGCCTGCACCAAGGCTGTCGAGGAGGGACGCGAGATCTACGCCGACTTCAAGCTCATTTCCAAGAGTTACGCCCGAATTGGTACATCCTACGAGCGTAAGGGAGATATGGAAAGTGCCATTGAGAACTACAACCGATCTCTGACCGAGCACCGAACCCCCGATGTTCTCAACAAGCTTCGTGCTGCTGAGCGTATTAAGGCCGAGCAGGGCAAGAAGGCGTACATCGACCCTGCCAAAGCTGAGGAGGCTCGTGAAGAGGGCAACAAGAAGTTCAAGGAGATGGACTTCCCTGGCGCTGTCGCTGCATACACCGAGATGACCAAGCGAGCTCCCGATGACCCTCGTGGTTACAGCAACCGAGCTGCGGCTTTTGTCAAGCTCTTCGAGTTCCCTAGCGCTCTCGATGACTGTGATATGGCCATCAAGAAGGACCCTACCTTCATCCGAGCTTATATCCGCAAGGCCCAGGCCTACTTTGGTATGCGCAAGTACTCAGAGTGTGTTGATGCCTGCACAGAGGCCCAGCAGATTGACCTAGAGCACCACAAGGGCGCCAATGCCCGCGAGATTGAGCAGCAGCAACAAAAGGCTTTCTCGGCTATGTACTCTGCCCGTGATAACGAGACGGAAGAGCAGACCCGAGAGCGTTTGACCAAGGACCCCGAGGTAAGACCCCTTCATTGAAGTATGGCAGAAACGATTACTAACTTTTATAGATTATGGGACTTATGCAAGACCCCGTGATGCAGTCCATCCTTCAACAGGCTCAATCAGATCCCGCGGCTCTCCAGGAGCACATGAAGAACCCTGGCGTGAAGTCCAAGATCCAGAAGCTGATCGCTGCTGGTGTTATTCGTGTCGGCAGGTAGAAAGAGAAAAGCAAGAGGGACGGGCATGAACGATAGGTTGAAATGAGGAAAATTTGTCTATTCAAAACGAGGCATTCATTGCCTTTCCAGGTCTTGCCAGCAAGTCTTACCAGCACAATGGCGAGGCCACGAGTGGGCAGGAAATCGGAGCGTGTGTGATTATGAATTGACCAAGGATCTTTTGACTTGTACATAATAATACGGAGTGTCAGTATCATAGCTGGTAGTTAATGAGAAATGAAAACTTGAACCAAACTGACTTGTTGTTTGTGGTCTATCATATGTGACAGGTGAGGAAATGCGATAGGCTATTCATTCGAGGCACAGTACGGAAAAACGGAAACATTATGCATTTGCCGTTAATCGTAGCCGATATTGCTTTTTTTAAGTTCAATTTTTATTCTTTCTCATCTGCAACCAGATGAGAAGAGTGTGGTGAAGGATCGACGCCACACCGTTTGCTGTGTTGATAGTGTGTTCCACCAACAGACCTCAATGACTCGAGTGAAGAGTAACAAAGCTGAAGCCAAGAAACAGCTAAATGCGAAAGATCAACGTCGAGACCAACTACACGTGGAGGGCACGAGGAGATGGATGCAAGGGCGGAAGGAAACGTGGGAGACAATTGATGTTTGATCGTCGTGAGCAAAACTCAAAAATGAGGAGTGACCTGCAGACTCTTGAAAAAGCAAAGTGAGAGAGACTCGAATAGAATGGAGGGATGGACCGTATCCGTAAAACGAGAGACGGTGGGAAGAAGCAAATACATGCAGCACTAATACTAGGTACTGTTTGTCTCATAAGGGGACGGTGTGTGGTATGAGACATGGTGAAGAAATTAACGGCCGCTACGACAAAGACTACTTGTTAGTTGCTTGAGGATACGGATACAACATCTAAACATAGTTGCATTCGAGGTTGGTTGGGAAGGTTCCGAGCCAAGAAAAAGAAACAAACATTTTCAGGAGTAGTATCGGGCCAGGATATAGTTACTATGTAGACTATGTCGTGGTGGTTACTAAAACACTTGTTGTTTCTCCATCTGTCGTTATCCGAACCAGGCTGTAGGAACCTTATAGGCGAATCTTGGTATTTATCTTGAATTGTATACTTTGTATGCGAAACTCGGGAAATCCAGCTATGTGACCGCAAATCAGTACTTGCAAGTGAATGCATTACAGAATTACGTGTCTTTTATGCCAAGGGTGGCTTTCTTGCACACATCACTCTACTCGGCCGATGGCAATATCTGCATTGTGTGTGGTCTAGGCATCCAAATAAATCTCAAAGAAGGCTGAGACATCTTCGGCCCGTCAATGGGTCAAAGAGTACGGATAGTCTGTGTCCACAGTTCCGAGCATCGACGATTGACTCACAACGGGGACTCGGTCGAGGTTACATAGAAGAAGAAGTGACAAGGGCTTTCAGGAGAAAAAATGACAGCCTGATGTATTTTCAGATAACTTAACGGATTTTCTACTAGGATGTTTGGCTTAGACCGGTATACGCGAGTGTAACTGTGCCATGAGATCAAGAATAAAAAAGGCCAACGATCGTGGAGAAGCGAGAAGTTTGAGTTTTGTGATGAGTCGGAAGTATACTATTGTACTACGCACCTGCAGAACTGATACAAGAGCACTGCGGTGAAAAAAAAAGTAAAGAATCAAGGAACAAATCAGAGTTGGAGCACTGAGATTAATGGTGCTGCCATTTGAAAGAGGTTTGCTGTAATATGATGTGACTTGTGACAGGACCATTGATAAGCTACAAGTTTATGTCGATGTTTTTTTTTATTAACAGCCTGCTATTCCCGTTGTGGCTTGTTTACTAGATAACTACTTTAATCACCAAGGTAATGGACCAACTCCAAACTCAGTCTGCAACTGATGAGGAGGCTCTTGTGCCTTGCTACCCTTTCAGCTCTTGTCGACTGGCCAAAGTTTGTGGCAGCAGGGGTTCATCACTAACAAGGGCCCCGGACGCCGCCGTCGTACGGTATATACCCCAGCCCAGGGTATATGGGAGCCGGGGATCCGCAGAGTATGTAGTTTGTGTATGAGTCCCAGCGGGACCCTGATGTGCGCGGATGAAGCTCGTGCCAAGGACCAGGGAGAGCCGATTGACCGTTGGAATTTTGACTTTTCTTTCTTTTATTGCAGATCTAACTGGCTGGTCATGGGTTGAGTTTGGTTGGGATGAGATTTTAATAAGCATGTAATAAGCGGTAGTTAGTAGTAAAATGACATGTCATGATATTCCGTACACAGGCGGAAGAGTAACCGCCCTCATATTGGTCATCTCGCCTACAGTCTTGGTGTCAGTGGGACAGCGCAGTTTAGTTCATGTGCGCAGTGATATCAATCAGGTAATCTTCTGGATTAGGATGGTTCATGAATCTTAGCTGTTGGGAGGATCGTTGGTGATGCAGGTACAGTGAGAGTGAAATTATGTTGTCTAGATAGATACCTGTGTGTGGTGTAAATTGCTTATTACCTAGAGAATTCAAAATTATAAGTGATATAATTGCTTAGTGCGTAGTATTATTATTCTTGCATTTTACTATTAACCTCGTTCTTTGTTTTACTTTACAGTGTTTTATAGAACCCCATTGGAATGACTTGAAAACTGCATGCGTCTAGCCGGTCAGGGCCGATATGGCGTGTTATAAAACAGGACAAATTTGCTGGGGCCAGTCACTAATAAACTAGTGCTAACCAATGCTAGTTAGTTGAAACTATACCTAAAGAAAATCACCTTTTTATTTCTGTGTTGGATGACCCTGAACATACCGAGGATGCACGATGACAAAGTTGTCTCGTAAATGTAGTGAATAAGAGTGTAATGCGGATGGGATCCGAGTACTCAGTCTCCGACTTTGGCCGATATTTTCAGCCCTCGTGTAGAAGAGTCTTCTAAAAGAAGATGTAATTTGAGCACAGTCCGGAGAACAACGTTGAACCCGCCGGGAACTAGGAGTGGTTGGTGCGCATCTTGAAGACCACCCGTGCATGTTATAAGAGTCCACTACGGAGTAAAAGGCATTGATTTAGGATTGTAAAAAACACAGGCGTTTCCTTTGACGACATGAGACGGCATTTCCGGAGTTCCTAATAGTTGGAAGAACACAGCCTCGGTAATCTACTGTGAGGGTCCTTCACAGGTATACCACTTGGAAGAGCTCATTTAATGTCTATCGCGTGGTTCTGAGATGAGACTCCGCAATCGAACAATTGAGGTAGTTTTCTGGAAGGATAGCACTGCTAGACATAGGACAGGGAACCATGTCTTTGTCAATTGGCGTTATACCTAAAGCCGAATTCTATCAAGAGACAATGTGATGTTGATGAATGGCTAGCACAAGCCCTCTTCCAGAGATCTAATCAAGTCTTGTTCACGAGCTCATCAAAATGATGGCGTGAGACAAACTGACCTAGTTCCAGACCTTGAACCTAGACGTTAGCACCTGTACAGAGTATACTCTTCACGCTCGCGTTTATCAGTCAGTTATCAACTTCTCCGAGGGATCCCTTCTCTATCTATTGTTCATAGGGGCTCAAATTTCTGCCGGTCGATTGAGTGAGTAGCTGTTGTGAGAAAGACTCGGTCCAGGTACCGACCGGCAATACATACTTTCTTTTGTTCGTTTTGTTTGCAATATTACGTAGTCACTTGCCTGTTGAATTGAATTGCGTTGTCTAGAATTACGCCTCTCCTAGTTCTGGACCGCGCTTCGCCTCACTGTTGGTTCTCTCATTCCTTAGAAACATGTGGTTGCCATGCTTTAATGTTACACAACTTGTTTTTTCCTCGCGTGGCTAACCACATGGCTTTACTGGCTTGGACTGTTGGCAATTATTTCCGTCTCATTTTGCATGAAGATTGTTTTGAATTGAAAACCGAGAGCTTGGGGCTTGCGGGAAGAGAAGAGGCAACTTTGGCGCTAAACTAGTTTCACGGGGGGCCGAGCGAGCTTTATCGATTCTCTTAGTTCTGTTCTCCAAAGAGAAAAAAGACAAGTTTGAGTCAAGCTGTCTCTTTCAAAGTTTCTTTACTGACTTGATTCTTGCTTCATTAAACCAGACCAGGAGGACTAACTAAACATGGCCACAAGGCAATACCCGTGGACAATTTGTAAATATTTACCTACCTCTAGTTAGCAGGTACCAATTCACCGACTTGTGATTTGGTTACTCTATTCAGATCAGCCTCGATTCTCGCTTCTCCAAACCTCGGATCATCTAAACGATGATGCCAAGGCACCAGCTACCTTTTCGTCTCTCTTTTCGGCTTCTCTGAGTATCATAATAAAGGAGAGCTCCGAAGCTGTAAAAAGCAAAAACCTACGTACTACGCTAGACCTATAAAACAAAACTGGAGCGGGAGCTGGCGGCGGGTTGGCGGAGCTTACAGGGCTCTCGACCCCACTGACAGCCTCCTTCCAGGCTAGAGGTTTAGCACCAACATGGATCAATGGATCCCAGCTTCCTTCCTATCGTACGACTTCTCATCATCCAACAACCTACACCCTCTGACCCTCCTCTCCCCAACCAGGGGGGGCGTTTTATGCCATCATGTCAAGCCACGAAGAATAGACGGCTTGTGGAGTAAACTTGAAGTTTTCTCTCTGTCTTCCTTCCTTTTGTTTCGAGATATCATATTCTCTCCATGGCAAGGGCGTATAATCTCATCATCATCCAGGGGTATGGATAGCCATCCTCAGACCATGACCGCAACCCAGCCAGGTGGAGGATACTCCATGTATCAAGATATAATATCTGGAGATGATCCTCGCAAATTTTGGTTTTTACTAATAGACCTTGCTTCACCATTTTGATCCATTCCTTTACTTGTTCTGCTACTCAAACTTGACTTGACTTATAGCAAATACATCTCACCAATCTTCATCTACAGAGGTGCATCATCTACTACCATATCCTCTACTTCCAACACACATCATCACAATGGCTTTGTCCTATCAGCAAACCAAGCTCATCAGGGGCACCATCCCCGCCCTGACTGACCACGGAGAGCGCATCACCACCATCTTCTACCGCAACATGCTTCGTGATCACCCCGAGCTCAACGACTACTTTAACACAGTCAACCAAGCAAACGGCCGCCAGCCTCGTGCCCTTACTGCCGTTATCCTGAGCTACGCCAACAACATCAACCACATCACAGAACTCATCCCCAAAATGGAGCGTATGTGCCACAAGCACTGCTCCCTCGGCATCAAGCCAGAGCACTATGGCATAGTCGAGAAGTATCTCATTTCCGCCTTTGCAGAGGTCCTAGGCCCTACTATGACCCCTCAGATCAGAGAGGCCTGGACAAAGGCCTACTGGATGCTTGCAAAGATGCTCATCGGTCGTGAGGCTCAACTCTACCGGGACTTTGGTAAGTGGCAGGGCTACCGAAAGTTCCGCATCGAGAAGAAGGTCGAGGAGTCAGACGACATCTACTCCTTCTATCTCGTTCCTGTTGATGGCAAGCGCCTCCCTCCCTTCCAGCCTGGTCAGTATGTCTCTGTTCAGATCCCCATCGCCGACAAGGGATACGTCCAGTCCCGCCAATATTCTCTGAGTGATGCTCCCCGACCTGACTATTACCGTGTCACCATCAAAAGAGACGAGGGCATCCACATGACCCGCAGTGGTCGGTATCTTGGTGGCGATGCTCTCAATCCTGGTGTCGTTTCAAACCTTCTCATCGATATGAAAGATGAGGGCGACGTCGTTGAGCTCACTCACCCAGCCGGCGAGTTCTACCTCGACATGTCCAACACCTCCAACGTCCCCATCGTTCTCATCTCGGCCGGTGTCGGCGTCACTCCCATGATGTCCATCCTCAACACCGTTTCTGAACGCCAGCCTCACCGTCCCGTTTCCTGGATCCACGGCTCTCGACGCTCCGTTCCCTTCTACGACCAAGTCCGCCGCATCGCTCGCAACCGTCCCAACTTCCGCACAAACATCTTCAAGACTCACCTCGCCGAATCCGACATCTTCGGTGTTACCTACGACCACGACTTCCGCATGGACCTGGCCAAGGTCTCAAAGGATGACCTCTACCTGTGTCACAGCTCTACCGAATATTACATCTGCGGTCCTGAGCAGTTCATGCTTGAGATGGCTGAGTACCTAAAGGTTCAAAAGGTTGACGCTAGCCGCATGCACTTTGAGCTCTTCAGCACTGGCGACATGGAGTTCAAGGTTGATAACCTGAGCATTTCTTCTGCGTCAAAAAGCCCATCAATCGCCAGCACTGAGCAAAGATGTCCTAGCACTGGAGCTGTGTCTGCCGATGGCGCTACTTGCCCATTCTCAGCAGTATAGACCTGGATGATGAACGAGAAGTACAAGGGTATTCATTTATGATGGGGTTTCTAATGGTCAGGTATGGGACCAGGAGAAGTGATGAGGCGTTTAAGGATACGGCGTATTTGTTTTTGATTCATTATTGTATCTTGCTAGAGGATTCCCCTTTACTGATGACTTACACCTTTTCACCTCTGTTGGAAGTTTACTTAATACGCCTCGGTGTTCTTTTTGTTATAACGGGGTATGATCCGGGGCTTGCAATTTCGGCTCGTGTACATGGATAAGTGGGAAGGAAAAGTATTGGCCGGGCTTGATATCAGACAGACAAAAGAGAATTGAACAGTATCTTATTGATTCCACAGCATATCCTCACAATTCAGAATGCGATAAAGTGCAGTATTCCGCGCACAACGTCGTCCAAACGAATGAACCTTCCAGGGATTGACTAAGTACTATATAACTACACGGTGAATATATTTGATCCCCGTATTCGCCTAAGAGGAAACCGGGGGTAATACTATCCTTCTTCGCCAGACCCAACCCTGAGGCACCGGTGGAGGTGTGCATGAGATAACAGACAGGGTGAACAAACCTAAATTCCAAGATTTCTCAACAGGAGAAGGAAGAACAAAACAAGAAAAAACGCAAAACATCAACGTCCCGCTCAGTTCCCTGATCGCTCATACCCATGAAACTTCTTCCAGTGTTTGAGTAGATTATCCTTGCGAGTGAACTTTGAAGTGCAACCTTGGAAACCGCACACGGCATCTTCAGTCAAGATCCCCTTGCTGGCCGCGTAGGCCCTGTGCGAGGATCGGTAGTGACGGTCCATGTCTCGCTGCTCTGCCTTTGTAACTTTGCAACTAGCGTCGGCCTTGCATTTCACCGGTTTGTCGTGTATTTTCATGTGCTTGCTACGACGGCGTATTAGTTTCGAAACGGGCGCAGTTTGAAGTTTGGAAGGTTACTTGAAGTCACGGTTTCCAGGAAAGAACCGGTCACACTCTGAGCAGTGATACTGGCTGGGAGGTTGTGCCGCCGAGGAGGAAGCCTCCGGCTCGGCTTCTGTCTGTTGTAAGTATACGCTTGTCTGCAGGTTTGAGTTCTGTTTGCCAAGGCAACATACCATATACGTCAGTTTGGTAGGCAGAACTGGGATAACTCTGAGAAGTGTAGCTGAGGCCTGGGTTCAGGAGGACTTCATTGGGATTGACAGTAGCAGGCTGCTGCTGCTGCATCATGTAATACGCCATCTGGCTTGTGTCCTGACTCTCTGTTGGGTCGGATACCGCTGTGTATGTCGCGGTATCAGGAGCAGAGAATTGCGAATCAGCGCTCTACTGGCTCTGACTTGGATCAGCCTGGCTGTAGCCCTCAGTCTCGTTGTATTGTAGGTATGAGGCTCCAGTCGTCAGGTTTGGGTCGACGGGAATATCTTCCTGTCTAGATTTGCTAGAACGGCTGTGCCTGTGAGGACGATCGCTTCGTCGCGACATGCCTGTTGGCTGGTAATTGATGGTATGGCGATTTGGTCAGGAGATGATCTTTGGCGAGGCAGTTTGTGCTTTGAGAACCATGCTACAAATTGATGCCAGATATTCGAGATAACAGTGTCTTGAGAGATGCCGAGTTGGCATCTATATACTCGTCAAGATCCTCCACGGGATGTCATGTTGTTGGAGGCCGACGGGGGCCGACTGCAGCTTCCCGTCAACTGCGCATTTTTACATTTCTGTAATTTGGCATTATGAGACAAACAAGAGAAGAAAAAAGAAGGGGCTCGAAGGTCAAAGTTGGAACGACACGCATTGATGGATCTCTCAGCGGCGGGATCTGGCAGGGCGGCAGCTCGCAATACCACAACTCAGCCTCATTGCCTAGAGGGCGACCCATATGAAGGCCATATCCGGTGAGAAGACCAAAATTCATTCGAGAAAAATTGATGAAATAAGGCGATGGAAATGTAGGAGGCCGACCAAAAAGCCTGTTGGTAGATTCATATCACCCCGCATGATGTGATAAGCCCCCTGTCGGCCTCCAGCACTGGCCTTGAACACAACAAGGCAGACAGATGAGTCGACGACATGAGTATAAGAGTGAATACGGAGACTACTGAATAATTAATTGGGTTCTCACAAGTTATTCAGAGTACCAATCGTCACCCAGACCTTTTCCGTGCTCAACTTCCCCAACAATTTGATTACAACAACAATCATGATCATGACTTCTAGTAGGTTATGAAACAAAGATAAAGATACTTACACTAACTGGTAGTTAATAGACGAGATAGCCTCACTCAAGCCCAAGCAGAAGCGCCGACTTTACGAGCCCATCGTCTTGTACAAAGCGCTGACCGAAATCACCCACGAAGAGGGTGCTCTCAGGCAAACAGAAGCCCCCGACAGTCCAGCGACAGAAGAGAAAAAGTACCATCATTTTCTTCATAGTATAGCTAGTGTGTGCGACAGAAAGAAGCGAGGCACGACAGTTACTTCTGTGACGATCCTCGATGGAGAAGACAAGTTCACATATGCCTTTGGCTGTAATCAGGTCTTTGGCAAGGACTTGCACGACACAAAAGAATTCCTGACATCTTTGTTGAAGAGGCTCTCAAGTTTTCATTTACTCTCGAACGCGGAGCTGACGTCTGTTCGAAACGAGATCTTTGAGATGATCCTGGGCTTTAACTCTCCCAGAATCAAGTGTTATCTTGATACGCTACAGAAGAGCATTGCCGAATGTCTACTGTATTGCCAGCGAAGTGACACCCAACCTGGTAGGCATATCCGAGAACAATAATCGTCAACTGGAACGCTGACATTAGGAAATAGATACTGAAGTTAGCAAAGGTTTAGGGAATCTCAGCATCGCAATCGAGCAGACTACTTTCAGTGAAACAACTAATACTCAATGTAAGTCCCATAGATAGATCCTGAAGTACTTCCCCTTTAATAACTTCCTTCATAGATCTTTCTTCTTTCACCAGCGTCCTAAAGGCCCTCAAGGCTTTCCTGACATCACGAACAAAACATTATATAGAGACCAGCGCCACAGCCGGCCGTATCAGAGATGGCAGAAGTTTCGAGTGCTGGTCAGAGTTAAGGCACGCCATCTCGCGTCTCCGGAGCTACAAGAAAACAGTACAATGCCTCATCGACTCGGAGGAAGCATGGCCAGAACTCTTCCAGGAGTTTGTCGTTGTCCCTATTGAGTCCACCAAACCAGATTCAAACCCCCTTGGAAGAAAAAGCGAAACTGCCCATGGCATTATCGGCCGACTGTGCAGCGACCAAGCTTCAATTGAAAGGTATCGTGGTCTTGCCAGCAGCCTGGAGTTGTTTAGCCTGGATGATCGCATCAAGACTCAGTGTACCAGAACGACGTTTAAGCCATATGTACACTCAGAAGTACTTGTTCTCGAATGGGTAATGACCCGGCCAGACGTCACTTTCTTTCATGACTGGAAGTACATAGGTAGTAGCAAAGGAGCTTGTCAGCTCTGTCGCTACTACTTTGATGCTGTAGGCCAACACAACGACATCAAGACGCGATCGAGTCACGGTAATCTCTATGTCAACTGGCGATTTCCCGACATTAGGGAGCCCGAAATGTCTTTTGGCAAGACCCGGCGACAAAAAATCCTCAACTCCATGATGGATAGGATTCGAGAGGATGCTTTTAGTATCTTGGTTGATAAGAGTTCCATGGGCAAAAGGCACGATTCGAGCACCCATCCTCTGACCTCAGTATTGTATGCAAGCACCGATATTTGGACGGATACAGGTGCTCGTGAGATACCTGACATTGATGAATTGGGTGAGCAATTTTCCAAAGGACTTAGCTTGAAGTCGGTAATCGAAACCACTGAGGAGTCGGACGCGGATAACGAGGATGGAGGGATTAGTCTTGGATGAAGGAACTGTGCCAGGGCAGCGAATAAGAATGAATTGTGTTTTATGTCTTGGGTCTTTTATCACTCGTTAGCCTAGCTAGGTATTGCTTTCCAGTTCTTTGTTCCATCATCTTTGTATTTCTTTTCGAGCCATGTCTACTTTGTAACTTAGTGGTCGTTCCTCTTGTGCCAAGGAGCAGTAGCCTCTAGGAGGTCCTTGTGAAGCTGAGCATCACCACTGATCTTGTACACCTCATCAATGATCTGGTTGCGCTGCATGAAGATGAGGAAACCACCCCAGACAAAATCAGCATAGCTAGGAGTCTTTCCTAGGAAGAATGGGCCTTCGGAGTTCTCCTTGAGGAGAGCCTCGACCTCTTGCACATGTGGCTTAGCTTTATCCCATGCCTGTTGGCCGCCCTCTCTCTTGTAAAGCTCGTCGAGAGGCTCTCCAGCCGCCTCGGTTCGGGTCTCCTGCCAGTAAGGAACACTCTTCTCGTTGAGAATGTGTTTGGGGACGTGGGTGAAGTAGATGGGTCGGAGGGCGGCCATAATGTTCGGCATGATTTCGAAGAGCTTGGTAAGGACAGGCGAGTCCTTGTGGACGGAGGGTTCAGGACAGTCCTTTTCAATTCGCTCAAGGATCTTGGCCGAGTCCATAATGTAAGTTCCATCGGGGAACTTGACAGTAGGGATCGTCCATGTTCCGGTGGCTGGGTTGGCGGAAATGCTGTTGGGCTGGTGAGTCACAGGGTGCCTGCTGAACGATGCCAGTGACTTACTGAGGCTCAAGAGTCGGCTTGATGTCAGGATATTCGAGCTGGATGTTGTTCAGCAATGCACTTCTCCAAACTGTATGACAGACTTACCCATTCAGTCTTGTAGTCGATGCCCTTGAAGTTCAGGAGAAATCGAGCTTTGTAAACAGATGAGCGGTGATATCATGGAGGGGTATTGAGACAACTCACTCTTCCATGGGTTGAGAGACCAGGCACCATTCTGGCTTGGGAGATCAAAGAGGACAAGCTGTTCAGAGGACATGTTGAACGAATTGAATATTTCTTGTTATAGAAATTATGTTCAAGTTGAAAAGTTGGAGGGAACTCTTCGTGTTATGGGCTAATCTTCAGCTCTAAGAGCTCATGCATGACCTGAGGGATAGGAGGGGCAAGAGTGGGGGAGCTGTCATGAATGGAGACCTTTAGTACCGAGGTCTATTATTAAGAATTAAGTTAGCGAATTAAGATCAATTGCTATGTTTGACGAAGAGAAAGGCTGTGAAACTCATTATATCAGAAGAGAACCGTGTGTTTATGTGGTTTGTCTGATGTAGAAGTAGGTTGACTGAGTCCAGAAAGCCTTCAAGATGATGGAATGTTACAACTGGGAGGGAAAAGGAAAAAAAGGACACAATCAACCACTTCTACCTTCTTTGCATGCAGGGTTCTTTTTGTGTTTTGCTTTATGTCATCTGCCGAGTCTCGACTTTCTAATCGATCAATCTGCTGTTAATGCTGTTGTAAGGCCGGCAGGTGCGAAGGACAGAAGTACCTTTGTACCCAGGTAGGTTTCTGGGGTTCATTCCAGAACTGATGCTCTTGTCAAACAAACCTTGTGCTCAACTATTATCACCTTCACCTTCACAAAAAATGAAATTGTTTGTAGAACTGGCTTAAATGGAAACAATACCAACAATGATCTACCACCAATATGACGCTATCACTGCCACATCCATCCTCATTGCTGCCGGTTTTCCGTTCCCTTGTGTCAATCATCGCACATCCAACCGCAATTGTCACCCATCATCGGTAAGGCAGTAACACTTGAAACTGTCTGCTTTTTCAACATTTAGCAAATACGACAAAGTTGCATTAAGGCAGCGGCCAGTTCAGCCTTATCCGGTTGGGAGACTCGAGAGAGAGGATTCCACGCCACCCTTTACATAGTGCTCGCCAATGGGTGGAGAATAGGCACGTTATCCCCTGTATCTATGCAACCGTAGTGACCCTAAAAGAGCATAGACAGCCACATACCGAATCCTTCGACGTCGCAGACCTCATACCCGTTGGCTGATTTCTGGGCTGAGGCTCAGCCACTCGCCCTTGCTTAATGGTGTTACAGATGATCCATCGGCTGTGTAGTTACATGGTAGGAGCTTAGCAAGCTTGTCAGCTCTTAGCTTGATGTCCATAAAGGATCCCTTGTCCCCCACTCACAACTATTTCAAGGAGCCTAGTTTTTGGTTATCTTACACCAATTTCTGGAAGACTAGCAATACAAAATGGCGACAATACAACACATCTCACCCCCTTCGGTTTTACTGGAAAAGCCATCACATGAGAATCTACCACAGTCACGTCCGAATTCAACGTAAGTTTGACAGGAAGCTCAACCTGGTGCCTTCTAACATCCAACAGAATCATTCGCAGTGTAGTCGATGATGAGGGTCTTCCTGAAGTAGTGAATTCCAATTATGCTATGATGAAATACCACGATGCCCCAATACCGGTTGATTCAGAGTCAGATAAGCGATTCAATGAAGCTCCTATCCCTATAGGAACACTGGACGATTCTCCGCCTCCATTGCCAGCACGCAATTCTACGACCCAGTATCCATACAGTCCGGGATCTTATGCGTCCCAACACCAACCACCATACAGCACAGGTGGTTACGCTCCTCAAGTACCCCTACAACATCCTGACAATAGCGGGTTTACACCACAACCGCCTTCCTACAACAGCAATGAAGTGGTCACGTACGTGACACCACTTACTGAACTTGGAGATTACCCCAAGTTTGTGGATTGTCCTTTCTGTAGGCACCGCACCGAGACACGAGTGAAAAAAACCTCATCAAAAGTCACACAGTAAGATTTTCACTCGAGTATCCAAGCCCCCCCCCTGCTAATTGATACCAGTATATCTGCAACTGTTCTTGGGTTTACGACAATCGCCGGTGCTGCTGTTCCCTATGCTGGAAAATGGGCTGCTCATACATCACATTACTGCACGAACTGCGACCACAAAGTGGCCATACGAAAATGGGGATCCAAAGACATGAAGGCGTTGGGAACTCCTGAACACATGAGGGAACTTTCACGATATCCCTCTGCTGGCTCACCATCCATGTCCAGCAGTTCGAGGATGAGTAAATGAGATTAAAGAAACCAAAAATTGATACCAGAGTCAGGAGAGCACTTTGACAATTCGACATTTCAAGGAGTTATGGTTGGACTAGGATATCCACAAGAGGCATACAATATTGATTGCACAGACTATACGTGTGAAAATGCCTCTACTTGTTTTCTGATTGTATATATTCCAAACTGTTTGGTGGAAGCCTATGTCTAACAGCTTGCTGATAGACTGGAGAATGGATAAATGTCTTCTCGGCTTATTACCCACACTGCATCGCCCCTCATTCAGGGTCTTCGCGGGGTGGTTACAAACACTTTCTTATTGGTCCACAAGGAGGCTCACTAAACTGAAGGGAGCCCTTTTTGCAAATTTCAAGCTTTCCACTACCTACTGCCCTCCCTTGTGATCTCTCAAGCATACGGCATTACTGTTGACCTTACGTACAGCTCATCGTTATGGAACAAGAAGCTATCGCTGCCGGGAGGCGCATCTATCTAGGTATGATCATCCCCAGTATAGCCTCTGGGACGAAAGCTGACACTTGATTTTTCAATAGGCAACCTCCCTTACGAGGCAAAGCCCTTTGAAGTAGAAGAAGTCCTAGCTAGAAACGGTTTCGATAGTTTGGATAAGATTCACATCTCGGTCGATCCCATCAGCGCTCGAAATCCTGGATATTGCTTCGTCGACTTCCACGACCGCGAGACTGCTGAGAGAGCTCTTTCGTCTCTATCTGCTACAGTATATGGAAGGACTTTGAAGGTAGGACCATGTGAACCAAAGAAGCCCCGTGAAGGTCGCGGATTTCAAAACGAAGATGCAACATCTCGTAGATGGGGCGACTGGAATACCAAATCGAGCACGAACAGCAACAACATGAGCCAAAACAACGGCAGAGGCGAGAACAGGGGTCCTAACTGGGCTATCGATCACTTCGAAGACGTGACAAGGGATCACGGTGGACGAAGACTGTACGTTGGAGGCTTAGGCAAAATGATCGATCAAGCTCAACACCAGGAAGAATTGGCACACATATTCTCTGGTTTCAAACCGTAAGTATTTAGACACACACACACACAAGTGTCTTCTAACTTGAAACTCAGGGCTGCTATCGGGAAACGAATTACACCTCACGAGAGTAAGAAGACTCTGCCTGGAAACCACCACTACTGCTTTGTCGATTTCGACACCAAAGAAGAAGCAAGCTTAGCAGTGGAAAAACTTAACAGAAAGGAAATCCCAGGAGGCCAGCTGAAGGTGTCGATTTCTGAGAGGGTTCCCCAGAAGCTCGTGGGTCGTCAATTAGATGCACGAGAGGGTCGTCGGGTCGCCGATCGAGTTAACAACCCTCGCCCAAACAAGCCTGAGACGAACAATGCGATGGTATCCAACAATTGGCGCAGAAAGGATTAGGGTTGAAGTTGTAAATTACGAGTGAACGGCCTAAAAGATTCGATGGGGATGGAATGCTATTCGATGATGCAGGTGTTTGGAGCTATCATTATATCAAAGATTTTAGATGAGTGTTATGATAGTGAAACAGATGGATAGATGGAAGGTTATGTATTTGATGAATCCATGTCAACATTGGCTTGGGCTTTCTTGTTAAATGTATTTGGAAGACGGCTTGATGAGCATTGCATCATGGGTCATCAACAAACCAGATACAAATTTGGGAACCACTCGTTGTCTGGAGTTCCTGCTATGGTTATTTTATGAATTGCTTTCCTATTCAGCAGCCTCTATCCATCTATGCTTGAGTAGAGAGAAAGCTTTGCGAAATTCAAAACTACCTGTAGGTAGTCCTAGTCTCAAGAAAGGGTTTGTTTTATGGTAGACAACAAGAGAGAAGCTAAGCATTAGGAGGATGACTGGGCTGAAGATAGCCCTAGAAGAATAAATTGTACTTACCAGTGGATTTGTAATGAATTATTTCTTAATGATAAACGTCGGAATATAAACGTTTACACTCCTGACCATTACGGTTTGCCAAGAGTAGAAGTCGGATCTTAGGTATATACTAGGGATGATCTACGTCTAGCGGGCCGGTGTCAGATCTTTATCTTGCGTTTCTTGGTATCCGAAAACCCAACAGTACGGTCAATTGTGAGATTGACATAGAAAATTTATGGAATAACACTCGTACTGGACATTATAATCTTTCTGAAGCCCCCATGGAAGCACCAATTAGACGGAGAAAGGTTCACCTTCTGTGGCGTCATGCGAAATGTGGGCGGGACTAGCGGTAGGCTAGGAGAGTTATAGTGTCTGCTAGGTACAGGTACAGGGGAACTTATTTCCCAATGTGAATTCAGCTTCTCAACAACTACCACGCGATACAATAATCTCAACATTGCTAATTCCTATCGACATGTCCGACCCGATTGAACACCATGATATTCTAATTCTCGGCGCCGGCCTTTCTGGTATCAACACCGCCCATGTCCTTAACGAAAAACTCCCCAATCGCTCGTACACGATCCTCGAGGCACGAGAAGCCATTGGCGGAACATGGCGCTTCTTTCGATACCCAGGCTTCCGGTCCGACTCGTTCATGACTTCATTCGGTCTACCATGGCACCCATGGAGACACGAGCACAAGATGGCACAAGCTGGAGAAATCATCGAGTATCTAGAAGAGGCCGTGGATGCTGCTGGTATAAGAGAAAAGATTTGGTTCAACCACAAAATGACGGCGTGTGAATGGCGAACTGACGAGCAAAACTGGAGACTAGAGGTCGAGGCGGATGGCCAGCGCAAGACGTTTATCGCAAACTTTGTCATCAGCTGCGTGGGGTATTATTCATACGACAAGGCTTTTGAGACGACAATTCCCGGCATAGAGGACTTTGGAGGCAAAGTCGTTCATCCTCAATGGTGGCCTGAAGACTTGGACTACTCGAACAAAAGTGTTGTTGTCATCGGGTCAGGGGCTACGGCAATTACAGTCGTTCCATCACTTGCCGAAAAGGCCAGCATGGTGACTATGCTTCAGCGCAGTCCCTCGTTCATCATCTCTCGACCTGTAACATCCAATCTCGACTTTTGCCTACGCACGCTTCTTCCTTGGTCATGGGCATACTGGCTTATTTACTGGAAAGATGTCCTGATGGAACTTATCAGCACCCAAATACTCCTCAAATTTCCTAAGCTCGGCCGCAAGCTTCTCATGGGAGAAATGCAGCGCGAATTGCCAAAAGACGTTGATGTCAATGTCCACTTCAACCCCGCCTACAACCCTTTCGAACAGAGATTATGTATGTGTCCCGAAGGAGACTTCTTCAAAGCTCTGCACAGAGACAACTGTGAAATCGTGACAGACACCATCCAGACTGTCACAAAAGACGGCATTCTCCTCAAATCCGGTCGCAAACTCGAAACCGACATCATTGTCACTGCAACAGGCCTGCACTTTCAGCTTTTCGGTGGCATTGTCCCGTCAGTAGATAGCCAGCCTCTTGATGTCGGCTCACATTATACTTGGCGTGGCTGCATGGTCGATTCCCTTCCCAACATGGGTTTCGTGATGGGCTACGTGACCACTTCGTGGACACCTGGTGCTGTTCTCATGGCTAAGCTATTGACAAAGGTCATCAAGGAGATGGAAAAGACAGGGTCGAGAAGTGTCATGCCTGTACTCGATGACAAGGACAGACTCAAGCCGAAGAAGTTGCCCGTTAATGCCACAAGCAACTACTTTGTCAAGGCTGCAGAGCGCATGCCAAAGGTTACTAACGAAGGCCCGTGGTATGGACGAGTGAGCTTGGCCAAAGATTGGTGTGCGTATATGTTGGGCGATGTAACGGGCGGTCTTCTCTATAGCGGAGGACAAGGGAAGAAGGACATTTGAGAGTTATTCCATGTATACTCTTGGGAAGGAAATAACAATGCCATGTGCAGCGTTTGGAAGCTGCTTGACTTACATTGGGCAGACGACTTATGAATGATGAGGCATTGGACTGTGTTTGTAACAATATGCTCTTTCCATCACACTGTGATTGTTTGTGTCGACTGAATGACAACCGAGACTGATTGGCCGGCTGGGTACCAGGCTTTGGCATGGCTTGTTTAATGGAAGCCAGAGCCACGTGCAAAGCCAAGCTTCTAGAACAAGAAAGATTGGAGAGTGGGACACTCTAAGCTACTTCCATCTGAGGCCGCTCCCGTCTTTTAGCTATTGGTTGTCTTGGCTAAGTTGCAGCATCTCGATCGGTTGTTCTTCGATTCCTTCATTTTATACCGTCACTGGTCTCGAAACTATTGGGAAACAAGTTCCAGCTGAGCTTGTTTATTATTACTTCCCGGATAATGGTCTTGTGGTTTTCAGTAGTTGAATCACCGGGATCTGCATCCTCCGTTGTCTTGGGATCCTTCAATGAAACCCGACTCAGCCAGTCACGGACTTGGATATCCAAATCCGACATAACACGATGCCCTTGTTGTTCATAATTTGGCCGAATCAGATCATATCAGATCAAGATAGAGTCACATCACTTCTTGAGCACTGTGGGTTGAGTGAGCGAGTCGTGGTCTTGTAACTCCTCAGGGCACTACGGCTCTGTCTGTTGTCCTCTGGCTATAGTTATCATGATGACTGGAGTTTACTTTCAGGTGATCGTGGTCTTGCTTTTCATTCATACAAAACGACGCCATTGCAATACTAAACCCTGAAAGACCTATCAATCATTCTGGGACAAATCGTCAAGGTGTATCCTTGATGTTATTACTTCTTCGTCGTGGGACATATCTAGGAAGGCTCTGTTTAGTAGGAGACGGTCGCTTGGTTACTTTAAAAGAACAAGGGGGGACAAACGTCCTTCACCTTCCTATTATTGCATCTCCTCATCTTCCGGTTTAGTCGTCGGCATACCAAGTGTTTCCAAACCTCTTGCGCCCACCATCTCCACAGGGGCATTCGCAGGGACATCTACAGCCTTTCCTTCAGCCACTTTCCCTTGTCCCATCGCCTCTTGATACTTGCGCCCCGTCTCATCCAGCAGAGCTTGTACTTCTCCTTCTCTTTTCACTATTTCTTGTCGTTCATTCTTGAGCTTTTCCATCCGGTTTTGCTTTCCCTTCATCTCATCCTCCATACCCTTTAGCGTAGTTTGCAGACGGGCCAGACATTCTGTCAAACTAGGGAGAGGTGATATCTTTGGTGGTGCCTGTAGTAGGTCCTGGCTGGGGTCTTTCCGGGGTTTCTTCAGACCATCCATGCCGGCGCGTGTCTGCGCAGCTTCGTATGCGATCCGTCGCTCGGCATCGCTGTCGGATGACGAATCCGAAGTATGGCCCTCAGCTGCCGTGATAAGCTCTTCCATCATCCTTCGATCTTGTTTGCGTCTCTCCTTTTCAGCACGCTTGCCTAGAGAGAGCCCGCCATCTTCAACATAGTTATCGAATCCCTCTCCAAGATCTTCATCTTCTGCTATTAAACGTGTATCGTCCTTCTTTTTGCGTGCGAATGGATCGTCATCATCCCCAACTGAAAGAAAGTCCTTCTCTAGGGCCAACCGCTGACGCCGTTCCTTCTTCTCGCGAATTTCAGCCTCGGATAGAATAGCTGTAGGTTGTGATTGGTTGTTCAACTCTGCTGAATCGACAATAAGTGCGCCCTCCAGCTCCGAAGCGTCCAGATCCATCAAATCGCCATCGTCAGGAGGTAATGTGGAGGACTTTTGGGGGGTATTAGGTGTGGATGATTGCAGTTCTTCGAGATATTCCTTGCTGTACTTGGGCCGGTCGTCATCGTCTCCGATCGATCTCATAGGAAGTCCTTTCGTGCCCAACCCTCTTTTTATAGCACTATTTTCCAATGCACGCCCTAAAGGTAGTTTCTTAGGGGTGAATACCTCAGTAGACTCGTCGCCGCCTGCAGCACCATCTTCTCCACCAAATGATAACCGGGAAGACTTGTTCGGCTTTTTCTTTCCCTTCAGCGAGCCTGATCGACCGATAACCGGTCGTACGACCACTGGTCCGTCGTCCTCATCGTCGTTGGTAGCCGACGCATTCCCGAGACTCTCGCCGCCCGCTGGGTTGAAGCTCTTCCTCAAGCCTGACTGTTTGAAGGGTTTCCGACCTGATTTTGTGCCGAATAATGGTTTAGAGGGTTCTGTATTTGCAAGGGTCAGCCTTGATCTCATCAGCAAGAGTCACACATCCAAAATCTGGGAATACTCACCATCGCTAGTACCATTGTCGCCAGTGGGCGATGTGACGTCTTCATTTAGGTCATCCTCATCGGCGACCTTGATGACTTTGGCTTTCCGTTTTGCAGCGAAACTCATGATATGATTGTCTTTTTAATATCTATTCCTGGCGCATTTCAGTTGAAAAAAAAAGACAAAGTTTCGCGACGACACGCGCCTGAGGAGGATTAAAGTGACGTGCATTTGACCCAGATCTTATCTTCACGTGACATCGAATTTCCGTTAGCTGTGAAATGCAATGTTAGTAGCTCCAGGCCGCGATCGCGTCGCATGAAACAGCATCCAAGCTATTTTACATTTACTGCTCAAGATGGCGCCCGCGCAACCTGAGCTCAAAAAGGTTTGTATCAATATTTCCTGCGTCGCATAGCTATCAGATTCTCCTCCAACCTCTGGACAGCCTGAAGCCTTGCAATCTGCTGGTTCTGATCAATAACTAACTTTTCTACAGTACCTCGACAAGAGACTGTTCGTTCAGTTGAACGGCAGCCGAAAGGTCATTGGCGTTCTTCGCGGTTATGATGTACGGAAACTCCTTGCGATTTAGACTGGACAAAGCTAACAAGTCTAGGTCTTTCTTAACATCGTTCTCGACGAGGCGGTGGAGGAGAAGGACAACGGTGAGAAGGTCAGAATCGGCATGGTTGTACGTTATCCTACCCTCTCGCTATCTCGATCACAGAATTCATTGCTAACATATCATCAGGTCATCCGCGGCAACTCAGTGGTGATGCTCGAAGCGTTGGAACGAATCGGCGGGGACGACCGACGAGCAGAACGATAAACCCCTCCTGACGGCAGTGGAAACACGGGAAGAGATGATAGATGCTATGTGATCTTTATTGGCGTTAAGGTCGAAAATTGAGACATGTTCTTGCGGGAACTTTGCTTGGGAACACGTCTTTAATAGACAAACAAGAGAGGATGCCCTCGACTGTTATACTGTGCCCATCCTTACTCCTTCTTCTCCCAGGCCTTTTCGTCGTAAAAGTCCATCAACTGGCCATCGTAAGCCTTTTGCCAACCCTTGATACCTCCGGTCAGAATCTCAGCCTTGATGTCAGTCTCATCAACCTCGTCGAGGTAGTCTTGCATCCACCTAGCGCATCGTGGACCTCGACCATTGGAGCTTCCTGGAGTATTATGAGCAACATGTTGGAGTGGCTTCTGAGGACAATAAAGTACTTACCGCAATAAAAGATGATTCTCTTAACACCTGCCTGTTTGACAAGCTGATAGACCTGAGGACGAGTCTGGTAGAACGTGTGAGCTGGGAGGTTGATAGACGTGGCAATAGTGCCACCCTCCCAGTCAGTCCTTCGAACGTCAACCAAGAGGAAATCTCTTTTCGCGGTCTTTCCAAGAGCTGCGTTCACTTCGATGAGCTTGGAGATGATAGCTGGGTCAGTCCGAGGGCACTCGGCCTTTGGCTCAGGAAAAGCATCCCACCATGCCTGCTGCGGGGTGTCTTGCGGGGTGTCGTCTCCCATAATGTAAGTCTTAAGGGTGTATTGCAAGAAAGAGTTTCGTAGTGAGGTCTGGTAATATTAGTTTCGAGATATTTGAGGTTATTTAGGGAGTAATTTCTCACATTGTCAAGTTGGGAGATGGGAGGTTGATGATGACGATGTACGTAGTGTAGCCCCGGAACGTTTGTCCCGAGCCACGATTTGGGAGGACGATTCAGGTAGTCACTTCCGATCCATCAACAACGTTTCACATGAGATTCTTACTTGTCAATCCTGATGATATCGGGTAGTTTTAAACATAGACATCGCCTGTTTCTGAATCCGAACGCATTTCAACATGGGTCATATATAAACTCACTAAAATTTAGAGGTTTTAAACTCATGGTGCTGATCTATGTAGCAGAGTAGTTTCGTTCCATCGTTCACGACACCGTTGCCCTCGTGCCATCTTTTTGTATGGCCTTATATCACACGTGGTATAAAGATGCAAGAACAAATTAAACTAATAATCGATTAAAGCAAGATATAAATCGAATAGGTCAGTCTAAACGGATACGCCAACGTTACAAATAATCCAACTTGCAAATACAAAGGCAGGGAGACAAAACTATCCTCAAAGACTCCATGGGGTGACACCTAGGAGCTTCAACGCATTTTCAAAAACTTGCCTTGTATTCTCGTAGAGAGTAAGTCTTGCTTCGCTCGCGGATTCTTGGTCGGTCCAATCTTTCTCATCGTCATCACCAAGCGTGACCATTAATTGATCAACTAAGCGCAACAAATACCCAACTATAAAAGATGGCTCGAGTGACTTGAACGAGCCGTGCGCTGCATCTGGGTACTGCAACAGTATACGCAATAGTTCGGCATAGTCCTCTGATTCCAATGAGGCATAGTCTAGAGTTGCGTAGTTGAAGTTGGTGGGTTCCGACCCTAATTTCTTCAAGAGCCTGGCATAGCAGTTTTGAATGGCTGTACCTGTTTCGCCTTCGAGGGGCGCCATCTTTTTTGCGTCGCTTGCATAAGACGTGTTGCGCTTGTGGTAATGATCTTGAACAAATAGCCCGGCAAGACCAAGTATATCCACTGACCTCTCCGAACTATCGACATGAGAGATTCCCTCATCTTCCTCTTCGAGATCAGCCTGTACCATGGATCGACAACCGTCAATATAATCACTCAACAGCTCTGCGCCCTTCAACTCTTCTGGAAGGCCGTTGATCTTGGCAAAAGATGTATGCTGGATGCGGTCGGCAAGATCCTGACGACCCATGAGCTTTAGTGTCTTGATGACTCGGTTGAAATGCATCTCTTGCTCCATCGCAGCGACGTAGATCATCTTGTCGAAGGAATGTGCTTTAAACCGGTCGAGCACTGCAGCAACATCGCGCAAAAGATATGAGGTAGTCCCGTTTCTGTATCGCAATACCGCAATGGATAACCCCTTTGCTTCGTGTTTCGAAAAGTCGATTTGCCAGGAATCATCGTGCTCTTCATAAACCCCCTTCTCTTTCAAAGCTTGTTCCACTTCGGCGATGGACTCGGAAGTAACCTGCGACTCTCCGGAGTATTCATCAAAAGTAACTCCGAGTCGTGCGTAGGAGTCTGTCAAATCCTTGACGGTAGCGTCTCTGAAGCGTTGCCACAATTCAATGGCCCCTGGGTCCTTGTCTTCCATCTTCTTGAAGAAATCATCACGCTCGGCGTACAGGCCTTGCGACTCAATCTCCGAGGCGTCTTGGTCATTCGCTTTCATAGCTTTACACTTTTCTACTTCTGGCTTGAAAAGCTCTTCAATTTTGTGCTTCACTTGAAGGAGATGGCGAAGAGGCTGCCTTGAAAATTCGTCTTCGGAGCCAAACCGCTGCCAACCTGCAGCAAGGAGACCAATTTGCTTACCCCAGTCTCCCAGGAAGTTCATCCTAACGATATCCCAACCCATACTGGCATGAATATTTGCCACATAGGTGCCTAAAAGCGTGCTACGCAAGTGTGATACTTGGAACTCGCTCGCCATGTTGGGAGATGAGTACTCCACGATGACTTTCTTCTTTCGCCCTTCAGGCGCCACCGGATCAGTGAGTCCTAGAGACGTATCATAGCCATATGATACGCTTCTATCGCTGATATACGACAGCAGAAGTCGGGGCAGCGTGTTTGGGGAGAAGAAGACCTGGAGACGAATACCGTCTCGAAGAGGGCACCCAAAAGGAGGTGTTCTTGGTAACTAATTGTGGCCCGTGTCAGTATCCCTTAATTCTTTTGGATTAATTTCAGTATATTCCCACCTTCTGAAGAAGATCCTTAGCGAGGTCTTCATTATTGATACCCTGAAGTCTCAGTCTTGGGGCAACAACCACAAGGTCCCCCATTCCTGTAACGTTGGATGTTTGAATAGCATCATAGGCAACCAGTCTATCGCAATTTGTGAGTTTCTGTATTGTTTCGGCGAGATAGACTCGAAATATGTCCTGCGGATTGTGCACAATATCTGCGCCGGGGTATTCTGGAATAGGCGTGTCTAGTCCTGCCTTTCCGAGAAGGTTCTCGATTCCACTGACAGAACAAGTTGTCACTGCCATAGCCACGATGTTCGCTGTGATGGTGTTGAGAGAAGAGAGAAGTGAGTCAGATGTCAAATATTTTGAGGGTTGCCTTCTGAAGCAGCTAGCTGAGCTATAAGGCAAGGGCGCCCAACTGCATTTGAAGTGAGAGCTTAGGAGTTAGTAGTCGGGCATCATGACAGCTTACTCTTCAAAGCCTCAAATTCAGAACATACTTCATGATTTGCTTACAATGCTCTATGCCATTAAAATGCGAGGTGAGCTGTCACCCCTCCAAGTTGTCCCTCAAACGAGGCTGTCAGCGAGCAATTGGCTGTAACTCACCAACAGAGAGGAAGATGGTGTATCACACAACCCCGCGATAGTGTCAGGTTACATTTGAGACTCTCTCTTGGTTATGCCATTGACGTCGCAAGACGTGTCATATCTCGGATGTGATCATCTTCAAGTTGATGCCTAAATCCCAGAGACTCGGTCGGCCAAAAGGTTCTAATGCATGTGAAGAAGGGCACGAAGAAAGCGACCAAGAGTCATTGACTGGTAGCCTTATATTTTGAGGCCTGCAACTAACCCTTTGTAGACATTGCCAAAATCCCAAATGGCTCCCTTGAGGCAGTCGCCTTTTTCGAACATGGTACGACCACATACAGTTGATGTCAAATGATAACAAACTACAGTGTTAATCCGAAAGTCTGGCTCGCTCTCTGACGGTACAGATTCGCAGCCCCTACTTCTTGGGTGCGTCCTTCAGTTCTCGTAACTCAATCCCGCAGAACCTGAAACGTGTATGTTGTATTTGACTGTGTAAGCACTTTCCTCGGGCTGTTCTCAGTGGCCTCTCCTCAAAACATCTATGCAAAGTAGTAGGAAACCCTATTGTGGTTCGTCAAACCAGACAAGTGTGTTTTGTCAGTTGTCAATTAAAACGTCGTGAGAACAGCGTCCGATTGACAACAAGACTCAAATCGAACCAGGTATACTAGACTTACAATAACTCTCATATAGGAAGTCCTGGATCTTCTCTTCTCAAACCCTGTTTCAAGACCCCGACAAAGAACGCAAACCCAGAACGATTCCACATCCAATCCAAACATTTTTTTGCCAAACGAATCACTGTATCATACCGTCGACCCAGCCTTATTCTCCTCGGAAATCCATTTAGTTTTGCCCTGAGCTCTTTACCATAAAAGGCAACATGTTCCCGGAGCATATACAATATTCCCACTATACATATGACGATGAATGATACCACAAGAAAGAGGTATCCAGGCCAGGATGCTTCATCGCCTTTCTGCGGTTTTCCACTGTAAACTTGAGCAATCAAGGACAGGATGGCAAAGGACTGTGTCATGTTAGCCTTGCGTCTACCAGGAACAAGGAGGCATAATTACAACTGCTGCAATTGCAAACTCCTTGGCTCTTTCGTCTCTGATTTGCTGTTCATCTGCACGATCGAGCTTCCTCTAAGACAAAACGTCAGTTTTGCCGATCGAAACGATAGAGCATGGGGAAAAGAATATACTTCACGTCTGAGTTCCTTGAATGATCTTTTTGTCTCCTCAAGCTTGTCCCCAACATCCCTTAGCTCTTTGATCTTTCCCTCGATTCCTCTTAAAGCCTTTATAGCTTTGACGTCGCTTCGTAGACTCTGCCAGAGTTCCCCTTGAGGCATGCCGGCTGGGCTCAACTTGACATCATTCGCCAGGAAGTTCTCGACTTCTTCGACGTTCTTCGTATTATAAAATATCACCCTGCTCAATAGTTCAGGGAACCTTTTCCAGTCTTGTTTGTTTGAAGGGTTGAGATTCCTGCTGGGGCCGTCTCTGGTGATGGGTGTCTGTAAAAGGTCAGCCCCGTCAAATGTTTCTTGGACATAAAAGTTATGAACGATATAAAGTCTCCGGTGCTATGGAGTCTCACATACATAGGAATCTAGACTGTGTTTGAACACATCATGTATGCGTGCATGATGTCCATGGATCTTGTCAAGCTGTATCGCCAAAGCAACAAGTGAATATTGCCTCGGACGCCACTGGGCCGCTGTATCTTTCACCTCAACCTCAACTATAATTGGGTCAACACACCCTTCCGAGCTGTCTAGTTCTTCTCCTTCCTCTAATAGACGTGGTTCACTTTCATAGAAGTCATCATCAAAGCAATACGCCGTCCAATGCTCCTCAGTCACACCGGTCGTGGCAAACGAATACACTCCCTCGTGCAGTACTAGTTTCCCTTCTAGGCGGGAGTCTTCTGAGTATCCTAGAAGTCGGCGTAGTTCCTGTATATTCAAAGAATCCAGGGTGTAGCGAGCACGGAACATGGATTTGGGGTCATGAAGCGTACGTCTATCCTGCTTTCCACTGAGACCAATTGCATAAAATGGTAGAGCGAAGCTGATAACGTAACTTGTGTTCCAGAAGTCCTAGGCAATGAAATATGTTGTTAGTGCTTTGAGCCATGTTGCGGGTTTTAGTATCTTCCTGGCTTACAGAGACTTTCAGTTTGATACTTGGAGTTGGACTTGTTGTAATATAGTTTGCAAAAAGATCATGAAGAGCAGGGGCTTGAAATTGATTTGCTGTCTTCAAGATTGCCATTACGCTTGTTCCATCTGGATTACTGACAAAACTTTCAGGGTTAGTAAGAACTATATTCCATGTCTATACAGTAACTCACAGATGCCGGATGGGCCCGATCATCTCTCCTGATGGACCCTCACGAAACCGCTACAGGAGGTCAGTCGCAATGATAGAGCAAAACGAAGTTCATACGCACCTCGTTCTGTAAGACCTTGTAAAACTCAAGGCGACCTAATATGTTCTCATACGAGGGAGACTCGGTCGTAGTGTCTCTGAGAAGCCAATAGTTTCGATCCGATATCCAGGCTTTGGGCTCCTCCACATTTGCTAGTTGATGGCCTCGAATTGTAGTTGGGTCATTTCCAAGAAGAACCCAATCAGCACCCTGGCAGAATGCTTCAACACATAATGTTTCATGTTCTCCACGAGTTGACGGGTGCTTATCCATTACGAACGAGACTTCTGGACAGTCATAGCCATTCCTTTCTCTTAGCATATCGGTGAAGGGTTTGTTATGCTCTGAAGCTGAATACTTGACCATCTTGTATTGCTTCTTCCATTCATCTTGCTCGGTCCATATGACGGAAGTAGCTGTGGCTACCCAGTCAAAGTACCTGGATGTGGCTCGGGAATGGCCATTGTGTACTGGTAGAGTTGGAGGAGGTACTGTGTTCCTTCTTATAAATGGCATGGCTCATATGTGCTTCAGCCTTTTGTCGTCTTTAAACTGTATGTAACTACCTAGGTCAGTCAATTCTTTCATTGATTGGAGGTTGGGCCACGTTCACTTCACCAAGAAGTTCCAAGGCAAACTTTCTAGACAGTAGAGGGAATGATCTCGTGGAACATGTTAATGAATATGAGGAATCTGGCAAACATATTATCCTGGTTCCCCTTCCTCCTCACCCTCTTCCTCCGTGACAACCCCAGCCAATAATTTACCTACAGGCAGAATGAGGTCCAGACCTGGTGCTGGGCCAGTCTCGACTTCAATGTTGTCGGATGACCAAGAGCCTCTTTGATAATTAAAATGTTTGTGAGAGCGAGTGTTGATTCGTCGAGTATCACAGTTCGGGCAGCGTGGATTACAGCAATTAGGACATGGGTCAACAGAGACCTTCATCCCTCCATAACCACACACGCACTATAGAAATGTCAGAAAGGGTCTTTATATATAGGTAGCCAGAAGGCGCGCGCTTATGCGTCAAGAGACTCATAACGGTTGCCTGAGTATAAAACCGTGTCAAAATGTGCACTTTTCCCCCTCTCTCCGGAGCTCACTTACACAAATCCATACCCATACGACTTTCCTTCGAGGGGCTATCTCGATTATTGGGTATCGACAACGGGTGGGAGGCGCAGCAACTTCAGTCCCGTCAGCTGTTTATTTTATCGAGCAACTAGAATAAAAAGGCAAAACGGCGTACAGTTGATACTAGAAGGCCTCAATAAACTCCGATCGGCGTGATCAACAATACCATTGGAATTTTCTGCCTTTTTTTGCTCTGATCTTTTCTCAACGGAAATATCGTCTCCTGCCTTCTAGGCTTCTGGTCAGCCTCAATGGTATCCCCTTCGCCGTAGGGTGGCCTGATGACCGTAGCGAAGTCAATCTTGGCAGCCGCACCTGCAATTGGGCAATGTATGATCTCATTGTCGGCTTTTCTTCTCTTCTTCGTTATTTTTGTATATTTCTTTCGTGTGGTTCGCCTGGAGGCAGTTCCCTGAGATGGATGGTAGAGAAATCAAGGCGTCCATCATCTTTCTTACTACCTTGGTATGTAGTCAGGTTGATAGTTGACAGGGGACTGGTGTTTATGATATGGGTGTGGCTAACAAAATTGTTGCTACCCAACTTCGACCATGATCTAGAACAATGTTTGCAAAACCCGACGCATGTCTCTAGAGATGCATCATGCAGTACAGCAACATTGACACAACCATCTGTGTTACAGGGTGAGTTTCAGACATCAGGTAACGCAGCTCAAGGCCTCCTGCAGTTAACAGTTCCCTAGCGGCATTCTCTAGGATTGCCAGCTGGGCTAGGTGAGCGGTGAACCAGAAGAGTGAGACTTCAATGGCTGGGGTTTTTCTTGAAGTTTTAAGTTTGTTCAAAGGTAAGGTCAAAAAGCCCGCACATTTATAAAAGTATCTATACACCGAGTGTTGCCACGTATGTAGGCTAAGTCGCAACTCGGTATTGATCCCCTTCACAGGGTTTCATTGATCAGCTATCAAGGTTTCTCGGTGAACTTGGACATAAAAGATAAATTATGACACACGTCTAGACCACAAGATTTTCATGGTAAAACATCCCTTTTATGAAACATGAGGCTTAATAACCCTACTATTTACGCAGGTGTAAATGTCTTTCTTTGGGCTGCATACATCTTGATAGAAGGGCTAGTAAGAGCTTACGATGATGCAGTCCGTTTTTCAACATTTTGAAATCAGCCATCTTGGCTGAACCTATGACTCAAAATTTCTTTAACAAAGGCCAAACAGTGACTGTTAAGCCATGGCGTGCAAGTGTCACGGCGGTCAACTAGCTGCATATGATCAGCCCTAGGATTTTCTTTCAACCCTACGGTGGCTTGTGTAGTTGGCCCTATATCGGCAGCTGATAATTCAACAATAGTTATCGTGGGCTGGCTACAATCTCGTATATCAACGGGAAGGTGCATTGAAAAGCCCGAGGTTGATGTGATATTCACTGCTCGTTATTGCTCATAGAGCTCATAACGGCTCCCCAATCCAGGTATCCATCAAACCATATCGAAGGGTCAACCCCCTGAAGTATATCAGGATTCCAAGGCATTTCGTTCCAATCGGGCATTCCAAAATCATCCATATGTATCTCGTTGCCCGGTTGCGCTGTACCAGCTGCGGTAGCTCTCCCGTTATCGCTCATGCCCCGATCCTCCATTTCCGTGTCTCGGACATCACCATCATGGATCTTGAGCGCCGCTGTTCCAGACGCCACTATCTCTACCCACCGCTCCAGCTTTGCTCTTGTGATCCTGACCTTGATGGCGCTCATACTCCAAAGGTTGTGGTCTGAAGTACCATGTTCGGCTGAGGACAGCTGAACAGATGCGTTGGCCTCTTCAAACTTGGAATATATACCCGACAGTATCCCCGTGACGTCTAAGTGCAGGCCTGGTTGAGTTTGAATCTGTGACCGTAAAGCAGCCACTGCAGCCGGTAGTCTTGGGTCTGTACCCTCTCGCAAAACAATAGGACTGGCTGCTTGAGAATGGTTTTCACACGCACTGGGCGTAGTGGCCGATGGCGTAGCATGTGCTGGACTTACACTCGTCGAATGCTCCGATTCTGCTTTGTATAGTTCCAAATTCGGGTTTTGTGCGCTGGTATCCTCGGGCATTGGAATGGGAGGCCTTTTCAAAGGGATCTGCGCTGTAAATTTTGTCCACCGGCCAAGCATTGTCATCCCGTAGATCAGTTGGGCGGCTACCGCAGTGGTCTGGCTGTGGTACTCAGGGATTGGTATCGATAGCCAATGGTCAAAGAATTGCTTCAAAGCGTTTCTTGACTGGTAGAATATGTCCAGTGCCGAGGCAGCCCCTAATGTAGGAGTTGTCAAAGACTCTGACATTGAGATTATTCGAGAAGTATCAAGTAAAGGGGGCTCATATAAACGGAGTGCTACTGCATTAAGAAACACTTTTATCACATCTGAAGAAGCAAGATTAGTGATATCAGGCAAGTCAACCCAGAGAACACTTACTGTCGTTTTGCAGTTCAAGGGGTAGCCCATTTTGTATCCTGTCGAGCTCGGTTTGAAACGCAGAAACATAGGCTGACGTTGGCGCTGTTGGAAACCCGATGACTTCCTCTGTAGGTTCGTCGGGGGCATTGAGTTGCGAGATGCGCTCGGCCAAGTGTTGTATGCGAACGAGCGCTATGAGTCTCACATCTGTCTCATATTCCCTCTCCTGTTCAAGCACAGATAGACACCCCTGGGTGTATTTTGTATAACGCATGGACTCTATCCGTTGGAAACCAACTGCCATCCTAAAAACAAATCAGCTTCACAAAAACCTATCAGGTGGAAGGATGTTCAACGCACGACGATGATAAGTACCATACTCCTAAGAGCGCCCTCCTCTCCTCATTTGTACGTGCTTTGGGCTGGAATGGTATGACAACCATCAAGCTAGTCCTTTCGTGAACAGTTGGACTTCGATTCAAACCTAGCTCGCCAACGAGTGTAGTGGCCAAAGCAATAAGGTTGTTAAGTTGAGCATGCATGAAGCAGTGATACTGATACCATGTAACTATGACAATGATACCTAGTAAAAGGTCTAGTGATCGCTCGGATCGGATGAGCATGTGGTCTGCGACATGTTTCATCAAATGGTACATCTGAGCTCTCATGGATCGCAGACTGCGATTTGATGTGACCATTCGTATTGAGGCCATCAGAAAAGGTCTGGTTTCTCTGAGTTTGGTTGCTGTAACACCATTAGGTATAATGACAAAAGGGTTCAGAGCCTGGAAATCCTTTCGATAGAGGTTGAGAAGCTCCTGGTCTGATCCTGGTGGAGGAGGAACTTCTCCACTGATCTGTCTGCAGATGCATTGCGGCGGCGCGTAAGAGTTATATGTATCAGGAATCGACCATCCTTGAGTATTGGATACAAAAGAAGGTTCACTCTCTTTTGACGAAGGCTTCTGTTGATCAGTAACATGAGGGTCTACCTCAGTTGGGATGCAGGTGGTATCAGTTGCTAGGTCGGCATTAGTCAACCCGCCTGCTTTCAGGAGGTTGACCAATCCATTGAGTCTTTCCTCTATTTGAGCAGTTCGACTGTATGAACCGTGTCAGTGAGCAACGAAACGTGATGTGATGCATCATGAGGTATCCACAAGACTGATGTAGTAGGTACCAAGTGTTTGATTGGGATGACATACGAAGGTTTAACTGTTCGTTTTTTCCGGGGCCGATGGACCTGCTCAGTACAATTCTTAACCAATCTTTCGCATCTATGCAATGCATTGTGTCAGTCCCATTTATGCTATGGCCCCGGATAATTATGGAGAGCTTTCGGAAGAGCCCCGGTAGACCCGGCGAATGGACCTCCGAATATTCGGTACCCTCGGAGTCTGTCACAACGAGACCACATGCTGAGCAGGTCGAAGTAAGGAAAGGGGTAGAAAGAAAATGAAATACCTGTCGCATTTAGATCCAGGCGCATTGTTTGACCGTATGCATTTGGCTTTTGCTATAGAGCACTGCGCGCAAGCAGCACCCCATTTAGCCGTCGCAGGTTTGGGTCTATGGCCACCAGCGTTCGACATCATACTAGGTCCAGATAAGATCTGCGATTGCATTAAAGAGCGTACAGGGAAAAAAAAGATCGGTGAACCTCCAAAAAGAGAACAAGTTCGGCGGAGTTTTGGAGGATATCAAAAGAGGCCCAGCTTGTTGAATACCTTAGTAGGCAGGCAGGACAGATAGATTAGTAGGCAACTACCCTTTTATGAAACGACGTCAAATCAGGAGGAAGACGCAGACAGGGGCCATGGAAAGTCCGTTCTAGGGTGGGTCGAGGGGTCGGGATGGTTCGGACCTTCTGATGGTCAAGCACCGTCCTTGCTGGTAAACAGGTTAGCAGGTACGATATGTAGATTCAATTTTGTATACAGTGACGTTATGCTGGTTGTATTATATATGTTTGCTTATTTGGTCTGGAATTGAATGACCTCCAGCATTGTAAAGTGCCATATCTAAGCTGATTCACTAAACAGTGCCTAGCAACCTCCTACAAGGAATGCCACAAAGCTTCCTCGATAATGTCCCTAGTAATACAATTGAAAAGGAGATACTGGCCCCAGAAACTCCACGAACCTGCCGTAAGCCGTCATAGACTTATCAAAGAAGTATTCACACAATCACATGATAGGGAAAAGAGTAACGGCCCGTCCTCGCGACATTGAAACGAAAGACACACTCTTAGGTTGAATGACTGCATGCTTTGCTACTTAGTGACTGCTCAGAAAAATTGAAACGCATTCTAACAAAGAAGCCCCTTATCGAGGCACCTAATACAAGCTCCGCCTTTGTACGCCCGTATATCAAATACACCATATGATGATACATGCCGCCCTGGAGTCATTACGTTGTGAAAACTCCCTTGGTCGGCTTACACAACTCCAGAAGCCCGACAGTTCCCATAGTCCTCCCTGCTCTTCATTCTCATTCTACTTGGACCTGGACACGCCAGCACCAATAACTCCTGGTAGCTTCTCCTCGCCAACGCTGAATAGCATGCCAATGGCCAGATAAAGGATGGTGACGAGAGCAATGGTGAATCCAGCAAAGAGCCAGAACTGAACGCTGATGTCCTGCTTCGAGCAAGCACCTCCGGCCCAGTGAGTAACGCTACCGGCTTTGGACACGGTGCTAAGGCAGTGGCAAGAGAAGCAAGAGTTGTTTCCCTCGCCATACCTGCTCTGACATTTACCATGGCCCGAGCAGTTGCCAGTTGTCTTCATGCACTCGGACTCCGACTTGAAGCACGTGGATGAAGGGACTGAAGAGAACTTGGGGGTCTCGGGGACGGATGAGGTCTCGGCGGCGGGCACTTCCTGGACCTCCTCAATAGAGGAGATGACGGTCTCGGCTTGTCGGCGTCGAAGGTCCTGGTCCTCACCAAAATCGTCCTCGCGATCGGCCACCAGAGGAAGGAAGATTAAGGTGGTGTGCAATTCGCCTGACTCGGCGAGTTTCTGAAGCTTAGGAAGCTCGTTCAAGAGGGTGGTGGGGTGATCACCATCCTTATGCCAATGTTAGATAGGTAGCACAAACAGAAGAGTGTAAGGGGTCCGATTACCTGTGATCTGCTATATGTTGCAAGAGCTGCTTTGCCGTTGAAACAGTTGTCGTCCATGGCGACAATCTGGCTCAGGGGACATTCCGGCATCTTGGCGACAACGGTCTGGAAGATTTCAGGGTGCTCCCCATTCTCTTTGCTCGGGTCTAAAGTAAAGTCGGGCTTTGTGTTGAAGAGCCAGCCAAAGAACGATTCATACTCGAACGTAGGCATTCCATCAATGTTGATAACTAGCTGGCGCGGCGTCGCGGTCGTGTCATCGGAAAACAATGGCGCAGGAGTTTTGCCAAATTTGTTCATTAAAGAAATGATTCTCTCCTCATCGTCGGATTCAGTGAAATCGCGGAATGAAGGTCCCTCTCCTTCGGGGGCGAGACGCTGGTGAAGGATGAGGCGTGCTTCGCTCGGGGTGAGACTCGTTGTAGGCTCGATATGGTGGGATCCTCGTAGGATGTAAACTTTGGCAAGATTGGTAGCGGCTTGGTGAGAGGCAGCAGCAAAACCTGCAAGAGCTGCACTGAGCCCAATGGTGAGCTTCATTTTGATGTATATTGATGAAGCTTGTTGTCTAGTCCAGCTGAGATAGCTTGAATGTCGCAAGCTTGATACGCAACGCGAAGGGGACGATGCACGTGTCGGGTAGCGGCTTGGAGTTGTTCCGTCATACAGTGTATTGAGTTCCAATGTCTCAGCGCGCAGAGACAGCAGAACACTTAAACGCAAAGTTTGAAGTACAATAATTCATAAATAAAACCTGATTTAGCCTACCTCTTATGATCAGGACTCCTGTTTTCATATCTTGATCTCCCTGATCTGAGTTTGCTGTCATATCTATGATAGGCAAGCATAACGTAGCACAGTGTCTGTATGACGCACACGGTCCATTAAAGCACAATGTGGGCTTCTAGGCTATGTTACCGTGGAACAGTGACGATAACTGTCTTCGCCATTACTAGAATGTCTTTTACTTGCTGAAGTATACCCATGCCGTGATAGGATTCGCTTTTTCTCATTTCATCAGAACTGCCTCTTTTCTCCCAGATCTGTCGCCTCATGGCAAATATAGAGGCGACATGTTAGCTCGACAAGTCGTCCTACGACGAGCAGCTCTCTCCCCGTACAGACCCTCGACTCAACGAATACTCACTTGCCAAATTCGACCTCTCGACCGACGGATATCATTTCTACCATGGCGTCAAAAGAAGCCCGATCTCCAAAACTACCCGGTCTACTTTACAAACCCGAATTCATCCAGTCACAATCAACTCGGTCCTTCTATGAGCCCATCTGAGAAAAAAAGGATCTTAAGAGGCGTCAAATGGCATTTCCGCTTCGATCGCTTTCGGTACGTTCTCGGAATACACGCAGTGTGGCTATTACAACTATGATTCTGACATCTCACTAAGTCGCTGGGCCTCTACGATTATTATATTTTACATTTGCTGGCAAATCTTCTGCACGGTTGTGTTCGATCCTCTATTTGATTGGGCTGATGCTGAATGGGAAGCTTTGTCTGATAAGGAAAAGGAAGAAGCGGAGGCCAACCACGACCCGGACGAGCCATTGTTGTTTCTTCCCTTTCCGTTCACAACAGAGGAAGTTAAGCAACCCCCATACCGAGGTTCAGATCCGGAATGGCAAACATTTGTCAAAATCAGCCAGGACAAGAAGCTCCTACAGGAGATCAAAAGTGAGTCGCATGGAGTCATGAATTACACTCGATCTAACGGAGATACAGATGGTTTGGCAAACGAAATCAAGCGTGGTGTGGAGAGAAATCCTGCCTTTAACAAACTCCTTGGAGGGGAAGTAGCCGTAAGGAAATTCTGGCTAGACATAATATTCCCACCCGCCCCTCCGCCTATGCACTACGTCTCTGGGTAAGTCTCAATCTATTCGCAGTGGGCCTTTCTCCATACTAACCATATAGAATTATGATTGACGAAGAGGGCATCTTTTGGGGTGACCGACCCATCGATTCTCTTGCTGCCAATTTTCTTGCCAAAGCTCTCTACCCCAAGGCCCTTGCAATGGGCTGCTGGACATTTGTTAGCTTCCTGACAAAACAGGTGGCGCAAGATATTGCGAAAAGTATAGGTCTAAGCGAGCCTGATCCTCCTGAATCTGCTTGGCAGCATGTGCCAGTGAATAGCCTTCCTGGCACAATGCCACAGCAGACTCCTAGGGTGGTAGTCAAACACGACGCTAAAGCGCATCCTGCACACCTGCCTCCTGGCTTCAACGAAATCCTCGGTGCTGCATTTGGCCCTGATGCAAAGCTTGATCCCAGGCTCCAAGCTGCTAGCCTGGCTGGCGCATTCGCGTTTTTGCGATACTGGAAACCCACAAAGACTTTACCTTCGAGAGGGTGCATCAAGGTTGACGGTATCGTCGAGCTAAAAGGAAAGACGGCTGTTATGGCCGTCCTAGTTGCAGGTTACTACGATCCCAAAACGCGCCAGTATGTTGCCGTTCAGACCCGACTAAAGCACTTGATGCAGTTGAGACAGCGACCTGCACCTGGCTAGATCAGATTTACACAATTATGCAAGCAAAACACGAATATTTGGGTTAGGCTATGCGCGGCGCTGAGGGTGGGGTTTGACTTGAGATACCACAGGAGTCTGGAATATCAGTATTTGATATTAGATAGCTTCAACTAGTACTGTACAGTGAAGCAATAAGAACATTGAAATACGCCCTCTGACCCTGTATCCTTAGGTCTGTTCCGCAGATGAAACAAAAATCTGTATCCATGTACCCGCAACACCAATGCCATTCATCCAGTACCCTACTCGTAAAAAGGTATTACCGAAAACGTCCCCCATGTACATCCGACGCCCAACCCATGTGCATAGGAAGCATATTCATAGGAAAGGAGGGCGGTCCCATAACCATACTTGTATTTATCATAATTCTGCCATACTCCGGCTGACGCACTTGAGACATCTAGTTCCGCAGCACGTTGACGGTGATGGTGAACACTTCTAGCTCAACCTCCGGGCCCCCTGGCACACGCTCATCTTGGGGAATCGCAGCAATAAGATGCGTTTCGATTACGTTGATCCCATGATGCAGCATGGCCTCGAATGCGCGCTCGTTGGGTTGCTGGCCAGGAGCTTGAAGGTGGAGGGGCTTGAACGGTTGTTTGTTTACCAATGTCCACAGGCTGTACTGTCTGTTATGTAAATGGTTGGGTATAGCAGTAACGACAAGGATTCGTGTAAGATGAGAGGGCAGGTTGATGGTGGCGGCCTGGTCCATCTCCTTGGGGTTGGGCTTGACGGTTGCTAGTACGGGGCTGTGTGACTGTAGGGTTGGATGAACTTGTATTTTCACACTTTCAATAAGAGCATCATCGAGACCTGAAATCGTTAGTGAAATCTTTGGCAAGGTAAGTGGTAGGCAATACCTTTACCGGGACGGCGAGGATGCTTCTGATCCATGTAGCCATTAATCAAGGGGTTTGTTATTGGCTGAGGTGGTGCGACAGGAATAGGGGCAAAAATAGGGCCTGTTGCGGTTGTAGGAACTCCAAGCGTAGCTTGACCAGCGGGGAGAGCGTTCTGGGGCTGTGGCACAGCGGCTGATGATAAGACGGGGGCAGCTTCTTCTGTTTTCGAGGCTGCTTGTGTCGATGGGCTTGGAGATGGGGCAGCAGAGACAGATGCACTTCTGGCCTTTTCTAGCTGAGGGTTAATAGCCTGAGCAGGCGTAGAAGTGCGTGTTGTACCATTAACACCAAGGCCGTTTGCCGCCTCTTTTTGTTGACCCGGCACCGGGGAATCTGCTGGATCCCGTTGGCCTCCAACATGAATGGTAATTTTCTTGGGTCCAGGTGCAGGGGTGTCGCTGGTTCCGCCAACCTTGAGTTTAATCTTTGGTTGAGAGGGCTCTGGCACATCGGCTTGTGCCTGTTTGAGCTGTTCAGTAAAGAACTCCTATCAAGCCAGTTAGAAGACGCCATTATGCATAACTTTAACGACAAACCTCGAGTTCCTGGGCGACAGAGTAAATTTCGCTCCCCTCCTCGTTGAAAAAGTATGCATTAGTCCACAGTAGCTTTGCTTTCTCCTCAAAAGCAGCCCAGGACTTGAAATCGCTGACGCCTGTACTGCCACCTCGGCCATGCATGCCCTTAACTGCCCTCTGCAACTTTCTCAGCGACATGGGATCACTGATGACTTTGTAGTATTCCTTCAGGGAGCGAGGCGGCAGGTTGATAAAGGCTTCAAAATAAGGGCCATCGTATCTAAGAGGATTAGCAATGTCCAGGCAATCGGTAGACTCATGCGTACCCAGGGTCTTCACGTCGTATAACTTCCTCGACAAGCTTTTCTTGTGCTTGCTGGAAGGATAGACCCTTGAAGGGCATATCCTCATATTGATGGTCGGGCTTTGCTGCAGGTACTGCTGGCTTTGGGGTTTCCTTGCCTCTTGTCGATGCTCTTCTTGCTGGCGTACGGTCAGGTCCCCTCCGCTTGAGGGTGATTGTTGTTCGCCTGCGAGAGGTTGGCAGCTCTTCCTCCTCCTCCTCCTCCTCCTCCTCCTCGTCTCCCTTTTCTTCGTCTTCATCGGGTTCGTCTTCCTCGTCTTCGTCCTCGCCGTTCTCTTCGTCCACGTCCTCGTTCTCGTCCTGCTCATCCTCGGCACCATCTTCATCAGGGAACGGGGTAGGCAAAACTTGATAGCCACGAGCTTCGTAAGCTGGATTCGCCTTGGTCATGTAATTGCTGAGTGCCTTTCTAATTCGTTCCGCATCTTCGAACTCCGGATCAGACCTAGAATAGAATTCCTTGGCGTTGCTAATCATGCGTTTAAAGTAACCCTCGAGCTCAGAAAGATTCTTGAATTCGCCATTATTCAGTTTGTTCTCGATCATCGATATTGAGATGGGCATGCGCGTGTTTTCGTAGTAGTCATCATTACCATCGCGGTGTGGTAGCTCCTCGAAATTGGTCGCGACGAGACGCCCACTTTCGAATAGTCAGTATAGTCGGTAAAATAATCCTGTCTATCTCCATACCTCTTGTCGGCAGTCTTGCGAAGGTGGTCCAGAAAAGATAATCCATACGCTGTTGTGGATTCTCGGGTCTGGCCTTTTGAGAGATCGAAATCATTCTAGCCAGAGTCAGCGATCCGTGATACGAATGTTGAACCGTTAGGTATCAATGCGTTTTAAATTGAGTTATGCGACGCATGCGCGCATACAATACACGAAGTTTATGAGGGGCCGGACCTGGACTTACAGTAAGTCTACGACGCTTAGAGCCTCTGTCGTCGTTCTCAGCAGATGAAGGCCCATTGGCCTTGCGTTTGCCGTCCATCGTGATTATAATGAATAGAGTCGCCTAATCGCGCGCATAAAAATGCCATGTACTATACGTCCCCTAAAGAGTTTGTCGATGCACAATGGAATATCGCAAATCGTAGGCTCGAAGTCGCTGCGGCGGCGCTGAGGTGGATTTTGACGCGTGCTGGCTAGTCCAATAATCGCGTCAAGCAGGGTAGTTGCTTGGTACAAGACAATTGAAAAAGCGCAAAATTAAACAATCCACGGTTTATAAGATCCCGGTGAGAAACTCTGCAGAGAACCACAGTGCTCTAAGCTATCGTGGATCTACGCAGTGCTTGCAAAAAGCTCAGATGCTGTCGTTTTCGAAGGTGGTGATAAATTGGGCGGGCCTGTATTCTAGCTGAGGTTTCGAGGTACATGTTAGAAGTACCCGCATTCTGAACGTGGTGTGTGCCTGAAACTGTTAGCAAGGCAACAAGGCAGGAATGTCGACTGCGGGAAAACACGCAAGGAAGCCCACCAATTGCTGGATTACTCGTCACAATAATGGATGTTGGTTATTTAAATTATTAAGAGTTGCCTCTGAACTTTTGATACATATCAATGGTTAAGCTTCGTGCATGTATTAACATCCTATGAAATCGATTGGAAACGATCGCCTGCGCTACCATCGTTTAAGGGCTGTCATCATGATACGGTTCCAACAACACCAAACGAATCATATAATAACAATGATAGATAATTATTCACATTTTGTGTGCGCGCAATGCCCCCTTACGCTTTATGTCACAATCTCTACAGAAAACTAAATGATGAATACCCCCCTCGATCAAACGAGCTTCCTGCTTTGCGCGCCATGAGAAACTCGCCGCCATCATGAATACCAAGTTCCATGAGGGGCAGCGCATGGAAAGCTAAACGGGTCCAAATAGCGGTCGTGGGGCTGCTACTAAGCTCAAGCTCCTATTCTTCGACCCCACATTGACCTCATTATCAAGATCTCAGTGACCGTTCTGCAACTTTGTCTCACCATAAGAATTCACAACAACAGAAAGATGGCCGATACACCAAGTGACCCGCCTCCCGACTATGACAGGTCTACCGCCAGCCAAGGCACTGCTCAGAGGCCATTGCGCAAAGGTCCTTTACCGCTAGAACTCCCTATTCTTAAGCACCTTAACTCCAAGCGAGTGATTCTCGCATCTGCATCTCCACGCAGGAAGGCATTGCTACAGCAGGTATGTGAGAATTGTTATTTGATCTCAGTATACGTTCTTATATTGTTCAGTTTGGCCTCACAAACCTTGAGATTCTCCCATCTACCAAGCCTGAGAATCTTGACAAGGCTGCATTAGGACCATTCGAATATGTAGCTGCGACAGCTCACCAAAAGTGCATGGACGTCTATACCACCGCCCTGGAAGTGCATCTAAAGTCCATTCCTGATCCTGATCTCGTCATCGCTGCAGATACAGTCATTGTTACTAAGGATGGCCGAATCCTAGAGAAGCCTCGAAGTGAAGCTGATCACATCCGCATGTTGAAGCACCTCCGCGACCAGCGAATGCACAAGGTTCTTACAGCGGTCACGGTCCTTGCCCCTAGAGAGGACGCGAGGCACCCTGGTTACGAGATCGACAGCTACACAGAAGAGACCAAGGTGTACTTCTTGAGCGAGACTGAGGGTCTTCCTGATGACGTGATTGAAGCTTATGTCAAAACTCGAGAGGGCGCAGATAAGGCGGGTGGTTATGCTGTTCAGGGTGTTGGTGGTATGTTGCTTGTTGAGAAGATCGAAGGTGGTGTAGACAACGTTGTGGGACTCCCTGTCAGAAAATGCCTGGCCATGGCCGAGAAAGTAATATTTAGACAGCAAGAAGAGGACTTCGAAGGCGAGGGATCGGAAGAGGAATGAACAACGCCAACATCTGACAATTGAGGATTGCCAAATGGGAAATTCTCATACAATTGGAGCTCGGAAGGAATATGACTAACTGATCTTAGTCGCAATTGCTTTTAGTAGGTGGTTTGTGTCCAGCTGGACGTTTACTCAAAGCAACCGCGATGTTGAGAACAGGACTGCGGCGGGAGAACGGTCACATCTTCAAAAGCTACCTACCTACCTAGGTAGTACCTAGGTAGGTATTAAGTATTTATCTCTGGGTCTTGGATGTAGATGTTTAGGGTAAATCATCTTGATATTCGACATAATACTAGTCTAGTAACTTGGATGGAGAATACCTAAGTCCTATTGACATTAAACTACCTCGTCGAATTTTTTCTACCTTAGGCAGTTCATGGTTTTCTGTTATGGGCAAAACCGACTGGTATTTGATATGAATTGATAACAAGATATTCCTATCTAAATTGTCGAATCTTACGAGGTGGTACACATGAACAAGTGTTTCTTATAATTGCGTTCCTCAGTGCAACTTGCCTGAATGGTACCTGCCTTGCTTCCATAGGTTAGGAGGTAGGACCTGCCTATTTCTAGGCCCTGATCTGCATGAAACATTGGTCCTGCCGCGATGCACGGGATGATGCCATGGTTGAGTTCGCTGCGCCCTTAGGTTCCTTCCTCCGACTTAGCCAGGTCTGGGTCCTTCCCATAGTGCCTTTCACATGATAAATGTGGGGACTAGACCCCTGCATATCATTTGGAACTTACATCAACAAACATCACCAGACCTAAACATTTTGAACAAATTACTATTTCTTATTCAATATATACAACCCAACAATCATGTCTTCTCCCAACAACAAGTCACCTTCTGCTCTCAATCTCGATGGCACCGGCGACGAGAAACCCCGGCTCACTGAAGAGGAAAAGAAGCAAAACCACATTGCATCAGGTAAGTGTTTACATACACATCTCAGCTATTACATGAATCTTCCCGCTTTAAACCTACTCCTTCCAGACTTGTATGGCTAACAACAATTGACAGAACAAAAGCGCCGGCAAGCAATCCGTGAAGGTTTTGATCGTTTGACAGAGCTTGTGCCCGGCTTGGAAGGACAGGGGAGATCCGAGGGTCTCGTGCTCAAGCGTACAGTGGACTACATGCATGATCAGATTGCAGAGCGCCAAACGTTGATCGCACGAATTGAAGCCGCTGGTGGCCAGGTGGACGAGCAACACAAGAGGTAGGTGATCATCTGATCACGTTTACGGTAACGAACCAGCTTAACGATGGTATATCTAGGGCGTTATATCAACAAGTCCAGCAAAATCAGAAGAGAAACTAGTTAGACTATTCACTCGAGTGGACATTATCCCTATTGCCGACGGTCTAGAGTATCCCGAGTGCCGGCATTACTCAAACATCGCCAACCTTGGACGTGGGGCGACGGCACTCAAACCACTCGATACATACATTACTCAACCAGTCCTAATGTAACTCCACCTGCAATATTGCAACGAGACGCGCAACTGAGGCTACTTCCACTCATGGTACGGCTAGAGAAAGACTAGTGTAGATAATAATAATAATAATGCATTAATACATAATTCTTTACACTTGTTGTTACATCTTAAAAAATACGTGATAGCTGTCTAGGCGAATGTTTCTACCATGGTTCTCAACCGCTCTCGCAATTCCTCCGGCGTTAATCTCTCCTTACCCAGCGCAACCTGCTGGTTCTTAACGTCGTCTTCTCCGACAACAAGAATCTGGCCATAGCCATTATTTCTGGCCTCTTTGATCTTGGCTCCAAGAGGTCGAGCGGTTGTATCCATGTCTACTGCCAATCCAGTTGGTCGGAAAGCATTGTTCTGGCTAGGCAACGCACCGCTTTCTAGCTGTTGATAAAACTGCTTGTTTTGGCCAACCAGCACATCACGTACATGTTCCGCCCAATCCAAAACAGGCACCGATGTGTTGACAGTGAGGACAATGGCTTGACGAGGATTTAGCCAGAAAGGCCATTTACCATCGTATTTCTCGATCAAGAGTGCCATGAGACGCTCTACAGAGCCTAGAACAGCACGGTGAATCATGACAGGACGCACGGGTCCGTACTCGGCCAGAAGGGCAGGATCCTCGGTTGTCTCGCCCCTAGCCTCGTACTCTGGTGCAGGCGCTTGATATTCAAGTTCGAATCGCTTGGGAAGTTGAAAGTCAAGCTGGATGGTGGCTGTCTGGTGGTCTTTTCCATCGGAGTCCGTGAGAACAATGTCAATCTTAGGACCATAGAAAGCACCGTCTCCCTCCTTGACACCCCATTCCATGCCTGATGCATCCAGTGCTCGCTTCAGGGCGCTCTCGGCCTGGTCCCATTCCGCCTCAGTACCGATGTAGTGGTCCTTGGGTCGGGTGGAGAGTGCCAGACGGTAGCTTGTGCCGAAACGAAGGACTGTATAGACTACCTTGACAAAGTCCAGGGTCTTCTTGATTTCCTCCTCCACCTGGCTTGGTCGGCAAAATATATGTCCATCGTCCTGATGAAAACGTCGAACACGAGTAAGTCCACTCAATGCACCAGAAATCTCGTTACGGTGCAGAGGGCTAAAGTCGGCATAGCGAACGGGAAGATCTCGATAACTGTGTCGTTTGGAAGCAAATACGAGACAATGGCCGGGACAATTCATCGGTTTCAAGCCATAGTCGCCTTCCTCTTCCTCTGCTGGTTTCAAGTTTTCCTGGTGGCTCCCACAGCACCCACCATGTTGCGACGGCGGCGGTTCTGTGTTTCCCCTCACAGCATACATATCGTCTGCGTAGTTTTCCAAGTGGCCTGACTTAGCCCATAGTGACTTTTTGTAAATGGTCGGCGTGATAACCTCCTCGAATCCATATCGCACGTATTGTTTTCGGAGGAAGTCGACAAGTCTGTTGAATATCCTCGCTCCATTTGGGAGAAATATAGGGGAGCCAGGGCTATAGATAGAGCTGATGAAGAGTTCCTGCTGGAGGCCAAGCTTGCGGTGGTCGGGAGGTTCTCGCTTTTCGGTCTTTTGAGAGTAAAAGCGACTGTGAGAAAGACACTTCTGACAAGTCCATTGTCGTTTGAATGTAGTATTTAAAGCCGCTCGGGCGGTCCTTGAGCGGATCATGACTCCTTCGGCACGCAATGGTGCAAGGCAATAACTGGCATTCAATAATTTTTGCTGAAATATGACGATCTAAAATTCCAAACCCACCTGACAGGCTTCAATTCGCTTGATGGACATTTGGCAGCTCGTTACTACTTAAAGCTTAGCGGTCAGTCCGGGCCGCTGTGGAAGCTTAGCGGTCAGCTATCGCCTATCGCCTGCTGGCAGGGTAGTGGTTGACATCTGAAGCCTGGTTGCATAGATTGTATCGCACAGTCTGCACGCAGGCTGGAGATAATGTGATGTTAATTCGGGCGCTTACAGAAGCTGTAGTGTATACATCCGCTGTTATGTGGTAATTGACATTGTGGCATGGTTCTTTGTGTGACTTTGACCCCTCCTCTATCCTGCGCTAACAGCCTGAAAGAACCCCGCCATACAACAAACAGAGCAATTGTTGAACATCCATCTTTACTAGCCAAAATTCACGACTCATCTTCATACCGTAACTTACACCTTGCACTTTAAAGACGTGTTCACGCATCGACTCCTCAAGCCTCGCGCGTTTGGCTCCTAAGACCAACCTTGCGGTTCCTGCGGACACAAGCCGCTGACAGGTCACAATATGAGCTTCGCCATCGAAGTCGCAGGCGATGCGAACCCGCTATCCTTACAATCACTATATCAGACACTACAATCTGCCACTTCAACTGACTATGCACAACGCCAGACGGCAGGCCAACAATTAACGTCATGGGAGCTCCAGCCGGGTTATTACTCTTCGTTGCAGGTTGGTCTAGCAGCAATCATAGGCAGGAATTGCTATGTACTTACAGACACTAACCAACTATCAGGCGGTTTATCTCGACAAATCACTTGCTTACGAAGTCCGATTTCTTGCGATTATTCAGCTCAAGAATGGCATCGACCGGTATTGGCGGTTATTTAACCAGGTAAAGAACAGCATAAAGCCGGACGAAAAGAGCTTGATACGCTCGCGACTATTCCAAGGTTCCATCGAAGAGGAACACTCGAACCTTGCTCTACACAATGCGTTAGTGGTGGCGAAGATCGTTAGAATCGACTATCCTGGAGAATGGCCGGATGCAATGGGAAATATCATCGAAATCCTTCGTTCGAGTCGAAATGGCAACCAAAGACACCTGCACGGCATTCTCGAGATCCTACTTCGGGTTGTAAAGGAGTTGGGAACAGCACGAATGAGGAAGAACCAGACCGCCTTACAATCCGTCACCCCCGAAATCGTCCACGTTCTGGCAGAGGTTTACTCTGAAAAGTCACAGGCATGGATGGGCTTTCTCACCGGCGGCCCAGGAGGTGAGGAAGAAGTTAAGCTGGCCATGTTCAACAGCTTGCTTGCCCTTAGGGTACTACGCCGACTCGTCATCATGGGTTACGAGCGGCCCCATAGTGATAATACTGTTGAGCAGTTCTGGACCCTGTCGCAAACCCAGTTTGGACAGCTTCTCGGCTTTGTCAGTCATGACTCCACGGTCCCCACGAATTATCAAGATATTGTTGGCAAGCATTTGCTCCAGTTTACTAAGCTTCACATCGATATGGCGGAGCAGCATGCCGCCAGCTTTGTGTTCCTCCCCAACTCTCTTCCACTGGTGCAATCATACTGGGAACTGGTTGCAAAGTTTGCAGAGGTTTTTGACAAGTCTGGCGGTATCCGACAAGGTCAATCGGAAGCCGGATCTGCAAAATCCAAAGTAGAGGGGCCTGTGCTAGAACGGTTGGCTCTTAAAGGTCTTTTGCTTCTCAGATCGTGCGTCCGAATAGCCTTCCAATCTGTACAAACATTCAGATGGAGAAGCCCGGAAACCAAGGCCGAGCAAGAGAGAGCGAAAACACTTGTCAAGTCGGAGCTTCTGAAGCCTGATCTCGTCATACAGATCGTCAACTCCATCATTACTCATCTTTTTGTCTTCCGCAAGTCGGACCTTGAAGGCTGGGAGGAGGACCCAGAGGAATGGGAACAACAAGAACAGAGCGAAGGCAATGCTTATGAGTGGGAAGTACGGCCATGCGCTGAAAAGCTGTTCCTTGATCTTCTCACAAACTACAAAGACTTGCTAGTCCCGCCACTGCTGTCATACTTCCAGACAGCACAAGATCCCCAAGCTGACATTGCTACTAAAGAGGCCATATATACTGCAATGGGTCTTGCAGCTGCTCATGTTCATCATGTTTTTGACTTTGATGCCGTCCTGGCTTCGACAATTGTCAACGACGCTCGGTTGCAGGGTGGCCTTTGCAAGGTATTGCGAAGGCGAATCGCTATCCTCGTGAGTCAATGGGCGCCTGTCAAGCTAGATGACTCTAGTCGGCCGATAGTCTACCAAATTTACCGTCATTTCCTCAACCCTGATGACGATACCAATGATGTAGTGGTCAGGATTACTGCGGCTCGACAACTGCGCTGGATCGCCGATGAGCTTGACTTTAACGTGGACGCATTCCTACCGTACACGTCAGATGTTCTATCGCAGCTCATCAACCTCGTCCAGAATGTTGACGTTGACGAAACAAAGCTAGCAATTCTCGAGTCGATTCGCATTCTGGTAACACGCATGGAAGATCAAGTATCACAGTTTGGAGACCAGCTCATGTCTGCTCTTCCGACGGTCTGGGAGAATTCAGGAGCCGAAGAATACATGATCAAGCAGGCAGTAACATCTATCTTTGCAGCCCTTGTGATGAGCATGGGTTCTGATTCTCAGAGATATCAACACTTTATGGTACCATTGCTTTCTGAGGCAGCCCGTCGAGGATCAGACCTGCATCTCCACCTGATTGACGAATCCTTGGAACTATGGAACAACATTCTCATGCAGAGTCACGCTCCATTAGCCCCTGAGCTGGTAAACCTTGCAGATCTTGCGCTTCCTCTCTTAGAATACGATAGTGAAACAGCTTCGCTAGCTCTCCAGGCGGTTGAGTCTTATATCCTCCTCGCCCCAGCATCTATGTTGGAGGATCAGTTGCGTCGCCCGACATTGGGTGCCCTGGCCAATATTCTAGACTCTAAGAGTCGTGAGCAAGTTCGTTTAGGGACAAACTGCATCGAGAACCTCATTCGAGCTGCAGTCGAGCTCGGTGGCTCGAATGGAGTATCAGTTATTCTGCAGGACATGGTCGAAATTGGCTTTATGAACAAGATACTTGGGAACCTACATGATGCTTGGGAATCACATCAGACTACAGGCCCCAACCGAAAGGTCAGCAAGCTCAGCACGATCACCGAGACGGATTATTTCGCAATCCTGGCACGCCTTGCGCTTGCCGAACCCACTTTATTTACCCAAATGTTGACCAACATGGGTTCTCTCGACCAAGTCTGGTCTTGGCTAGCATCCGAGTGGTTCTCGCATATGTCTGACATTGATCATATCGAACGACAGAAGCTTTACCTCTTAGGTTTGACAAGACTCCTAGAATTGCCTTCACCAATGCAAGAATTGGTGCTAGGCAAGCTTCAGGATTATCTCGACATGTGGATAAATGTGATTTCTGAGCTCCAAGACGGCGTGGCGAACGGTACAGACACTCTTATTTGGGGTCCGTTGGAGCCCACCGAATATGACACCCCCAAGATCATCGCAGAATCCCAAATGTCGGCTAAAGACCCCATCCACACTGTCCATGCTTTCGACTTTGTCAAACTACGTCTTCAGGATCTGGTAAGCAGAGTTGGAGGCGAACAGGCTTTTCAGGAGCAGTGGGCAGTCAACGTCGACAAAGAGGTTTTGGAAAAGTTTCAACTCATGGCATCCGGAGTGCAACGACAAGAGTAGGGTACTGGTCTGAGCATACCTGCACAATGCATGATCGGAGTTAACTTGTAAGAAGGGGCATGATATACCAGAGGTGGTTTTACAGCAGGGCTAGATCATTGATACTGAATTTCTATTAGACGTTACAACCTGAGTGATATCCTTGAAATCGTACTCATCCACTCTGAAATAACCGCCTCGTCTATAGCTTGCTCTGCCCCTCCTCGGGTATCTTGATAACAACCTTTCCCCAAGTACCTCTGCCTCCCAGAGCCTTCAACGCAGCTCCGGTCCTCTCCAGGCCAACAAATTCCTCATCTGTATACTCCGTACCCCTGAGCTTTCCCTCCTTGACGAGCTCCATGATGCCACCCCAGACCTTGGGTATCGTCTCCTGCTCGTGGATGGAATACGCGCCCCAGTGCAGTCCCACGATGGAGATGTTCTTAAGGAGAACCTTGTTCATCGCCACCTTTTCGATCTTACCGGCTGCGAAGCCGATGACGAGAATACGTCCGTTCCATGCTGTGCATTTCGTTGAGAGGTCAATTAGACCGACAGGGTCGTAAACAATGTCGACACCTCGAGAGTTGGGAGTTAATTTCTTAACCTGTGCAGGCCATGAAGCGTCGTTGTAGGAGATTACATGGTCGGCGCCGTAGGACTTAGCAATGTCAAGCTTGTGCTGTGTTGAAGCGGTCGCAATAACAGTTGCGCCAAATGCCTTGGCCACTATTACACATTAGTTTCAGCGCATTCATTAACAAGGGTGTCTTCTCATACCTTGAACAGCCGCAAGACCAACACCACCCGCGGCAGCATGGACCAGAACATAGTCGCCCTTCTTGATCCCTGCCCTCACAACCAGTGCGCCGTAACTTGTCGGCGCGGTGACAAACAGACCAGCAGCCTCCTTGAAGGACCAGCCCTCAGGAACTGGCAGCAGAGTGTCCTCAATAGCACAGATCTTGGTCGCAAACGCACCCTGAGACGCGCCAAAGACACGCGATCCAACAGGGAACTTGGGCTTGGAGCCATCGACAGGCGTAGCGATAACTGTGCCTGCGAATTCGGCGCCGGCAACCCAAGGAAATGCTACATAGAATTAGTATGTTATCCGGTGAATGAGTTTCTTCGCATTGAGATTCTTACGGGGCTGGTTCTGGTATTTTCCTTGGATCTGTAAAATGTCGAAAAAGTTGGCTGCTGCGGCGTGTACTTGGATGAGATATTGATCCTCCGAGGGCTTAGGATCGGGTAGGTCAGTGACCTGAAGCTGATCAGGGCCCTTTTTTCAGATCTGTTAGCCAATGGTCAATTGGAGAAATAATCCAAAGGCTTAAACTACCTTGAGATATTCGGTGATTTGGATGCCGCGCATAATGAAGATAAGTGTCTTGTAATATGCTGCTTGGATATGATACAATGGAGCTCAGTCACAAAAAAAAAAGTATGAGTAGTTATAGCAGGTTTCGCAATAAGTATCAAAAAAATGTTGCAAGATGCAAATTATAATTGATAGGAAGAGATGATAGAGAGGACACAAAGACAAGATTTAATAGCTGACGCGGGTACCTTGTTATGGCAACATGTTCCAAAGTCTGGGGTTACGCGGGGAAGACATCCATGAGCCGAGGCATCTTTCCCCAGCGATCGGCCCCATCATTTACTACTTTTACCTGTACAGGCACTCCAGGCTCACTCAGCTCCGTATCAGACTACTTGACCTTCATGCACTAATTAATTACATTTGCGCATCATTGGTAGTTGCACACATTGGAGATGAAAATCTGTTGTAACGTAACCCAATCATGCACTTAGGATATATCTGTCCCAGTACCAAACTGCATTACTCGACTTGTTTGACTTATCCTCATCATTCGTAATACTATGCATTGCTGAGCTGGTGAATAACCCTCCCCAAGCCAATAAGCGTAATTACCGATCAACTATCCGTAAATCTCTATCCGCTCAAAAGATGCTCAATGGCGCCCTGGACGCTTCCGCCGCTTCGTCTCAAGGCCGCAACATTCCGATCAAAGTCGAAGAATCCCATGTCGTTCAGCTGGCGCAGTTGCTCGGCGTAGCGCTCCTCAGGAGGCCTGTTATCGGCGGGTGCCGGAGGGTTCACGCCCGCGCCCATTCCACCGCCGCCGAACATTTGCATCATCTGCTGCATCATCTCCGGGTTCATGCCAAAAGGATTGTTGGCCTGGGCACCTCCGGAAGGAGGGAAGAGCGCAGCAAATGGGTTCGCGGGAGGTGGGCTAGTGGTTGAGCCCTGCTGTTCACCACCTTGGCCGGGTGTTGTTCCGGAAGTTTGCGCGCCAGCTGTACTATCTGCGGCACCTTGGCTAGGTGTGTTGGTTGAGCCTGTTTGTCCTGTCGCAGCCTGGCCTTGGCCTCCAGCTCCGTAGAGAGAACCGAGACCCTGGAGCTGTTGCATGAGCTGTGCGAAATCAGGCGGGTTGCCTCCGCCTTGCTGACCTCCCAGCATACCTGATAATCCAGCGAATGGGTTCACAGGAGGTTGGCCTGCCTGTGTTTGACCACCGGTACCCTGGGTATCTCCGGTCGCTGCTCCTTGAGGTGTCGTATCGGTAGCGCCAGGGGCAGGGAATGCTCCAGGCGCTTCTCCATTCAATTGTCGCTGCATTCGCATAGCCTGCGTCATCATCTCGGGGCTACTCATCATCTGTCTCATCATAGGCGACGAGATAATTTCGCGGGCGTTGGGCAGATTTCGTAGCATAGGATTCGACTCGATAAGCATGTTGATGAAATCGGGGTTGTTTAAGGCCTCGTTCATAGATGATCGGACATTGGGATCGGACATGAGGCGCTGAATACGTGCCTCGTCCATAGGAGCACCCATCTAGAGTTATGTCAGCAAGTAAGTTTCGAGACAGCAAGGGGAGCACACATACACCACCGTCGGGCCCAAACATGTCAAGTCCGGGAAGTCCATTTCCAAAACCAGCATATCGAGCACCCGTAAGGCCAGCGAAGGGCTGGTTCGCGGTGCCTGCAGCCATGTTGGCGGGGGCGGGAGTAGCTGTGGATGCACTGGCGGTGGGAGTCTGGTTGGGTTGTTGGTTACTGGCGGCGCTCTTGACCATGTGGATTGTGTTGTTATGCTTGATCTTGTATGTGCTCAGTGCATCATCATTCTTCATAACACGTCCCGAGTAGATCAAACGTTGGCGCTCGACGGGAATATTCTCAAATTCCTCGCCAGCAAGCTTGGTCTTGAGATCGAGGACAGTTGCGGTCTCGCTCATGGTGATAGTGTGGTTGCCCTCAGATGAGGTCTTCACCTTAAAGGTGATCTGAGAGTCGCTGCTCGGTTCAGGGTTGTCGGCCATGATAGCGGTTGCGTTGTGTTGTGCGGGATGAAGATATGGCGTGGCGCGGCGCGGCGCAACGAGGGGATTGGGAAGTGATAGCGGGGGGTTAGGCGGATGAAACGAGAGCGGGGAGAGCTCTTGGGTGGTGAAGCAGTATTAGACTAGACTATCGTGATTACTGGGTTTGACGTTGTTTCTGAAATAAGATATCGACGGATGTATTAGTTGGAAGAGTAAGTTCCCTCACCAAGGCTGGGCTTGAAGAGGCGAAGTTGAAACCCAGCGAAGGTTAAAGAAGGTAGGACCAGCACTCCAGTCCAGTATTGGAACTCGGCGCAGGGAAGGCCGGCTCGGGTGGTATTGCCAGTCAGTCAGTGACAGTGACGTGGGGCAATTCCAGGGTGCTAATGACGCGCAGTGGAGAAGGAACGTTTGAGCCGATTAAGCAAGAGTTGGAGAAGGACGAAAAGAGAAATAGCGATGTCTTCTTCTTGTTGATTACCTACTTTTATAAGTGATAGTTTTTGCGAAGGAGTTGACGTCTCTTTTTTTCTGTGCATAAGGTACCTACAAGCGAAAAAGGGTTGTTTCCTCCGGTTTTGTTTACTCCATGACAAACATCTTATGTCTTCCACCACCATCCATCATCTTCTCTAGCCAGATTACCTGCTCTTGCTTGATCTAACCAGGTATGCATCATTTCGGAAGATGAAATGAAATTGCTTCCTTTTTAACCGACAACGAGGACGTCATACAAGTATCCTTCAAACGTACGTTTTGCCTGCGGCATTTCATTGACTTTAGGCTACACATAAACGGGTGACTCAAGTAAAACGCCTTGAGATTGTTTCAAGAAAATGGATGCGTGGTTGAGTGTAAGCGTGGAGCAATCGGGCAAAAGGGAAAGGCAAACCCGTTCTACCAAGTTTGGGACAAGCATAGCATCGAGTCTGGTACAGAACTAGAAATATCTATTTGAGAATGTTATGCATGTCTGTCTCTACAGAGCCGCCTTTTTTTTTTTTTTTTTTTTACAAAACTATCGAAACCCAGCGATGTTTGCTGGTCCAGGGTAACCGATCTGCCGCCTACAAAACCTAGCTCTCAGAGTGAACTCTAAGTCATTCATCGTCAACCATCGCCATTTGATCTTGCACGCATAAGGCCTGATCAATAGAATGGCCGGGACACAACTCGAACCCGAATGATTGATCTGAACACAAGAGCTGACCATTTCCAAATTTGACTTAAGTAAAACGACATGGTCAACAACGAACCAGAACGCATAAGCCCACAATGATTCAAGGAATCTTTTACGCCAGGTTCTTCCCTCAGGAAGGTGAATAAAGACCCATCTTGTGCAAAATCGTATCTTTTTTTCGTTTCTAATAACATTCCAAGGCCCCAAGATTGTCGCTCAGTCTCCTGCGGGTTGCATCACCCCCGTGGACGGCTCAACTAAATCCCCTCTTATTGACTTTGACGTGCTTCATGAGTACATCATTCCCAGGCAGGCTTTTTGCAATCGCTACCTGAGCATTAACACACCAGATGGGAAGTACACGGTACTAGGACACCCCGTGGTAATTCCTCACACAAAATACTCTCGCAATGAGTTTATCTTCAACTTTGGTCTCGTCCTTGACGCCGACGTCGACCATGTGCCTTATGAGCGCGTCGTCCGCGGTCTAGCCTCTACTTTCTCCGAAATGGAGAAGCAGAACGAGTATCTTAGCCAGAACGCAGAGACCAAGGGAGCAGGAAGAAGGCCTATCGACAGCTTATTAGAGATTGTCAAGGAGGATCTAGATAACTACGGAGAGTGCATGATTCCCGTTGGTAAGTCTTTACTCGTCGTCGAAACATATCCTATAATACTCATCACTTCATAGACGAGGCCAACACCATCAATATGAAGCTCTTCCCCCATCATATTGACCCTCCCAGGGTTCGAGGCTGGCATGTCCCCGTACCCAAAGCCAAATTTGCCGACATTATGGACCCTACGTGGGATCTCACCCTGCAAAAGGTCATTTCCCATATCGATGGTGTCTCTGACGTTCGACGCATCGCTCACGCAGCTTCCGTCTCACTCGAGCTAGCCAAGACTGCACTCCGCCATCTTCTTTACTATGATACTATCCTTCTTCTCGACATGTTCTTTTTCAGTGCATGTTACGCACCTCGTCCCGGCATCCATGACTTTATTCGAAACATTGACGGAATGGTTGACGAGTGTGCTTCGTATGTGTCTCACGGCCGTGGACTTGTGAGCAACTATCATCTTATCAAACTCATGTCGACGTTTACTCCTGGCAAGTCCGTCATGGAGTGGCTAAAGGGCCATCAAGACTCAGGCTTCGAGGTCTTGCGCTTCGTCGATGTTCGTAGATTCGTCCAATTCGGCGTCATTAAAGGGTGTATATACAGGGTGCACAAGTTTGTCGTCTCCAAGCAATACCTGGCTGCTCTGGCGTCTGGTCAGAGCCGGCCAATCCCAGGAGGAGATCCACTGCAGAAGTATACAGATGGCTGCCATCATTTCGACCAGATCATTACAGAGCAAAACTTGACCGACAGCGACATTATGGAGAAGCTCAAGAAGCTACCGGTTCCAAAGGGTGATTTGGCAGTCTTTTACAGATAGATTCAGAACCGACCGTGTTATACCCATAAGTTGTATCATTTTACATCGTTTCTATGGTATCATGCAGATTAATATAGTACAGTGTGTTATCTTATACGGCAAAGGTGTGCCGATTTCACGCAGCCTCCTCATCTATCTGATCCTCTGGCCCTGTATCGATCGCGTATTTCACGCTTATCGGGCAGTTCAATGTCGGGGTTGTTGACAATCCGAAGCCTGGCCTTTTTCCTCTCCGCCATTCTGGTAATCTCCATATCCGACAAGTTCGCGCCGGCCGCCTCCATTTCTTTCTTAAGCTCTTCCTTCATCCTGCGTAGAAGACCCGTGCCGGGTTGGCCAGCGTAAAACTCGCCGCTCTTTTTGAATTCCGCATCATCGATCAGTTCGACAATGCGCACGTTGTGCTTGCCCTTTCGCATGATGAGCATGCGGTCATCGATGAGGAACTTGGATGTCTCTTCGGGGAACCAAGCCTTCATAGGCGTCCAGGACAGGTTTCCGGGGACGAGTCCTTTCTTCTGGCCAGGCTGGGCAGCGATGTAAGCACCTTGCTGCGAAAGGAGGCGCTGACCCTCGCTGCTACTTGAAGCCAGACCACATGCATGAAGAATTTTGGCTGGTGAAAGATTCATAATAGAGCGGGGCAGCTTGATATCGCTTCTCGGTGCGTTGTTGGGAGTGATGATACCTGATTCAGGCGTAGGTTCTTTACCAATACCACTTAGTTTGCCGAAGCGATATTGGTGCTGCTGTGCCTCCTTGACAGCCTTTTCTGGACCGTGGATAAGTGAAACAAAATCGAAAGCCAGGGCGTGCTGCGCCTTTCGCTCCTGGGGATTGGCTCGGTGCTCCTCCATGATCTTGGAGATTGTCTCCAAAGGCATGAAGGTAAACAGCTTGAGAAGCCTCTCCACCTCGTCGTCTGAGCGTCGGACAAAGTATCCGTACAGATCGAATGGCGTTGTCTTGAACTCATCGAGCCAGACAGCATTTCCTGCACTCTTGCCAAACTTGGCACCAGAAGCATCAGTCAATAAAGGAACAGTGAAACCGACTGGCTCATGGTCCCATGTCGACGGCATCTTCAGGTGGGGAGCCTCCTCGGTTTCGCGAATGGTCTTGAGGGCATCAATACCAGCGGTGATATTTCCATACTGGTCGGAGCCTCCAATCTGCATCTGAATGCCGAGTTTGTTGTACATGTGCCAAAAGTCCCATCCTTGAAGGAGAGGATACATAAATTCACCCAGTGACATTCCATCGCCTTCAGTCATCTTGCGCTTCACACTAGAATACTGGGTTAGGCTGTGGCACGGCTGTTTTGGGGTAACGGAAGAACTCACGTATCTCTAGCCAGCATCGGTCCAATCCTCGTATGTCTGGCTATCCTCTTTGCAAAGTCATAGAGAGTGAGATTTCCCAGCCACATATTGTTGTTCAATAATCGATGAGTGGCAGCCCAATCATTAGGATAGCCATACTTTTCCTTCAGTTTGTGTACGTTACTCCATATCCTAGTCAATTGGACATGTATCTTGGTGATATTCTTCGAGATGTCGGCATTGGAAAGAATCTGTCGGCTTTCAAGTCGGTCAGTAGGATCGCCGATGCGGGCAGTCGAGCCACCGATCAAGGTGACAGCGGGATGGCCATGGAACCACATCCAGAACATGGGCATCATTGGTAGCAAGTGACCGACGTGCATTGAGTCAGCGGTAGGGTCAATACCGACGTAGGAACCTATCCGCCTCACACGCATTATTTCCTTTATTTTCTCAGGTGTGCTGTAGTATATAAGTTAGATACAGTGCTTTGGTCATTATGTCGAGTGTCGCATACCCTGCCACATCCTTGATATATCCTCGTTCTTGAAGAATATCCCATGTATGTGGAATCTCTCCCTTCTCAATCTTTTCAGCCCTCTCTTTCCATCTTGCTTCACCTTCTGCGACCTTGTTGAGGTATGTTGTCGCAATGAATCGAACTTGGAGGGACCGTTGTCCGCTAAGACATGTCGAATATATGGTAGGTCGGGTGGACGGAAGTCTCGAGATGAGGGCCCGACTTGCCATGGCTAATGGTTAGAGCGAAGCGCTCAAGTTGTGATGAAGGAATTCCAGGTGAATCAATAGAATGTCGACATGTGAAATTCCAATCCGTTCACAAATTCTACCTGGGCCTGAATAGCTTGAATGCTAGTACCAAAAAATTCCCTAAGCGACGTCGGACGAGACGAGATCCATGTTCCAAAAGAAAAAAAGTCTTGACCAATCACACAAGGGTCTACAAGATAGACATTGATTGGGCCTTGTACAACTTTAAGTATCCACATCACAGGGAAACCTTCGGAGCGCAGCCAACCAATCACAAAACATGTAATTCGAGATCCTCGGCAATGAGGCTGCTTCAGTTCCGGGTCGGTTTGAATTGAAGGATCCCATACATCATCAACTCTAACTATTCCAAAGCTCTTCGAAGCAGCCACCAATTGAGTGCCGCGACAACACCACAAGAATTCTCAAAAGACTTCAAAATGGCCTCAATTGCGCGTTCCTCTCTGCTTAGGCAGACCGCTATGGCTTCTCGATTGGCCACTGCTGCTGTCCCCGCGACCCGAAGCGCTTTCATGCCTAGCATCCGAACTCAGCTTAAGAGCGTTGCTGCTTTCCACAACACCACCCGACGATCTGCTATTCTCCCTCCCGGACCTCGTAAGTGTGATGGTTCCAGAATATAGCTACTATCACTGACAACAATTTGTAGAGCGCATTGAGGGTGGAGGTATGAAATGATTTACCCAGAAGCTGGATTGCAACTCAACTGGCTTCACATGATATTGGCTTGGATAACTGACACACTCACTCACAGTCAACGATCCTGCTCCCGTTCCCGAGCCCAGCTCCACTCACGGTTCCTACCACTGGACTTTCGAGCGTCTCCTCGCCGCCGGCCTCGTCCCCTTAACCGTCGCTCCCTTCGCTGCTGGCTCCCTCAACCCTACCCTCGACGCCATCCTCTGCAGTGTCCTCCTTCTTCACTCCCATATGGGTTTCCAGCAGGTCGTCATCGACTATATTCCCTCAAGGACCTACCCTGGTCTCCGCAAGACCTTCAACTGGCTTCTCAATATTGCTACGGTTCTTGTCGGCGTGGGACTGTACGAGTTCGAGACCAACGACGTTGGTATCACCGAGGCTGTTCGACGAGTTTGGAAGGCGTAAGTCGGTAGATGGCTGATTGAATATATGTATATGAAGGAAGCATATTGTTGGCAGTATTACTTGTCGCGCAGGTTTATAGCTGCGGGCACCTGTATAGAAAATTTCCTTTGAGTTATTAAGATTGCGTCAATTTCAAACAAGACGATTCCCCTTTTCAGCGATAAAGGATCGGAGCCAGACTGCGCAAAATCACTTGTTTTACTGTTTCAATCCATTGCTATATTTCATACTAACGTTAAACTCCCTTGTCCTTTTCTAATTCCAGTTATGAAGATCAAATAGTCAATGACGTGATCTCGCAACCTCCGCCTCGATCCATCTCGGGTGTAGGAGGGGGCAAGTTTTCCGACTTTGTGCATATCCAGCAACTGGCATACATGTTCACTCTGTCGATGCAGGCTCCATCAGTGCGAGCACCGTGCTGCTTAGGAGTGAATCCGTGACTTTCAAACTCCTTGATATACCAAGGGGTCAACGCGGAAGAACGAAGGAGCACACGGCCACCCATTGCCAATGCACGGTTCAGCTTTGTGATCTGAGCGGCAGCGGCTCGGGATCCGGTATCAAACCAGTCCATGCTGTCCATGACTACAGCAACAGTCAAAGTGCCAGGGGTAATGCGCGCGATGACTTCCTCAAGCTCATCAGTATGGATACGAAGACCGTTGAGAGCGCTAGGGCGAGAGAGTTTTGCGTGGGCCCGGGGACTGAGATAATCTGGATGACACTTCGGTGAGAACTTGCCATCCATGCAGACATAATAGTAAGGGTTATCGGCGGCGATATGAGTCTCCTCTGCAACAGGATCAAGAGTATTGACCATGTAGTGCCAGATGGCATGAGAACGAGTGTTCTTAGCAGCGGGCTTGGGGCCTTTGACCAAGTCCGAGTTGGCATGATCAGCCTCAATCATGGCTAACTGGTTCTTGGGGACACCAAGCGCAGCCCAGAGGAAGCTCTCTTGAGATACGACCAAATTGCAAACAAGCTTGGACAGAAGCGCAGGTCGAATCTTGCGTCGCCAAATTTCTCGCTGCTCATTAAGGGTCTTGGCCTCAAGGAGCTGCTTCACGGCCTTCTGCAGACCAAAGATTCGGGCAATCCAACGGAAAACACGGATTGCGTGACGGGAGCCTCCAGTGTCATAGAGACCGTAACCGCTGCTGTTCTGGAATACGTGAACGTTCTTGAGCCAATACTGGAGTGCGCGACCTGAAAGATGGGGCGAAAGCTTGGTGATAAGAAGCTCACGGAAACGAGGATGCTTGCCATCTCCGAATATCCTCCAGAAATCTTCATAAGACAGTGCAGTATATGAAGCTGCCTTGAGCTCAAGAAGATGATTTTGTGTGGGGTTCAGATCGACTGCATGAACACGAGCAGGGCTTTGAAGGAGGTATGAGAGAATGTTGTCGCCGGCGGAAGTGATGGCGAGAACCTTGTCGTCGGCATCAAGCTTCAGGATACGTTCATCAACGCGAGTATCTTCCCAAGTAAAAGCATAGATATACTCATCCTTGAACTGGGTATGCTTGGGAAGCTGCTCGTCGTAGTAGATGCGCCAGTGGTGATTTTGATAAAAGAAGGAAGGCAGAGGTAGGTTAGAAGAAAGGTTGGAAACGGCAGTGAGGAATGCCTTGGATCGAATTTCAGGTGCAGATCTTTCGATAGCTCGAGTCAAAGCATCTCCGTGATTGGCGGGATACAGGTAAGGGGACTCTGTAACCAAAGCATCAATGCGCTCAACGATCTCATGGGGGAGACTGGACGATGAGAAAGGCTTCTTGTGGCAACCAAGCCAAATATAGTAGGGAATGGCCCCCAATCCTTTGTTGCGAGTGTTGACGTTGAGGACAGTGCCAAACTTGTACTCGAGGTAATCTCGACGACTGGGTTCGAGACCGACCCGGTCAAGATCAAACCAGGAGCGCCAAAAGCTTCGCGACAAGAAGTTGACGTGACGATCCACAAGACCTCCAGTGTAGTTTCGGAAGGCAAAGTCGATCTTGTTCTGAACATAAAAGTCTACAACGCCCATGATGCCTTGAGGTGACAGGAGAGAAGTCACTGAATCGATGACAGAGTAATAGTCAGGCTAGTATCCAATTAGCATGTTGCTCAAGTATGGTGCCCGGTAAACCTACAATCATGGACAGACTGTATGACATTGTGATCAAGTCTGCTCCGCCAAAATCAGGACGTGGCTTATCGAAATAGCTCAGGGCCGGAGAACGAGGTGGAATTGGCTTCGAAGGCATGCCGGATTCATAATCCTCAAGACGAAACTTGCGAGCATCCTCACATACCACCTTGACATTCTTCCAGCCAAGACGGTCGAATCGCTTCTTCGCCACTTCACACAGAGACGGGGAAAAGTCGACGAGGTATACGCTAGAGAAGAAGGTAGGGACATCGACGAAGGCGCCCATGGCCTCAATGTTGAAACCAGTACCGCCGCCAATCTAGAAATTGGTATGTCAGCCATGTTAGATTATCGGACATCCGAACGAGACTCACATCGACCCAGACTCGCTTCGTCTTTTGATCATTCTTGGAGGCCATGTTCTTTAGCTTCGCCTGAAGTTGTGCGGCAACAAGCGCCAGCATGTCCTCTCGACCACGAAGGAGTACCTTTCGGGTAGCATCGTAAGCGCCGGCCTGCTTCTTGTAGAAGCTTTCGAGGGCATCTTGTTGGTTGCCCTTGGAGTCACCCTGGTGGGGTTTGAGGAAAGAAGAGTAGAAGAAGAGGAAGAAAGACTTGATCAAGCCCGGGGCTTCGTCCTGGCTCTTGCTGGAGAAGACCGAGGTAAGGCAGAGCGTACTGAGGGTAGCCGCAACGATACCGGCCAGCAGAGACTGGGCGTTAGCCAAAGATAACATGTTACCACCCTATGCCAATTAGCAGCGTGTCGATTTCAATGGATGAACAAAGGTTTACATGAGAAGCCATGGTACTCTCTCATGATATGCTGAGAGAATGAGTGTTGAAGGAAGGAAGCTATGTAAGCTGTGTTGAAGGCAGTTCACACAATCAGTATGAAGACGGAGAAGAATGCAAGAAACGAAAACTGGAAAAGCCAGAGCTATATACGCCAGAGATTCAAGCCGATATAAGTTAATCTGGGACTCGATTCGGGAGCAATGGTCTCGGCAGAAGGGCCATAACGCCTCACACGAAGTACTTGACGCGAAATCACTTGCGTCTGTTTGCAGGGCCCTGTTGATCTACCTGACCCCACCAGATAGCCATGATAACCCCGCCATCAGTGTTCATTCTAGGTATGAGCTGAGAGTTGGACAATGGGGATGGTAGCCAATAAGTGAAGCACATGCTCATGGTAGGTATAGTTCCATGGGTCTTGCGAGGCTGCGGCGGCGGCAGACATGTGCCATCCTTCGTTCGCTATGAAGAGTTTCCGTTGTATGTAGCGTGTGGGTGGGGTATAGATCAGTACTTGTCTCAACTCAATACAGACGACGATCTTGTTCTTGTATAGTGGAAGAAAATGAGCGTCTTTGGGCACGGCTGATGCTGGGAGAAGCTGAACCCTCCAGCACTCTGACGGATTCACGGGCTCTTCACTTAGGGAGAAAACGAAGTCAAGTGATTCCCTAAATTCTCATGAAATGTAGAAAGATGCTGCAGCATCTTGTTTAGTGAGTTGAGCCATGGTTGGAGTTTTCGTGTTAGTCGGTCGTTCCAGATGAGAGGCTCAAGCACCAATCAGAGAAGAGTAGCCCACCACATGTAGCAATCAACTCCAGTGTAAGGGCACCCACAACAGCCCCCCGAGATCGCAGTGAAAGCGGCATAGATACTAGTAAAAGTGTCCTTTGCAGTTGCAAAGAAAATGCCACATAGAGTTGCACGGAAGTTATCGGTTGTGATGGTTTTTTGTTGATTTTGCTATATAGGTAGGGCATCTTCACTCAGGGGAAGCATACGGGCAATCGGTGATGCTGAGTGAACGGCTATTGTTTGTATTAGGTACACTTTGTAGGACATAGCAGAGAGTGACAATAAACGACAATAATTTGTAAGTCATTCTCTTCGAGTTGTCTCCAAGGCAGGTATTGTACAATGCGAAAATCAACAAGCGCATAATAGTGCACTGGTACTTAACCTATATCTTCCCGTACCTGCCTTGAATGTATAAGTAGCTGCGGACCACTAAGATTGCTTCCCTCACAGCTGAGGTGAGAAAGTGGAGGGCTTCGAATTCAAGGGGTGAGGCAGGTACGTACCGACAGCATTTGCCCTGTGACGCACGTTAATAGGATCGCGCGTCTAACTAAAGATCCGAGCCGTGTCGTTCTCCATGTTCAGCTGTCGCATTTCATCAAACTCATCTCCTTAACCCCCGGTTCCATCTTACCAAACCACTTAGACGACATCGCAATTATATTCGGATTATTCCACGCTGGTTGAACCACTAAATATCCGCCATTATGCCGCCCGGATCAAGTCAGAAGGGAACTGGCAAGAAGAACTCGGCAATACAGAAGCAGAGCCGCAACACGACGCCAGCTCCAGCTGTCGCGACAGCTAGTCTCCCACCGACCGACTTTTATGATCCAGACTACCTCAACACCAGAGTCATTCTTTTCCGAAACCTCACATACGACGATATTGTCGACCAGTCTGCCTCCAATGCGACTATTCCGGATTCAAAGAGCCTTGACGGCATGATCGAACGTTTAAAGAACCTATCTAATATTATGGAGAAGCGCTCCACGTTCTATGACCGCGGTATGAGACACCTGGCAGATGAGCGTAAAAAACGACCATCCGAAGATTATGGGAGCCGCGAAGGAGAACAAGAAGGAAAGCGCCCAAAGCACAAAAGAAAGAAGCCCGATTCACTGGCACCGCAGGAGAGCAATGTTGGTACGTTTATTCGCTATGCGCCTGAGGCATTGGCGACAGATGCTTGCCAGTGCCCGCAACTATCCACCACTTTAAACTTAGGATCAAGGTTAACTTTTCGCAGAGCGTTCGTCGCCACTACGAGAGTCTAAAAACCGCAAACACGACCGCGACCCGAGCTCTCCTTTATCACCTACTCACGCTGGTTCACCTGGGGATGGCGACAAAAAGCTAAAAACAGAAGAGAAGAAAGAAGACGAAGAAGAGTCCTCTAGCTCAGAAGATGAGGGCGCGCCACCTCGTCGCGAACAACCTCAAGCTATGACGTTCGGCGAAGATCCCTCTACTTTCCCTGACCCAACTATATACGAAATCCGACCAACATACCCCGGAATGCCCGATGAAGAGCGCAAAGAGATTTATTCGGTTGCGACATACCCCCCTTCAGATCTTGCCGACCTCATTGCGGGCGACCCACCAGACAAGGACTTCAGCAATGCCAAACCCAACAGTCAGATCAACTTTAGTACGTTTTCAACATATGTCGAGCCATTCTTCCGACCGTTCTCCGAGGAAGATTTGGCCTTTTTGCGCGAACGAGGGGATCGTGTCACCCCTTTTGTCATGCCTAAACGTGGCAAGCGACACTATACAGAGATATGGGCCGAGGAGGATGGCGCTATGTCGATCGACACACCACAGCAAGGACGTGATAAACTACCACAGAATCAGCCACGAGGCAGTATCGACAACATGGATGACGATGTTGGAGAAACTGACAAGCTATCTGTTGGCCCCTGGTTGACCAGGTTGATGCAAACACTCAGGCCTGAGGCTCGTGCACAATCTGTCGATGACAAGCCTACGACAAATGGGACTACCAATGGAGATGTCAGTATAAGCATGAACGGTGATGCTGATGGTGAAGACAAGCCTGTAGGTTTAGATGATAAGTCAAATCAACAGCCCGCAGCTTTCATGTCAGAGTCGTCAACAGAGGCTTGGAAAAAGGCATCACATCCTAAGCTGGAGTACTCTCAAGTTGATGAACGCATCAAGCAGGAACTTCGACATATTGGTTTTCTACCCCTGGAAGGATTTGAAGCAGAGTACGACGGACATTACGACGACGAGGTTGCAGCAAGACTACGGCTTCTGCAGAACAGGCTCAAAGATCAGATGCTGATCAATGGTGCGCGTAAATCGCGTCTGACAGAGCTCGTCCGTGAACGCATGGCGTATCAAGAATACCAAACTATATTGGAAGATCTCGACTCTCAAGTACAGGCTGCGTATCTTAAGCGGACCAGAACCATGGGTAAAAGCAAGAAAACAAAGCGACCTGGAGGTGCGGGCGGTGGCAGCCACTTTGTTGGAGGTGCTGCAGGAACTGCTCGACCTGGTATTGGCGATGTCACCAAAACACTCATGGAGAGGCGGAAGCGATGGATCGACACTATTGGATCCGTGTTTGACGATGAGAGCCTAAGAAAGGTCCCAAGGATGACAGACCCTGAAAGTTCCATCTTCAAGCCTGTAGACATGACGGAACTCATGAACAAGGAGAAGGAACAATGGGACGAGGAGGTGGAGGAGGAATAGCAGTCCTATCTGGCCCAGACCCCTAGGCTTTGATTCCTATACATAACATGTCTTTTCGTGGTGCACTCTGATTTAAAGCAAGGCGTTTGACGGCATGGACCGGCGTTGAAGCGCAATTGTTTGCTATGTGGAATCGGGGGTGCTGCCAGCTATGGTTTGCTTCAGCGAGATAGATGCAGCATGTTGAATGACTACAATTCCAAATTGAAGGATGGTAATGAAGTTAAATGGCGTGCCACTAACTGTGTGCGAAGTAGAGCGACCGATTGGTCGTTTGTGAGCTTTTGGCTTCTAAAAACCAATTAAATAGATTCTTTGAAGCGTTATGGAATATGTATAACAGCGTACACAACTGATAAGTTCAGAGCCAATAGTAGTCTGAGTCTGGTCTATTCAATGATGTAAATCCCTGTCAAGGGCGGGCGCAGATACGTGACCAATCGACCGTCCTCTACTTATCAACGAAGCCGACCCTGGAAGTCCGTTATCTCAAGCTACAGGGACTAAGGCAGACGGATGTTACGGCCGAATAAGTCATGGGCGGAAACTCAAGCCAGGCTACCTTGATGCGGCTATTCCGTGCCGAGAAAGCTGCCATGCTACTAATCCAAGCCCCATCCTCCCTTTCATCTTCTTGATCTCTTTAATCTGTCGTCGATAAGTCAAAAAAAGAGTTTAATATCGCAAAGATGCATCTAGTACCTAAAGAGGTTCGTTTTCATTCGCCAAGTTTGAGAGACCCAGTTTGTCGAGCCATGTCGTTGGTTGGAGACATGGCCGTAGCAGGGTTGTTGCGACTACTACAGACAAGTATCAGCACTCTAACGCGCTTTATAGATCGACAAGCTAGTTATATCTCAGCTGGGAGTACTTGCACAAAGGCGTTTGGCGAGAGGCGTCAAGTTAAATCACTCAGAGTCCGTGGTAAGTATCCAAATATCGAGCCGTGTTGAGATATATAAAGCCAATGGCAATATTGCTGTGCCGTACCGCGACTAACACGATAAAATCATAGGCTCTCATCGCCAATAACCTCCATGAACTCATCAGAGATGGAAACCATACTGTATCTGACTTGATGGCGCTGGGCGCAACGATGTTGGGACGCCGTCATGTTATGCCCTCAGTCTGCGCCACCCTCCATGAGATTCAAGTCGAGGGCACCTTTCCATCTGGAACATACCTTGTCACGGTCCATAATCCCATCAGCTCAGACGATGGAGACTTACGCAGGGCTCTCTACGGGAGCTTTCTTCCCGTTCCAGATAATAGCATATTCCCCATGGCAGCTGCTGAAGAGTACCAACTCGATAAGCAACCCGGTGTGGTGATACCTGTCAAGACCAAAAAGATTACTCTCAACGAGGGAAGAAAGAGAATTCGCCTTCAAGTGACGAGTACTGGAGACAGA